GCGTGGGATTGACGGAGTATGTTGATACATATCGAGCCAGGCAAGCGTGCATGAGGTCCATGTGGCGCATGCATCCCGGATGATGTGAGTCTGTGCGCATCCGCCTCGTACATTCAAGAGATGTGCCGCTGTGCTCTCATGCCCAAATAGCCAGCGTTCGACAGCTCCACCGCGATGGGATTTTGAGGCCACCCAGCAGGGCCTCTCCTCTCTTCAGCCTCATGAAAGTCCGAACGCCATACGGGGTAGCAAGTCAGACGCCGACCATTCCTCAGACCCAGGCCTGTCTCTACATCTCCCATCCTGTCTGCACAGTTCTTGGACTATCTAAAACAACTTGTCCACGATTTGCAAAGCCTGGGCCCAGAGAAGCTGTTCTCGTCAGCCAATGAAGGATTCAATGCCTTTGCCGTTTTGCCTCGCGTCATGGACAACGCAGAGTCGAGTCGAGTACCCTAGCAGTGGACTCGTGTAGCCCATATGGTGCCTTGGCTGCATAACACGGGATCTCTTGGATACCACCCTCCTGTTGCACTTCTCTTGCCACCAAAAGATGGTCATCTTGAAATGGGTACGAGAATTGCCATTCCATGTCGGATGGAATTTCATTTCATGTCTGGGTGCTTGATCTCATCTTCGGATTCGTCTCCGGATCGCGCATATCGTGGTCATGGCAAGCCCCAAGCTTGTGGCAACGAAATTATTCACGGAAATCTGAGCCGTTCTCACAAGACAACTTGCACCAGCTTCCACTTTGTACGGGTCATCGTCCAGGCGAGCGAGGCAGCTTTCATGTGGCGATGTCGTCCTGTTATGCTGATCCCTGTGGTCTCTTATCTCTCTTCATCATGATGTTGGGGTCCTTGTCCCAGCACCTGCCGAGTATGGGTGTGGCGCGCGTGTGCCGCTGTGTGCCGCTTGTCGTGTGCCGTCTTCCGAGCTTAATGTCCATACCTGTCTACACGGATCGGCAAGTGCAGCGATAAACAGGGTATCCCAGTGCTGGGAAATTGGAATGAAGGTCTGGTATCTGCACGTATCAAGGGTATGAGAGAATATTGCATTCCAATGCATCCCTGACTGTGCGGGAGATTGCATGACCGGCAGAAACGGTCGTATTCGACTGCAACGCGTGGTCTCACGCACAGAGAAGCCGGAGATACTGGAAATGCGGTCAACGGCTCTTTGCTTTTGCCTGCGCATAGCGACCCCAGAGAGGGAGGTCCTCCCAACACAGAAGAATGCATTCATGCGCTTCGACTCTGGTCGGCCGGACTAGTAGTCCGTGCCTGTTTCGATTGACACCTGTCACGAACTTCGCTTTGAATTCGTTTCGCAAGTGTTTGCGTGAGGTGTGCTACCTCCAGCACCGGTATAATCCACTCGTCATCGAGCCACACTGCGTTCGGCATCAACGGAGCGTAAGTACTATACTCGGCCGGCCACGGCACAACTGGCTGGCCATAGAGTCTGTGCTGGTTGTGCTGTGGCGTTGTGGGTGCGTGAATAGCGACTAGGGATCTCGTCGCGTAATGATCTCAATTCTCGACGAGGCAAAGCTCTGGAGCCCAAGTGCTTACTGTAAAAGCAGCTTACCGCGACGGTTGAACAACCCGTTGTTCCTAGAGTACGCCCGATTTCCTTATTGAATGAGAAGCGCTAGAGGTTGACTCGGCGGATGGTTGCTTCTTACAACCACCAGCTTTTCAAATGGATAGAATAATGCTATGAAGTGAGGGTTATAGCTCCTGGGATGCCACTGTCTTGGACGCCAAGGATAGGTCTTTGGACTAGGAGACTTTCAATTGCGGTCGAATGTGAAAAAACATGGGGTCAAAAATAAATTGACCGCGCCAGGTTTCGCTGCGTGGGTTAGTAAGGGGAGTAGAATTTGGTGGATCAAACACTCACAACCTGGGACCTCATCGGAATACTGTTCAGCAAATGTGAACGATGCGTGATAACCACTACACTACGCGGTCTTTCAGACATGAATTCAGGGGCAAAATTTGATGATTTTGTATATGTTAATTTGTATTCCCGGCCCGGTTGTGAGATAGCTCCACCGTTTCCCGCCGCCTTAATTCTGTTTTCCTCCAATCCCCTCATGCCGTAGCCTTGCCCTTGGGACTCCCATAAAGCCTCACTCTCACGTACTGTAATACCTGCCAACCACTATTGCACCGGGCACCGAATGACCAAGAACGAACGCGTGTAGTCTGTTCTCGATAACAACTATGTCATCGGAGGGTATCAGCCTGGCCACACCGCCGAAATGCACAGCAGACTTTTGTCTCATCCCTCTCGGCACTCCGACGGCTTCTGTTTCAGCACAGATCGCCGAGGTCCAGCGATTATTGAAGAAGAGTGGCCTCAAGTACAGTATGCACTCGGCAGGGACAACTGTTGGTGAGAACCTCCATTCTACCTATCTAGCCAGTCTCATTTGCTTATGCTTGATTGGACAGAGGGATCGTGGGACGATGTCATGCGGCTGATCGGCCAGGCGCACACACTTCTCCATGAGAAAGGCGTTGTGCGGATTCAGAGCGATATCCGTGTAGGCTCGCGCACAGACAAGGCACAGACGATGGAAGACAAAGTCGCGGCGGTGGAGAAGCTACTTGCCGCCGACAACGAGTAAATACAAGCAAAGTGAACCATTATGGCGTTGTTCTTGCTGTCGAGTTCTACCACGTTCTAGGAGACCTTCCCAGTTGCAAGTCTGCGTCTCTGGTGCGAAGGGGTCGAAAGACGACGAGAACAATAATGGTCAGACCCAACAGAAGCAAAGGATTCAGGAGACAAAGAGAAGACCGTTCAGCTGGGATGAGCAGCGGCTGTCAGAATCACCGCCACAGACTTCTGCAAGCCACAGGTGTGGCGCTGGCGTGGCTGTGCAGGGCGCTTGGGCATGGAGGGATCATCGTCTCTCCGCCAAATCAGCCAGGAACACGCAACTCAACCTGCGACAATGCCCTGTTAATGGGTGACAATGCCGTTGATTTTGCCGCCCAATTTCACCGAGCTCTGTTTTATTATGAAAAAGAGCGCTGTGCCATTACCCTGCGAGTTTCATTGTTGACGACTTCTCCGTCTTTGTTGACCGCCTCGTTCCTTTCCCAGCCATGCGATTTGAATAGTCCCAAGCTCGCGGTGGGGACCAGACTCCCCTTCCTGACTCTGTATATTTGAGAAATTGTTCCCGCAAAGCACACTCACTCAACCAATCCAACAGCCTGCGGCCATGGCGGCAATCACGCAGACCATCGCAATTATTGATCGGTCGAACAAGGTGGTCAGTACAAGCAAACAGCTCAAAAATGTCTTCAAGGAGGCGAAGATGGCCTACCTCGAGCGGAAGGCCGAAATAGTCAACGCACGGAGGGCAAAAGAGGAGAAAGAACTGAGAAAGGCAATGAAGGCCGTGACAATTGCCGAGGACGCAAGATCAGACACCACTCGGAGATCACGCAGACATCGCAGCCATAGAACGGAGAGGGAGGAAGCCTTCGAGCATCCGTCAACCCCCGAGCACCCCTACTCATCCGAGTCCCCAAGGAGATACCATGCTCATGTAGAGTCCGAAGCAGATGGTTCCCGGCACCTCGAGGAGCATTATCCCCGACATGTCGGCCTCGCAACGTTCAACGAAGAGCTCTATGGTCACCACCATTCGGCGCCGGTCACTCCGTACGCCCCCCCTCCGGGCCATGAACTCGTCCGTCGTACCACAGACCTGCCTTTACAGACCCAACGTCCGCACCGTCCTCAGCCTGTCCGATCCCACTCGGTTTCAGACATCGACATGGATCTCGCTTATGGAGACTTCCACCCAGAGTCACTTATGCTTGATCCAAAGACGGAGCAAAAACTGCAGAAGCAGGAGATGTCAAGCCTGGTCTTGAAGTGCAAGATGCTCATCGATGAGGCCAATTGCGCCCAGCATAGTGTCCGAGCAATGATCGCACATCTGCAGGGGAACCCGGACGCCATGGCAGCCGTCGCGCTGACGCTGGCCGAGATCAGCAATCTAGCCAGCAAGATGGCGCCAGGTGCGCTAGCGGCGTTCAAGGCAGGCGCGCCGTCCGTCTTCGCCATGCTTGCAGCTCCTGAGTTTCTGATTGCCGTGGGTGTTGGCGTGGGAATCACGGTGGTCATGTTTGGCGGCTACAAGATCATCAAGAAGATCAAGGCCCACGTCAGTGACAAGGAAGAGAACGAGCTTGTAGATGAAATGCTTGACGTCCGCGAGCTCGACCGGATCGAGCACTGGAGGCGTGGCATTCCGGATGCCGAAACTGCGAGTGTGGCTACGAGTGTTGAAGGTGAATTCATCACTCCTATGGCTGCCAGGAGCATGGGCCACCTGCCCATCCCCAGAGATAGGAGCGAGGAACGACAGAAGGAGCAGCAAAAAGAAGAGAAGAGGAAGAAGAAACACCACAGAAGGATTGAGGACGACCCTGACCGTACAGTGGTTGGAAGCGAGAAATCGTCCAAGTCGCGGGGGAGCAAGAGCAGCAGGTCCGAGCATAAAGAAAAGGCGGTGGTGAAGGTCAAGAAGACGAGTACGCTGAGAAAGATGTTCAGCAGTAGGGATACCGAGGTCGTCTCTTCCAGACGATAACCCTTCCCAGACGCCGAGCGAGGAAACTATATGTATTCACGATTCTACGAAGCCATGAGGTCTTGGAGTTTTTAGAGTTGCTGTGCTTGCAGAAGCGGGCCTTGACTATGCTTCCTTGATATATTGAACACATTCATCCAGATAGGTTTCCTTTACCACCTACTTTATAGCGGGCCCCAGACCGCCGTGTGGTCCTGGCTGTCACGTGACCATGATCTCTCTCAAAGTGATGTGCAGCATCACAAGTTCCTGTTCCAAGTATTGAGTCGAGTTTGAAATGCGACTTTTCGGCAGTGGCGGTGCGGACGTGAGGAATACTGCATTCATGTTGCCAACCTTATAGGCGAAATCACTTCCGCCATGCTTGCTGATGGCTCCACGACCTGCCAAACGGCAGCGCCGATCCACCATTGCTCTTTCGGACGAAGACGACGCGGATTTCGGGCTTCCCTCCTCAAAACAAGCAAAAGGCGGCTCTCAGCGCGAGATCACACGCGATGGCAGGACTTCGACCACCGTGTCTCCGATCAAGGGCACGAGAACGAGGCCAGCTCTGAAGAAGGCCGCAGCCACATCGTCCCCCATATCCTCGCCAGAAAAGTCGCGAAAGAATACCAAAGTTAAAGATGACGCCGTGAAGAACAAGTCTCTGCATAACTTCTTTGGAAAGGCCAGCGAGGAGCAAAGATGGCGGAAGAAATCACAGACCCCAGATCTGGAAGTTGAGAACGGTGCCGAGTTGAGCGACGCCATTGAGGACGACGATCTATCGGACGAGACGTTACAGGAACTTGGCTTGAAGATTGACAAATCAAGCAAGCCGGTGGAACGGCGCAATCCAGGTCTACTACCCTCTGTAGGAGGTCACAAAGCAGGTACAAATGGAGGAAGCCTGCCATCCAGCCAGAGATTCATCAAGCCCGCGGTAACTGCTCGAAACTTCATCAATGCTACGAACGCGGACCGAGCAGAGGTAGATGGCCACGCGCCGTGGGCCGATCGCTACGGTCCTAACGATCTTGAGGAGCTGATGGTCCACAAGAAGAAGGTTGCTGATGTGCAAAGTTGGTTGCAAAGCAAGATTGACGGCCGGAACAACCAGAAACTCCTGGTCCTGAAGGGACCTGCGGGCAGCGGGAAGACCATGACCGTGTCTCTGCTTGCGAAGGCTATGGGCTTGCAAGTGGTTTCCTGGCACAATCCGGCTGTCTCAGAATCCGGACCAAACAACTCAATCTCTGCACAGTTCGATGAGTTTTTAAATCGAGGTGGTCAGTTTGGTAGCCTGGCATTTGACCATGATGTATCTACTGGACAGGCTCCGGAGAGGGCAATCAGCAATCAAATCCTTGTCATCGAGGAGTTTCCAGCAACCATGACGAGATCCTCCAGTGCTCTACAATCATTCAGAGCTGTCATTTCACGATTCCTCGCACGAGCAAAACCTGCGCCTGCGATGGTTTTTCGTGGACACCAGAGCTCCGATGAGATTTCTCCACCGGTCGTCATCATCATATCCGAAACACTTCTGTCTTCGTCCACCGCCCTGGCGGACAGCTTCACAGCTCATCGGCTACTTGGACCGGAGATTTTAAACCATTCGTTTGTGACGACCATGGATTTCAACCCCGTTGCCGCCACCCTAATGACAAAGGCTCTCGACCTAGTGGTGAAGAAAGAAGCGAGAGACTCGCGGCGCAGGCGGACGCCGGGTCCTGCGGTCATCGCCAGACTGGCTGAGATTGGAGACATTCGCAGTGCGGTCAACTCCCTCGAGTTCCTGTGTCTCAAAGGGGACATTGGCACAGAATGGTCAGGCACCGTAGCGGCGAAACTCAAGCGCTCTTCCAAGGATCATGCAGCCCTTACAGAGACGGAAAGAAACTCGCTCGCCTTGTTGAGCCAACGAGAAACAACATTGGACATGTTCCACGCCACTGGCAAGATAGTCTACAACAAGCGTGAGGATCCTCGTGTCTTGGACACCAGAGCCGAACCACCCCCCAAGCCCCCGGACCACCTCATGCATTTGTACACGCCCAAGGTGTCGCAGGTGGACATCGAAGCGTTGCTGAGCGAGACCGGCACAGATATTCAGACCTTCATTTCCACCGTCCATGAGAATTACATCCTCTCCTGCGGCGGCGACAATTTCGAAGTCAGCTTCGAGGGCTGCTCGGATATCCTTTCGGTCAGCGATGTATTGAATCCTGAGAATCGTCCGAATCGCCGTGGCAACGCTGCGAACCCCAATGCCGGCATTGTTCAGTCGAACTTTCAAGCCGGATCGTCCGATACGCTCCGCCAAGACGAGATCAGCTTCAACGTGGCTACCAGAGGACTACTCTTCAGTCTGCCCTTTCCCGTGAATCGATCGGGGGCTGCAGTCCCAGGAGGTAAGAGGGGAGACGAGTTCAAGATGTTCTACCCGGCAAGTTTGAGGCTGTGGAAGCCCATGGAGGAGATGCACGGGTTATTGGACATGTTTGTCTATGGTGACGGGATTGCGCCGAGCAGACCAGCAACATCTGGCGCCGATGGCCCGATCAGTGACGGAGGCGTTGCGACTTGGCAATCACGGATTCTCGCCGAGGACTCGATTTCGACAACAATGCCGCAGCCGCCTATTAAATCAGAACCGTCAGACCAGGCTACCCGGTACCCTACGCTCATGGGCGTGGGAGACGAGCAAGACTTTCCGCCGCCTCCGACCACCCACGCCAAAGATGTCCTGACCCTCGAACTGCTTCCATATAGGACGCGCATCCTCTCCGCACGGCACCAAGACACTACCTCCCTCGAGAAGATCACCAAGTTCAAACCGACAAGCTATCTTTCTACAGCCGAAGATCACGCCGAAGAAGAGGACGACGAAGCGATGGCCACCGCCCTGCCCCGCGCCACCAGAGCAGGTTCGAGCACGGCCAGTGGGAGGAATGCTGCCGTAACCCGAGAGACGCCGTCAATGGGCGTGGAGAAAATGTATATCTCCGACGACGACATTGAAGATGACTGATCGATCGTCCTGAGACTGAGATGAATGGATCGAAGGACTTGACAGGGACGTAGGTCACATTCGAATGACTATATATCCATGTACGGAGTATGTAGGTGCGTGTATGTCTGTATGCAGGACGGTTGGGTCGGACGAACTTGCATAATCAATGCATTATCTTCATTGTACAGTGTACAGTGTACGCCGGTGACAACGTCAATGTGCACTTGCATAATAAATGCATTATCTTCATTGTACAGTGTACGGAGTACGGTGTATACTTGTTGTGTACACCAGTGACATCGTCAATGTCCACTATCGAAGCGGGTACTGAGGTGAGTGTTTTGGTTCAGGCGTAAATAGATGAGTCCGCATACAAGCAGATAGGCAGGTACTCAGTACGGAGTACAGTATTCTGGAATCAATGATCCACTAGATAAAATCTACTGTATAAGTACCCCGTACACACACTCATACGGAACTGGGCTGAGGCTTCATGGCCAACAAGTATACTTTCTCTACGGCGGGCAGGCACTGCCTCTCTTAACACTCAACTACCTACACAACAAATCATCTCAAAGGGAACGGTGCGATATCTGCAAGCTGAGTGGTGTGTCTCATGAACTATCGAAAGCAAAAAGGCAAAAACAAAGGGAAAGAAGCGTAGCCTTGCACTAAAGCTCCCACTAATTAGAACGCCAGACAGATTACTTCTCTACACAACAGGCACACATGTACAGGCACACAGGGAAACGGTAGCCTTACTAATAAACAACAACATTTTCATCAGCCTCGTTAAATACAATACTAACACTGTACATGCACTCACTGGACACGCACTCACTGGACACGCACTCACAGTGTTCGGATTACTTACATGTGTGTACCTTAGTCTACTAATACCTACATAGGTACCTATTCTGGGTGCCAGTGACTGGTGTACTCGGTATGAAATAATGTACCGTACCAATATCACTGGGTTGCCAATGCCAATCCGCTGCGCACACAGATTCCTCCGTGCTGGCTTTCATCCCCCCCCAGCCCTTTATGAACTATGCTGTGCCCTGTACTCTGTACTCTCTACTCTGTACTCTCTACTCCGTGTCCTGGATCTAGTATCCTGTTGTCTGTCTGTCGTCAAGCCATGCCATACCATGCCATGCCACCACTGCTGGAGTGGATGGTTGGACTTCCATGCGCTGCCCTGATCTGGCTGATGTCCAAACTCTCGCGGGATCTGTACGTTTGCCTGCAACGAACTTCTTCTGTCGTGCTTGCTAAGTTTCTAGGCCTGAATCGGAGTCCAAAACTTTACTCATGTCAAGTCCTATCCAGCCGAATGAATGCACCGAAGGCATCTCTTAATGTTGACCAGTGCTGTCGACGTGGCCACTAGTAATTATACTCAACCCTTCCTGGCGTTGTAGTAGTCAAGCCAAGAGTCAACTTGAGCACTAGTTTACTCATTCTAACACTCGCCGCGTCTAGCCGCAGGCCTCGCATGTCAAAGCTCACTCACGACACCCACCCCCTGTTTCTGAAACCACCCGTCCTCTTTGATGCGGAAAAAGAATGAGACGGCTGTCGCTGCAAGCAGCCCGATGCACAAGCCTGTAGTGCCATATTTGTCGTAATATCTGCTCACACTCGCTCTCCTCTTTCGGATCATCTGCACTCGCAACCAGTAAATGACAACACTGTATATTAGCGCTGCACATGCAACAATGGTAAAGCCCCATGCACTGATCAAACTGACATAATCACCGAAATTCAGGAGGGTGGCGGCAATGGATCCGATGATGATGCTGAATTCCAACCAGGAGAGGAAGGTTCGCTCGGCAGCAAAGTAGACTTTTGGTTCGACCCGGACGGGAACGTGGATTCGTTTGCCCTTGGGTGCCTTAAAGCGTTTAACCTGAACACTGCCCGTCATCTGGTTTCCACCACCCGCGACAGACCCGTTCTGCGGCAATGGTGTGGTCGTGGGTATCTTGTGGAAGAAGTTGAGGAAGTGATCGGCAGCCAACTGGGCGTGGTGTTTCACAAGCAAAGGGTAGTATTTCCACGACTTGGAGTGGCGGGCTGCTTCGAGCTCGTCTTCAACGTCATCAGCCTCAGAGTCGTACAGGTACTCATCGTCTTGAACAGGCAGGGCGGCAACTCTTTCCTCCTCGTCGAGCGAGTTCCCTGGTGCGGCGTTAGCGTCGTCTAGATCGTCCCTGTCTTGAGCGCGGCTGTGCTCAGCAAGGATTTGCCTTGCTGCTTTGAGCCTCCTGGTACCCTCATCGTCGTCATTCTGCGAGCCGTTGACCATGGGCGTCGTCTGACTCGTAGTCTGCGTGTCGGCTGCCATGGCATCGTCCGAGTCGTACTCATCATCATCATCGACATCGCTGGTACTATAGCTGGCTGTATTAGCGGGCCTCTCAATGCCAAAACGGTGAGTGATGGGTTTCCGAATGTCGACGTCCATCTGGGGGAACCAGAAGGGCAGGAGGTCGATCCGATTGGGGAACATGGTCGCTGTGCCGTGGATGAATTTCGAGAATTTGGGCACGGCCTCGACCAGGTGACTCGCTGTCAGATCTCTGATCCATTGGGGTGGCTCTTGGCCGGCTTGAGTTTGCAATTTCACTTCAAGGACGGCATAAGGGAAAAGTTCAACATCCTCGCGCGGCAGCTGGGGGAACGGCCAGTCGATGCCAATGTCCATTCGTCGCCAATTCTTTCCCGATCTTTGCCGGCCGTCCAGGTTGTCCTCCCGAACCATGGTAAGTTCGGTATCGAGTGAGATTCTCACGCGGGCATCACCAGGAAGTTGAAACGCTGTCCGGTGGTAGAAGGAGCGGCAGACAGGGACAAGTCTCCGGCTGATGACCCGATACTGGATTTCGCGGGCAAGCTGTTCCAAGTCCTCAATCTCTTTGACGCTCTTCTTGCCTTCCTTTCGCATCTTGGCAAATACCTCTTCCACGGTCATCTTCCCAGCCAGGAAGGCGTTGACATTTTTCTCTTTCAGGGTGAAGCGAGCCTTGACAGATTTCTCGCCGGTCCAATCCTCACGATGTGTCTTCCTTTCCACAAAAATTGTTTCATTCTCCATACCTCCATACCATCGCAGGCGAATAGCTTCTGCCCCCTCAGTTTTCTTTAAACGACCCATGTATAACTCCCATGTCTCGGGGTTGTCGTAGTAGATGGATGAGATGGCCGAGTCCTTCTCTTCGAACTCTTTGTTGGGATTGAAGACGAGCACCGGCAAGTGCTTGAGGATGATGAGCTTCAACTCGGTGATGTTGTCTGGGTGGACCCAGTACTTTGTGGTCTGACGGACGAAGTTCTGCTGAGCACCTCCAGCGGCACTGTCTCCCTTCACCGGGCTGCCTCTTGTCCGTACCAGATCGTACAGTTTCGAGAGATTGACGATGAAGGCATCGTAGTTGTCCTGGAAGAAAGGCTTGGCCTTCAGGCGGGTTGCGAACGACGGGCGAAGGATCAGCTGAGTCTGTTTGTCATGCTTCTTGATGATCTTCTGGAAGCCCGTGTAGTTCAGCTGGGTGAATTTCGCCAGGTCGTGAACATCTGCGATGATGTCGGAGAGATCGGCCTCGAGTAGATCGAAGTCATTCTCGAGGTCATCATCGGTGTCGGCGCCAGCTTGGTTCTGACGTTCCTTGCGGTCGATAACATCCTTGACCTCAGACTCAGCAGTCCGGATTCTGGAGACAATCTCTTGACTCTTCAGCTTTTGGAATGTGTAGACCTTGTCAAGTTCTGCCTCTAGCAATCGAATGAAGTTGGCCTCATCGTCGTCCGTCCACGGTTCTCGTTCGCCGCTCTTGCCGTTGATGAATGGTTTCTTGAGGGCGCTCTTAAGGTCATCGTAACCGATATAATGCCAGTAATAGTCCTTGATCAGGGACTGCTTGAGCTGCAGACCGAATCTGCATCAGATTTATCGTCAGTAGAGCTTACGACGTAGTGGGGGTGTTGCAAGGACGAACTTCATGATGGTTGCGTGAGCTGTAAGTCTACCACATCGACGAGGCGGTGCAGAGGAATAATATGCAGACGAGATACGTCGTGCTTTGTAGAGCCGCTCGTTAGAGAATGCAGAGTTTGAGGAGCATTTTCTGCAGCAAGCAAAGCTCTCAACTGAAGCTCTTGCTTGCCCAGTCAAGGCAATTGCCCGTGGGAAACCAAACTGATGCCGCTTGCGCAACGCACGACGTGCCTCGCTAGCTGAAGCTTGCCAGCTAGTTGAGCCTTATAGGCTTCCCGCGCCTCCGGGCTTCCCTGCCCCTCATATTCTGTGCCAATGGGGACCGCTACAGGCGCACGTGCCCCCCGAAGATTTCGAGCTGTCCAGGGTTGGCTAGGCTACTGAACCCACCGGGCCCACTGACCAGAAGCCATGACGGTGCCCGGGACCTTTCTCTATCTGACACGAAGCACAATGACGAGAAGCTCAAAACCTAACTTCGACCATCACTACACTCTACACTGTACCGCCTTGACATTATGGAGTGCCGGTCCCTGAGGTGCACGCCTGGGAAGGAAGGTACGTATGCTCGTGAATACCACCGAGGGTTCGGACAGAATGCTGTCACTGGAACATGTCACTAGACTCCACCTCACTATGGAGAGGATTTCTGCGATCGAACCATCAACCACGGAGTCCTCAGTTATTGGTCAATCGTCGAGCAGGCTGGACTCTGATAGTGGTCTTTTATCGTCTATGATGACAGTCGTAGGAGGGCTCCGTACTCCGTATATTTTAGCAGTAGTCGCCTGAGCTGCTCAGTATATGAAGGGGCTGGGCAGCGCATCCGCAGATGCTTGTTGGCCATCTGATCGAGACAGCCAACAAAGATGGGGATGGCCAGATAGCTTGTTGCTCAATTGTGGTGGATGTGCTGAGTGTTCTCGCGATGGAGAGCATTTATTGAACCGAACTGCGCTGGGAACATTCACACTGCTCCTGTGTAATCCGTACACGGCCTTTTACTCCTTAGTCGACGGTTTGCACACCAGCACTTCCGTGGTGGACTGACGACACGGTCCCCGCGTGTCACTGTTGCCGTCTTCCAGAGTGCAAGTCACTGTCGAGTATGGTGATGCGGGGAAGTCATTACACGGAAAGGTGGAACGGCGCTGTGTACTGCTGACTCTCGTCTATCAGGTACTGTTGCAGTCGGCGCTTGGGCAAAGAGAGCCCGGCGAGCCATCATTGGCAGCATCTGGACGTGTTCTTGTGACTTGCTCGTCTGAAACTTCCGTATCGGGCCTTAGACGGAAGACACGCAGTAACTGTCGATATTCCTCATCACAACCATCAGTGCCCGTGTATGCGCAGAATTGACCCAGTATTACTGCCAGGGGACCTCGAAGCCGATGGTGCCCGCCTCGCCGTCCATCTCGTCGCCTCGACATCTGCGACATTCGACTCACAGGTTCGGCAGGCAACCGCGCTAGCTGAAAGGCAGCCGCAAGGTCTCAAAAGCCTCACCAACAGCAAGGGCTGTGCTCAGCGCCGCCTCATCTGTGAAATATCTTCCTCGCCTTTCCTCTAAGCTATGCCACCACGCACTTTCTCTCCGACTCAAATGCAATCTAGTCTCTCTGTCACCATGCCTTCCCAACAAGTCTTTCTCACCCCACTTCAACCTCCGACCAGAGCGTTGCCAGAGCTTCCAAATGAGATCTTCCTGCTCCTCATCCAGAGATGTTCTGGTGCCACATTGAAACAGTTGCGCTTGGTGTCCAAGACTCTCGCCCAGTTGACTGAGCCATATCTGTGGCGCGAAGTTGTCCTGGTCCCGAATGATCACTCTATTCTCGGTTTCGCCAGAGCCCTCAAACGTTCCAAAGTCCTCCGACTTGTTACCAAGATCACATACGATGCCCGCTTTGGCGCATTCTTCACCCGAATCAAAGACGTCTCTCCGGACCCCAGCCTGCCATACCCTGCTGCGGAACGAAGCAAAGAACTTTCCTTTCTTGATACGACCTTCATTGGGCACTTTAAGCCCTATGAGGATATGTCGATTGAGGTAGCATGTCTCGCCAAGGCTCTGAGGTTGATGCCGAACCTGAAGGAAGCTTGCATACGAGAATATGAGGATGAACCCAGCAATGGCATCCCGGCGCACCTCACCACTAGTGATATCAAGGTTCCGTCCTTCTATCTCAGGCTTTGCAAAAAGTTGAGAGTCGATCCAGAAAAGGTGAGCTGGAGTACCATGGTTGGCGCTTCGGGCAGATCATATGCAAAGGGGTTCATCACGGCCGCTTTCTCTGCCGACTGTCGTCTTCAAGAGCTTAAGGCGAAGGGTATCGACGGCCGTGCGATGTTTGGAGTAGTGCCCATGAAATCGTCTGCCCTGTTCCAGCAAGTGAACATCTTCAAGAATGCCACAGACAGTCTACGATACCTGGAATTCTCTTTCCGCAACGACACCTTGATCAGCACTGCCAACCACATTGAGGCTGTCCGAGAGATGCTCAGATCGGCCAAGAGGCTCCGGACGTTAAGGTTGAAGTTGACAGACTGCAGCACTAACCATCACCACTACTCCGATGAGGACTTGATGTCAGACTTTTGTGGGCTGGTGGAGAGCTCGACCGGCATCTGGCTTTGCAAACCCCTCCTACCAAAGCTGGAGAATCTGATCATCGACGCCTGCATATGCCACGACGAGGATCTCATGCATTTCCTCAGAATCCATTCGGGAACGCTCCGTCGACTGGAGCTTTCAAACATCACCCTTCTCGGCGGTGATGATCGGCGGGAGTGCTGGGTGAGGATGATCAAGCATCTCAAGACAGAATTGAAACTTGCTTCAATCTCTTTCAGCGGGTGGTTCAGCAACGGCGGACGTCAACAGTGGTCTGTCGCACGGGACCCTGTCGGTCCTGAGAGGCTGAAAGCCAAGGTTGAGAAATATGTCATTGACCGACGTATTAGAGTCTGCCCCTTGGAGCCAGTTGCCATTAAGCCAAACGAGGGCGATGTTGAGAAGCCAGCTAATGGCGAAGAGTTTGAAGGCGACTTGACCTGGACGATGGTGTACTCGAACCGGCACACAGATCACGTCGACTGGCAACCGACTGAGCCGTCCTTCGGCATCAACTCCCCAACAGTGTCTAGCCAAACGTCGGAAGCCGGCGATTCAACTCCTCTGCCAGGCCACTCGGAAAGCGACACTTGGGGAGAGCCTGAGCCAGAAAATATCGACGCTCATACAGGAGGCGTCCAATTGCCTGATTTTGACACGGTCTTCGGTGTTGGGAGCGGGATACCGGACGTTCAGTCTTGGTCAGTCTTTTCGTCATCGCCGGGGAAGCTCCCACAGGCGACGCCGTCGGACGTACCCGCGGCGTGGTATTCGGCACCCTTTGCGTCTATCTCCATGGCTTAGGACGCTTGGTTTAACGACAGCATGGCTTAGTCGTGCAGACACGCCAACCCTGATCCTATTGGCTTGGAATAATCTTGTTGTTGTGCTCCCTGAAGCGCGCCTACTAGCGAGGTCATCTGAACGGCCGATCTCTCGTTGTCATATGCCCCTGGCACTTGGAAGGGCTGTAGCGTTGGGTATGGCTAGCAGCGCTTATCGGATTTTGAGTTAACGGACCATAAGGACGATGCGACATGAGATGACGATTTCAAAGTACAAAGGAAGATGGTACTGGTACCACTTGAAAGGCGCAAACATGGCTTCGACGGCTATGGGAGAACGTGACCATCGAAGTGAACTCTGCGGCTCGCACTGATGAGCAGTGTAAGATGAAATGGGCAGGATCCGGAACCTTTTGTAGAATGAATATTTCGCACGGATACGGACCATGCAAGATCAGTGAACGTGCGAATAGACTTGGCCTTTGTGATACCTGAGCGTGGGCGTCGAGTTGCTGGGGAGGGGAATCCGTACGACAGACATTCGCAAGCTCTCTCGCACAGGGATCGCACACTCGCCGATGATGACATCTGTGACTTGCAGTAGGATTTCTTCTTTTCCGATTCTCTGATTCCGTGATGCATGTGGTCTCACCGCGGGCCTCTTCTTTGTCCGTATATGTACACTGTCTGGACTACACTCTCGTTCTCGCTCTCGGCCCCCCGCGAGCGTCTCTCGCAAGTGGCATCGCTTTGGTCACACAACTCCAAGACACAAAACCCACCGAGTCGCACCAATCAACGCACCTCATAACTCTGCTCCGGGCAACTTCACAGCTCTCCGTCTGTCCGCATAACATCTTTGCTGTGATACGGCTCGCTTAACAAAGTCGTCAGCCCTGCCCGCGGCTCACTTGTCATCCTCTGCTTGCCCTCATATGGCTGGGGTCCCGGCCGCGGGATCTTGCTCTTGTCGAACCCGGTGATGGTCTCGGAGTCCTTGAGCGCCTTGAGGATCTGCACCGTCGTCTCCGGCGTCAAGTCCTCGTAGTAATCATCGTTGATCTGCATCATGGGCGCGTTGGCGCACGCCCCCAGGCATTCGACCTCGAGGAGCGAGAATATCTTGTCTTCTGTCATGCCTCCACTGTGGATGCCCAGAAAGTCTTCGCACGCTTTCATTATGACGTCCGAGCCCACGCCACCGAGCATGCACGGCGTGGTTGTGCACACCTGGACGAAGTACTTGCCCACGGGGTTCCGGTTGTACATTGTGTAGAAGGTGGCGACTTCGTAGACTCGCATGGCCGGCATCTCTAATATACGGGCCACTTCGTTCATCACGCTGATGGAGGTGAAGCCGTGTTGGCGTTGGCCGAGATCGAGCAGCGGCATCACAGCGGCTTTCTTGTATTGTGGAGGATACCGCTTGAGGATCTCGTCTATTAAGCGGAGGTTTGTCTCGTTGAAGGAGAAGGGGATGGAGGGGTTGTTGTCGGGCGTGTTGCGGTGCTGGAAGTCAGATCGTCAGCGTACGGTATATAGTGTGGTATGGTGTGGTAGGGTTGCTGGTGAATGGGATCACTGTCACTTACTACTGAGAGAGCGTGGGTTTCATCCTCTCTCGACGACGGCGAGTTTGAGAAGTATCGGGGTTGAAATAGCTGTCTTCGGGCAGCTCTGGGAAACGTCGACCTTGTCGCCTGGCGCATCAGTTGAGGGACGAATCTGGACGCCATGGTGGGCGTTGTCGTTGTCGACCGCTCGGAGGTTCTGTCGTCTTCACAGTCGAGCGCTGGAGTTGGAATACATCAAGAGCTTCGACCAATGAATGCGATGTCAATGTCAGTATCTGCTTGAGCAGTTCTGCTCCCCCGTAGAGCGATGGGGGTCTTCTGATCCACCCTACCGCACTCCCTCCGCAGCTGCACTTTCTCCGAGAGTCCAACTGGCCAGTTTGCACGAGCAACGACAATGCTGCACTGAGGTCGATTTTCCCGGGGAACAGAAATGAGGCTCTTGTCGGTGGCAGGCGCGTTCGTCGCGCTTTGCGCCGAAGTGTTCGGAGCGGAGTCAAACCTCACCGAACCACGCACCACGCAAAAGATCTTGACGGGCGACTTCAAGCCGCCGCAAGTATTCGAAAACACAAACCTCGTCCGTACCATCAACCTCGAAAAGGGCTATGTCAGAGAAACCACCAACATCCTGGTCACGAATACGGACAAATCACCTCAGTCGGACTACTATGTCTCCTTTGAATATGACTTGATGGGCAGAATAGGCGGCTTCGATGCCCGAGACAAGAAGAATCCAGATACCCCATTGGAGGTCTCCATTGCTGCCCTGTCTGCGGTACTGGATGACCAGGACGGATCTGTGAAGTAGGTGGCACCGCCACCAGGCCCTCGATGCGTGTATGCTGACTTGTAACAGGCCTACCCAATACTATGTCATTCACCTCGCTGAACCTCTCCCCTCCAAGGGTACCATCACCCTCTCCGTCTCCTGGCATGTGCTGGGTGTTCTGACACCCCTGCCCGCCTCGATCAGGCAGGAGGAAAAGCAGTACCTGGTCTACAACTTCTCCGCCTATGTTCCGTCTGTCTATAAAACAGTCAAGCAGAAGACAAAAGTCAAGTTCCCTTCGGCAGACGTCCCCGAATATAGTACGACATCCGGCTTGACCTCTTCCGCGGACCCAGAAAAGCAGGGGTCATCACTTACATACGGACCCTACGACACAGCCAAAGTCGAGCCAGGGACTGCCTACCCAGTGACAGTCCGATATGAATTCAACAAGCCACTGCTAGTCTGCACCAACCTCGAGCGAGACGTCGAAGTCTCCCATTGGGGAGGTAACCTGGCAACGGAGGAAAGATATTGGCTCCGACACGACGGGGCTACGCTCTCGAATCACTTCTCCCGACTTTCATGGGGAACGCAGTCCTTCTACCTGGCCGCAGGGCAAGGCTCAACGTCTGCGTTACGCGAATTAAAAGTCCCTCTGAAACCAGGCAGCGTTGACCCCTATTTTACCGATGATATTGGCAATGTCTCCACCTCACGATTCCGCCCGAATAACGTCCGCGAAGCCAGCCTTGAACTCAAACCTCGCTATCCGTTGTTCGGAGGATGGAAGTACAGTTTCCGCATCGGCTGGAACAACGCTCTCTCTACTGCCCTGCGAAAGCTCAAGACCCAGTCAGATACGTATATCCTCGCCGTCCCACTGCTAGAAGGGCCCCGAAATCCGGAAGGCATTCAATACCAACAATTTACATTCCGTGTCATTCTTCCCGAAGGTGCCAGGAACGTGAAATGGCAGACCCATGGCGGTACGGGTGCGCCCACTCTTCATGCCGAAGAGAGCTTACACAAAACTTTCATGGATACCCTGGGCAGGACAGAGTTGAAACTCTCGGCTACCAATGTAGTTGATGAGGCTAGGGACGTCACCGTCGTGGTGACGTATGAATATCCATTCTTTGCAGCCTTCAAGAAACCCGTCACCATTTTGGTTGGGTTCATCGTAACGTTCGCGATAGCTTGGGCTGTGGGCAGTCTGGACACGAGTATTGGGAGGAAGAAGAAGTGAATCCCCAATCAAATGAGACCTCAGGAAGAGAAGAGGCATCATGGAAGATGCTCTTGAGGCGATTGTAAACTACCATCATATGGCTGAGGTTTTGCAGGCCGAGGGATAGACAAATGGGTTTATACAGTCTGGAATGTGGAGTCATCGAAGTCAACCACCTAGGCTGGTAGCGAAGCAGCGATCCACCCCCCGACTGTATGGCGGTTGTGGTTGCGTCGCCCCGTGCATACGAATGACATCCAAGTGGATTTCCTTGTCGATACCAGTGGTTCTATTCAATGATTCGCCCGGAGCGACACCTTCGCGGTCAACGGCGACGGACCCTCGCTTGTCAGCCTTGCCAGATCCTCAGCCTCGTCTTGGCAGCGAGCCCCCACATCTTGGCATTCATGACGTCAGGCTTCGATTCGAAGTGGTCGAAGCACGAACACGAAGCAAAGGGCATTGGCGCGAACATTTGTGAGAGTGATTTCCGAATACGAGTGTACGCAGCTGGCACACTGACGCAGTAGGTTGATGCGATCCTCTTGCTTTTATCATGGACAAGTGCTTCCAAGGCGTGTGGCATGGTCTTCGCACGGTAGCATTATGACATGACAGTCCCTCGGTACGTGCGGCGGACTGAATGGCTCTCATCTGAGTGGCCGCACTCACTGAGGATACCGAAAGATAGCAACAATAGACTGGTCGGGAAAGTCAATTTTGGATAAGTCAAGCTATACTGAGACAATTCATGGCGTCTTCAACCTCATCTCACAGAATAGACCTGAGTTCGGCGCCACCGATCTTCGTCCTTCAGAGTCATTTACAGCCCGATGAATTTCATGACACAGAGGATTTGATCTATCAATCAGGAGGCCACATAACTTATGATGCGAAGGAGGCGAGATTGTTCATAGGTCGGGTCGCACGGAAAACGCGCGCTGCCTTCGACCTGCGGGCTCAAGGGGTTTGGACAGAGGATTCAGCCTTGCCAGAGGAAGGCCGAAACGGTGGCGGCAACAGCAATACACCAGACGAAGGCCCACCGAAGAAGAAAGCGCGACTCTCGGGCCATCATGGCGCAGGACCTTCCACGAGACACAGGCGGGATAGCTCAAGCACCGTGTCGGCCTCCCCAGAACTGGCTCCGCAAGGTGCAGCCCGTTCATCATCCGAAGTCTTCTGGCCAGATCTGTCCAATCATATCCTTGTCGTCAAACTCGCTTGGCTCGATGCATGTTCGAAGGACGGCAGGCTGCTCCCGTACAAGCCTTATGTCGTCTACACTGCCAGAATCGTCCCCAAGCCGGATGGGGAGACCACGCCGAAAACATCCCCGACGCATACAACGTATGCCAAAGTCGACTCAACTACAGCATCTCAAGCATCATCTCTCCGTCGCACATCTAGACCCGACCCGTCTTCCATCCTCGAACGTGCCAGAGCGGAAGCCGCAACTCTTCCCGCCCGGCGCCGTCGCTGGGGCGACCATGCTCACCACTCACCCACGCCCTCGTCGCAACATCATAAAGCCCCTAAACTCCACCGCACGACCACCTCCGAGATGGAATATATCGCCGCACATCCATTACCACCGCTCCCAGACTGGGCGACTGGTCCCTACGCCCACTACTCATGCTGCCGATCTACATTCCTGACGACCCCCAACTCTGCCTTCATCTCCCAGCTTACCAAGATCAAAGATGCCCGTCAGTTGAGGCTCGACGATATCGGCGTCCGTGCATACAGCACGTCCATCGCCTCCATTTCGGCCTACCCGCATCGCATCGAACACGCCGAAGAAATCGTCCGCCTTCCGGGCTGTGAGCAGAAGATCGCCTCCCTCTGGCGCGAATGGCAGGACTCGGCAGCCACGGACACAGAGCGCTACATCCAGGAAGTCCAAGAGCTCGACGCCGAGCCAGACCTCAAAGTATTGCGGCTCTTCTGGAACATCTGGGGCGTGGGCGCCGAGACCGCGCGGCGGTTCTATTACGACCACGGGTGGAGAGAACTAGACGACATCGTCGAGTTTGGATGGCAGCAATTGACCCGCGTCCAGCAAATCGGGCTTAAATACTGGGACGATTTCCAGGACAAGATCCCACGGGCCGAGGTAAAAGCCATCAGCGACGTAATTCTTCAGCATGCCCGGCTCGTGCTCGATATTCGCGAGGATAAATTTGGCACGAAAGATGATATCGAGTGCGTTGTAGTCGGGGGTTATCGCCGCGGCAAGGCGCTCTGTGGCGATGTCGACGTAGTGGTCACCCACCGCGACGAGTCCAAGACGAAGGACCTGGTCGGAGAGGTGGTCTGCTCACTCGAGGACGCAGGCTATATCACGCATACGTTGACATTGCACACAACGACGAGCGACCGCGGACAGGCGACGTTACCGTATCGTGCTCAACCCCACAGAGGTCACGGGTTCGACAGCCTCGACAAAGCGCTCTGTGTGTGGCAGGATCCGCTATTCGAGGAAGACGGCGCTGGAGACGACGCTGGAGCCGGAGCCAAAGGTGAAAATGAAAGTCACGAAAACGCACCACCACCGCGAGGCAAAAAGAAGAACCCGAACATTCACCGGCGCGTCGACATCATCATCTCCCCCTGGCGCACGGTCGGCTGCGCCGTCCTCGGCTGGAGTGGCGGCACAACCTTCCAGCGTGATATCCGCCGGTTCGTGTCCAAGGTCCATGGCTTGAAGTTTGATTCCTCGGGCGTGCGCAATCGTGGGAACGGGCGGGTGTTGGATCTCGAAGGGCCGAGACCGAGGCTGAGGCTGAACCACGGATCGGGGCTTAACGACACAGACAAAGCCAATCAGAAAGAGATCGAGAGAGAGAAAGAGGTGATCGACTTGTTGTTGCAGGGCACGGCGATCGAGAAGGATGACGAGCGGTGGAAGGGCATGGGGTGGGATGACGAGGATACGTGGTGGGACAGGGAAAGGAGGCTAATGGAAGGATTGGGCTTTGGATACAGGCCTGCAGAAGAGAGATGTACAGGATGAGAAGACGATCTTTATATCCGATGTATATTGCTTCGACACGGGACAAATGGGAGCAACGGGACCATTGGAAACTTTCCATTCAGATACAGTATGCGAAGTGCTCGCTAGCAACAGTAGACGGGATGCAGGCATCCTTGGTGACTGCCAGCACTGGTCACTTCGCAATCCATCAAGTCCTGGGAATACAACATGACAACAGATCACTAACTCCATGAACACAGGTCGTCCACTTCTTGGCATCAACGAAACCTTCGGTCGGTCCATCTCGCAGTCCATCTCGTAGTCTATCTCGTCACTGAATCGATGTGGGTTGGGCTCCGGGTGAAGACTGCCGCCTGTCCACTGACTGTGTCTAACATTTGCACGTCCACGTGAAAAATCGGCTGCCGTTAGCCGCACAGCTCTCCAGACTTTAGAGCCATTCCCTTCAAACGAAATTTCCGCCAGTCTCGCGCCGTTACGAAGCGAAGCTCCCGAAACCGGTGAGCGGAATCCCCAGGACGTGTGATATAGACTATTCTGTAAATGGATTAGCCCAGACCTTGACGGCCTGTGATTGGATGAACGGTTTGGACGTCTACCAAACAACCGATTCGTCACGCTTCGGATAAGCGGCTTGTCGAGAGGGACCTTTACATGACCTTTTGTTCCTGTCTTGGCTACGCTACAGTAGGTGCGTGGAGCTCCTCAAGGTCCTTTGGTCGGATAATCGATGCCTACAGAGTACGGAGTACATATCACGAGATCCGTCGTCGGATCCGCGCTCTTCTGGGCTCCCCATGCCATGACCACCATTCGTCCTCTTTACGAGCCGATTGCAGGTACGTGCAGGCAATGTGTCCACATGAGGTTCCCCATTCTACGACAGCAGGCCGGCTGTCGAGTCGTATGGCCTGATGGCCACGCCATGCGACGCCAAAGGTCTGCACGCGTGATCTCGATGCCGCGAACATGGCGAGAATCACAAATATATACCCAGGACGGAGTGATAACTGTGCAAATATCCCATCCCTTATCCACTGCAGCGACGCATGTCACTCAGCCTTGAATCGACCGGGCATCACATTCCGGACAATATGAACCCAACGCCAGCCCGGAACTCGCCTGCCTTTGAATCTGATTTACCAACGACGTCAAGACCCGACACGACACCCCGAAACTCAAGCGAAGGGACACAACCACAACCACAACCACAACCACATGTCCTCGCCAGCAGCAGCAGCACCACCATGACCCTCTCCCCTACGAGCACTCTATCTCCCATCTCAACTGTGACTTCGTCTTCACCGACACCCACCGCCACCAAGCCACAACACAACCGCCGCGCCTTCACGTTCCACTTTCCGCGGTCGAGATCCAGATCGCCGAGACCATCAAACCTTCCTCCATCGCCATCGGCACCAGCACCAGCACCAGCACCAGCACCGCCATCGCCATCACAGGCGGTGGAGACCTCCATCTCCATCTCCATCCCCCCATCCACACCGCTCAAGCACGCCAGGACATCACCTCTCCCAGCACAGCGAGGCCAGAACCAGGGGATAAGCAGCAGCAGCAGCAGCAGCAGGCCCGACCGTGCCGTCTCGCCTACAACAACACTGACCTTGTCGCCCGGGCCGATCGAGAAGCGAGATAGTTGGTTGCAGAAGAAGAAACCCAGATCTAGCGGGCCTTCTCCCGGTGGGTACGGTCGACATGGGGACGATTGGCTGTTCGGTGGGTTCAGCATTCGCGAGACGGCCCGGGAGATCGTGAGTCGTGGGACGCGGAAGAAGGAGGGCGATGGGGAGGAGGGGAAGAGGAGGTCGACGTGATCATGTTGGCAGATCGAACGGTCACCGTGACATAGAGTAGTATGCTGTGGCGTGGCGGGGCGTGACGTGACCTGCCATTCTACGTAAGGCCTACGGTCTGAGCACGTGGTTTGTTTGTTCCCTTGACGTATTGATGATAATTATGGCATGCGTAGGTTCGAGCGAGGCGTCTGTGAAGTGCATTGTTGGGTTGATCTACTTGTTATGTTCTCCCTAACAGCCATTCTCTTCGACCGGAATTTGACCTGATGAAGAAGCTCCACATGTATCGTCTATCAAATGCTGATAACCATGGCGCTCATATCGGCGTACGCTTAAATAGCTCAATTACTCTCTAGGCTCTCCATATTCGCCAGCCGTGCATCTGTGCTTGTCCTCGTCTCCTTGCAAAGGCCTCTCACAAGCACTTGGATGGACCCCTCAACCCATCTCACCTGATCTCAAACTCCCGTTCTCTCAGACTCCTCGCATCACCACCACCGTATCTCTCCTTGCAGTATCGGCCTAGGTAGCCGCTTCCGGCTCGTATGAAGCAGATCTTTTGCTCCGGACTCTCTGTCCCGCCACTGACACGACGATCAGGGTGGGTGCTAGACTTAGCCTCGTACAGTTCATAAAGTTTGAGCAGTGGCGATTTTGCTGGAGGGTCGGCTGTGAAGTCCGTGTCGTTGAGCATTTTCTCGGTGACGAGGTGCCAAAACGTGGCATTGAGAGGTAACTGAGAAGGCCATGGGATGCCTAGCCCGTGTTTGCTGTCGCCGTCGTCCCGTTGTTGTCGCTTGTCGTCGACTGAGTCTGAATTCGAGTGCGGATCTTCCAAACTGGGCTTGATTGAATACGCCTCTCTTGCGTCGTACTCAAACTCCCAGACTGGCTTTGTCCATCTCAGACTGTTGCTCATGTTCGCAATGTACGTCTGCGCGCCCATGACGGAGAAGGTCTTGCTGTCGATCTGATAGACTCGATAGCCGGAGTTCAGACCCGTCAGAGGGGTGATCGAAGGGCCGATGTAAGACACTTGGAGGGGCTTAGCGATGTCAATTTGAGTCGTATCACGGAGTTTGCGTGGCACGTCTGGGTTGCTGCGATCTGGGACGGAGACCTCCGAGGATGGAAGATAGTCATAGAAGATTTGCAGTTGATCTTGGTGCGTGTGTCTGCTCGATGAGAGATGATCAGCTTGTAGCCTTGTATTAGTTCTGGCACCAGCGAGGACACGTACCCGAAGAAGATTGCTGCGATGGTGGCGGGTGAGAACCTGCGCACTATGGAATAGAACAACGCCGTTGGATTCGGCATCGGCGAGGCCCCGTCGTACCCGGACAGCACATGAGCAATGATCCAGGCCCGTTGATCTCTTTTCTCGCATGCCGAGAGCTCGTCTGCCAGCCATTTCAGTATGCCGCTGGGGTCTGGGTTGGTGACGTTCCAATAGTTGAAGATATTCTCTTTGTACCAGAAGTCGGAGTTTAAGGAAATGATGCGCAACCCCTGAGCTGTGGTCGTTGCGTATGCACCGTAGTGGGTGCGCGCAAACTCAGCCTCAGTATCGTTGAGCCAGGAGTGGCTGGACCATAAGGTAGACACGAGGTCATAATTCCATTGCAGGATATTGCTGCTGCTGTTCGTTGGATCCGGGTCCATGGCATGCGGAGTGTTGAAGCCGACGGGTAGGGTGTCGTGGTTTCCAAGTGCTGCATAAATGGGCGTCTGATCGCCCAGCATTCGCTTGAAAACTTTGAAGGTGATCTCTTCTTCGTAAGAGACATAATCATGTGAGAGCAAATCTTCAGGATCATGGGAGACGATGTCGCCGGTGAAGATGCTGAAAGCCAGCTCTTCCATGTCAAAGAAAGCAGGCATGTTGACGAAAGCTGAAAGGGCCAGGTCAGCAGGCGAGTCGCACAGGAACGATCCAAATCTGGAGGCTGGGATCGAAGGGTTGCGAGAATCGGTGGATAGCTCCGTGTTGACCGAGTATGGCCGGCAGCACATGTAGTTTGAACAATTGCCTTCAGACCCGATATCATATCGGGGGTCAAGGTGCCAGTCCGAGAGGTGAAGCACATTGAATGTCTGATCAGAGGGTTCCGGGGCGATATTGGCCGACTCTGGCTTTGGAGTGAAGTACAAGTCTTCGTCGATCAGGATCGGAGGTTCCTCTTCGCAGAGTTGATAGTTGACAGAGCAGAAGTGCTGCATGTCGCCTGTTGCCAGGGACATCTTCGAGAAGAGCTGTGCCATGTACGGGCCGAATCCTCCGACACCACTGAAGTGCGATTCACAAGACGCTGACCGGAGCTTGGCTTTGATTGGAGGAAGAGCGTTGCATGCTTTGATGAGTACGCTCGTGAAGACCGATACGGGTTGGGTAATGGCGGCAACATGGAGCACTTGGCCCGCCGCGATGCATTTCGAGCATACATCGGGGTAGTACGGAGTCTCAACAATGGAGAGCAGTTCGTCCACGATCGACACCTCAATTGCTTGTCCGCTCAAAGGGGTTATGGGCTCGGGTATCGGTGACTTCTTGTCATACGAAGGAACTGGGCCTGTGCCATTGTAATAGAGCTTGATCAGGTCGTTTCCGATGGTGTTCGTGAGCTCTGGGTTCAACGCTTCCGGTAAGCCAGTCAACGGAGCTTGGGCGTTTGCATTGCCGGCAAAGGCTGCTGTCACCAGAGACGTGTGTTTGAGAATGGCCCAGTAGCCGACGAGCGCCCCGGAGAATGAAAGAAGCATGAAGAGCGCGGAGGGTAGGCTGGCACCAAGTCTTTGTAGCATTGGTCAGTGATTTGTGTCTGTTGATGGCTGTCGAAACCGGTTCCGTCTGCAGTCCGCAAGCTCCATATACCAGCCGATCATTGGGCGTGGCACTCGTGAGACCCTGAGCTCGGGGAGGTGTGCAGGGATTCTGCAATCACTTTCATAGACAGATTTCGACGGCATCGACAAAAAATGAGATCATTCTCAAGATGGAGGGCGGGAGTTCGGCCAATATTCGGATGGTTGGGCTCGCCAAGGAAGCTGCTTGGTTCGTGTTCAGGTGAATCTGAGCACAAGGTCAACACTATTCTCACGCGGAGAGCCCGTGGTACAACTCTGAGCAGCTCTCACCACGAGAAAAGCCATGATGCCGTCTCAGGGAACGAGTCCTCTCTCATCGTCAGATCCCAAATATTCTTCCCGGAGGTGGTGGTGCTGGCGGCGGGATGAGTTGAACCTGACGCGACATGGGGAAGCACATAGGGACAGTTGGGTGGAAAGACAAGCCGCAACAACCTATTCAGAAGGGAGGAATTTCAGCTGAGCAATAAGATCTTTGGAACTGCGGTTCTTAATTCTGAGCGAGTCACAAAACGAGGATGCTGTGTCGCTCCTGCTTTTTCAAGGACGGGTGTCGTCTCTTCGCCCTTTCCTGACTCTGTCGAGGCAAGGATGACGCTTGTGGGCTTTCTAATTCCTTTTATATTCATCTGACTTTCATCTCATGTCTGCTGCTTTCCTTCTCCTCTACTTTCAAAATCGAAGCGCGACTCGAATTTCCCAGCTTCTATTCTCCTTCATCGTGTCTTGTCAGCCGAGCTGTACGGAAGACCAAAGCTATCGCAATGCACTTCTCAGCTCGGATTGCAGTCTTGTTGCTGCCCCTTCTGATACCGTTTTCCCTTGTCAACTCCCTCCTCGCCCCAACGGAATCGCCAGAGAGTGGCAAGACATGCACGAACCTCACGGACACGGTGAGCAAATCCTTCCGCTTCTCGGATGGCTCTCAGTCTTGAAAGACGCACCTTCTGACATCTCGTCCACAAACAGTTTGATGAGGCTGGCTTCGTCCTAGTTCCTCAACTCACACCGGTCGGCATGTATCATGGACACACATACGGTGGGTTTGCCACCTCGGTGAGTTCCCTGTCGTTGCCCTCGTCGACTGTTTCAGTCTGTCTGACAGAAACTTCCAGTCAGAAAGCAAGCTGCTGGGCACAATTGGTGGAGTCAACGCAAAGTCGTCACCCAATGTGGCCTCTAGCACCATCTTGAACGACCTCATCCAGCTGGGCCAGCTCACTCTCCAGCCCTTCGGCAACATCACCGCATCTCCCTCTCAGTATTTTGATATCTACTCCGGTTGGCTCGCATGTATCCTCATGCAAGGAAATCCGCAGGCGCCAGCCTTGCCATCGGGATGTACTGTGACGGTGACGGGTGTCGGCAAGGATAACAACGTCGTTCCGGAGTATACGGTCTCATTCTCGCCGACAAGTCTCTTAGCCAACTCTATGGTTTTCTTCCAGCTGCCAGACACCTTCAGGAACCTCATCAGCGTCACATTCGGGGTAGCAACTTCAACTGTGTCCCCGGAACTTTCCGTCTTACTCCTCGACGATGTCACTGTGTGCTCTTATTCTTGACGTGCAGGATTGTTTCCAGCCGAGAAGCCTTGATCCAACAGTCGCTCTTTTCCTGTATGAATCGTGGCCTGGAATATCTCTTTACTCGGTCATAGTCTATCCCAACAATAGCTTCCGATGCGGGTCGCAACCAGGGTCTCGGAGATATGGTGTCGGCGGCACTGGTGGCCAAAGGAATAAGTTTAGAGTTCAAATCATTGGCGAACGTATTCGCGAGGGGATATTCGCTCGAGTATGTGTGGTGCCTCACTCTCTCATCGCATCTGCACGAGAGGAAGCTTCTGCGATAGATTTAGAAGCATAAGGTTTCATCCTCATCTCAATGGACAACAGAAATGAAAATGAGGCTCCTACACGGTATTCTCTGGGAATCGACCCTGTTGCTGACAAGACCCTTCCTCAACAATGGCGCTTAACTCTGCCCTAGTCATTTGGGCCGACAGGACTTCCGTTGGCGAAATCGCCGCTGACGAACACCACCAGGACTGCCGCATACGCGGCGCACGAGCCGAAGATCTCTGCTCTCCTTGCATTCGTGACAAGGGCAACGGTCCCCACGAACAAACACGTGAACAGAGCAATCAATCCAAGCGTCAACCCAGGCTGGCCGGAAGACATGTGGTAGAGCACATATATCGGTAGGGCCGAGAGGACTGTTGTGATGAACAAAGCCGCAAAGTTGATACGCTCGATCGAGTAGTGGCGTACTTCTGGCGAGGATAGGTGTGTTGGACCATGAGAAGGAGCCCTACGTCGGACTTTGAAGAGTCGCGAGCAATATGTCTTTAAGATGTATGTCAAGAAGTCCGGTTCGGGATGGACTTCAGCGAGACGTGGTCGGTCAGGGTTGCTCGCACCGCCTGGAGAGCAGCGGAAAGAGGTGCGAACCGTGGCCCATCAGAACGGCATCTGTCTCGGATGGATCGTCGAAGCTCGATAGTCTCTGGTGGAATGTACGCGACAAGGCTGTCATGGTCTGCTTCGATGGGGGCGACAACGACAACACCTTGGCATTGGCGATGAGAGCTTCGCGGTACTCTCCCAACTTCGCTCTGATCTGCATGGCCAAGTCCGTTCGCCCCTTCCACCGCGCCCCTATCGCACTGGGCTCTTGCGAGCTCTGCTTGAAAGAGGACCAGTTCCGCGTATTCTGCCGAATCTGAACCCACTCGGGGCTGAAGCTGTCGAGCTTGGGGACGTCGGCGGCATCTTCGCGGTCGTATCGATCTTGCAACGCCTCAAGCTCCAACAGCTCAGCTTGATAGTAGAGCAGATCGCGGGCTGCGAGCTTGTCGAAGGTCTTGTAGACCGCTGTGGCGTGGTCACTGTCGCTGGAGATGACGTTTGCAAACGAGCCGAAGCCGGTCAAATATTGCTGGACCTGGGCGCCTTTCTCCTCGTCAGCCATCAAGCAGTAGCTGAACTCTGCTTCACCAACTTCTACAATATCAAAGTAACCTGAACGGCGGCAGTATTGAGGAGGCATCACCCAGTCGCCATGGACCATCAGCCCAGGTTCAAGTCAATAAAGAGAGAGGGATAGATTTCTCGGACTCGTGTCTTCCACAGCTTGATTTCATGGCCAGCAAACGCTGATTTTGGAAAGGCGTACATAATCACAGACTTTAGCGATAGAGCACTGAACTTTCTCAAGCCCCGAGATCCAGATTGGTAGTTACAGGCCTTGACGCAGCTTATTTAACCTGGGTGCCGGTCTCGATCTCTCTCCGGTCGTGACATGGACATCGACCTTGCAGACATGAGGGACTTGTTTCTGACATGCAGTATCTGCCGCGAAAGGGGGATTAATTATGCCGACGCAGCGACACAACACGCAGAGGAAACGAAGTCGAGGAACACTCGGTTATTTGCCTGTCATTTTGAGACCTTAAAGGGCCAGGTGGGAATTGTAACTGTTTAGGCGCGTCTATCTATCATGCATGCTATGGTCATCCAAGGCCCAAACTATCGCGGAATACCTTCAAGCTTGCCAAGCCATTACTTTCCTCCCCTTTTTTTTTTTATACATTCTCTTCCGCATGGCACTTCTTAATACACCTCAAGAACGTAACGGCCCTCATCCTTCAGCTTCATGATCTCCCTGGCCGTGTCGATCTTCTTGGTGACGCCCTTGGCCTTTGCATCCCGGGCGATCGCCTCCTCGAGCACGTTGGTCACGTCCGGCACCGGCCACGTGGGCCCACAGAGGTAGAACGCCCCGTCCTCCTGGATGTAGGCCTTGATGATGCTGTCGAGGGTCTGCCGCATGCGGTCCTGGATGTAGATCTTCTGCGGCTGGTCGCGGGAGAAGGCGCGGCCGAGCAACGTGATCACCCCGGCGGCCTGGTAGGCCTCCCACTCCTCGCCGTAGCAGTACTCCTCGCGCTGGTGACGCGAGCCCATGTACAGGAGCACGGACCCGATGTCCTTGCCCTGCGCCTTTTCCATGGCGCGGTGCTGCACGAAGGCGCGGAAGGGCGCCAGTCCCGTGCCCAGCCCGGCCATGATGATCGGCTGCGTGGAAAGGGGAGGCAGTTTCATGACCGAGGGTTTGACGCTGACGGTGACGGGGGCGCCGACGCGCAGGTCGCTCAGGTATTTCGTCGCCTGACCGAACCGGTCGCGGCCCTTGGGGTCCGTCCAGTTGACCACCACGACCATGAGGGCCACGGACGTCGGGGTGACGGCCTGGCAGGACGCAATGGAATACTCTCTCCGCTTCATGGGGCTGACGAGGCGCACGATGTCGTGGAAACTAGGGTGTGCCGAGGGGAATTCGAGCAGAATATCCGCAAAGGTGACGGTGTCGACTTCGGCGCGGCGCTGGAATTCCTTGAATCCCTCCGGCCCGGCCAGCGTGAGGAGGTTCTTCTTCTCTGTCTCGTCATCCGCGAACGCCGCGAGGTCTTCGTAGAATTTCTTGCCCGGGCGGCCGAAGATGTCCACGTTCTGCATGAGGGATTGGTAGATCGTACGGTTCTCGAAAATGTCCGGATTATCGCGGGATTGGATCTCCACGACGTCGTTCTCGTTCAGGCCATACCATTTGATGAAGTCCATGACGTGGTCATGGTTGTTTTCCGCGTGGATGCCTAGCGCCTCGCCAATGTCGTACTTCAAGCCCGAGTCGCCGAGGTCGAACTCGATGTGGAAGATATTCCGGTCATAGGTCAGCGGTGTGAGGCGCCGGTTCTCCTTGACGTGCACTGTGTATGTCTTTGTCGAGAGATCGGGCCGCAACTGCGACGAGCTGTTGTATGCTTCTTTGAAGAGGAGACCCTTTGCGGCCTTTTGCCAGCTTCGCAAGACCGAGGGTGGTTCTTCGACTTCGGACTTGTCGAAGTTGGCGAAGCTGTTAAGGGAGATGTTCGTGGGCAACACGGACTCGGACTGCTCGACTTCCAACTGAGACCATTCTTTGGGAATCTCGATTTGACGGAGAGTTTTCTCCAGATCCGCGGCCACTTGCTCGAGGGTCTCAAGATCGCTGTTGATTGAGGCAAGTTTCTGCAGACCTGTTTCCTCAAAGCTGCGGAGAGCAACGCGGAGGAAAGCGGCCTGAACAATCAAGGATTCGAGGTCGGCGAGCTCGGAGGAGATGGCCGTCCTAGACGGGTCGACCAGGAACAAGCTAACCCCTTTTTCGGCGATACTCTTTTTGAATCTTGTGGGGAGTTTCTTTTCGACATCCTCGTCCTTGACGCCTGGGAGGAGGAGAACGATGTTGCCGGTTTGCTGTACGGATTTCGGGATATCAACTTTCTCCAAGAGCTTGACGTCAGTGACCACGGCGGTGTTGGCGTAGGTGATGGGATATGCGGCATCGAGGCTCTTGGTCGATTTGCGAATATCCACTCTGTGAACGCCTCCTTGCAGGAGATTGTCGTGCGTCGCATTGATAGTTACGTTCTGAGCAGATTCGGTGGCCAGTGCTTCTGCCAAATACGTCGCCGCCGACGCCGATGGCGCGTCGTCGATGTTCCAGAAGGAATACCGTTGAACGGAATTATCCAAGAATGTGGTGATACCTTGATCGGTCGAAGTCTTGCCCAACAGCATCTGGAATATGGAAGAGATAGAGGAAGGCGTCCAGGTCTCGGCGCGAGCATACTTCAACTCCCGTACCTCGGGCGTGTCATGGATGGCCAGCCCGTACGACGCAGCAACGAGCACATCTTCGTACAATTGGGAGTGGAAGCCGGCTTCTTGGACAGCTCGCGCGTCAGGGACCTGACCAAGGACACCAACCACCCGCACGCCTTTGGGGATGAGCTTCAGGAAAGCTTCTTCGGCGAAAGGTCGATACAATCGGACATTGATGGCTCCAACCCTGCTACCGGATTGTGCCAATGCGGTCGCTGCTTGACCAGCAAGTGAGGACTCGACCGAACCGAAAGTCACCAGGACGACCTCGGGTTGCTCGTGACCGTGATACTCAAACGGCTTGTAGTCAGTACCCAGCTCATCGTTGAGAGCACGCAGCGTCTTCAATGCCTTTCCTTCGGTGCTCAGATGCTTCCGATCTTCGTCAGAGATGGATTTTAGAATCGAGTTGTATGTGGCGCCTAAGCCGGACTTGTCGAGAATGTCAATGACACGTGTAGTGTCTCTGCCGACTCTCAAGCCGTCATATATGTGCAGGGAGGGGACATCCTGCGCCAGGAGGGTGGCAAGAAGCGACATATGCTGCACTTCGTACGCAGACTGGCTAGCAACCAAGGCCAGACCAAGATCCTCTGCAGCTGCTAATGCAGAGACGTAGTCTGTCACGAGACCGCCATTCTTATCGCCTTCGTAGTCGAGTGCTGCCAGGTGAGCGACGAATGGGTTGCTGACCGAGTAAAGTAGAGAAAGCTGGTCGAGCACGGGTCTCAAGAAGGGGAGCGCCGAAGACGGCGCCAGCAGACCCTGGGGGATATGTCGCTTCTTCAGATCGAAGTCCTTGGAGAACATGTATCCCATGGCTATTGAACCGGCCCCATTGCGAATCTGCATCGACTGAATGCCCGTCGTGTAGCCGTTGAGGTTCGCCTCCTGCGTCTTCGCCCATGATTTCGCTGCAGCGTCGAGATCAAATGTTTCTGGGGAGTAGGAGAAGATCTTGTCGGACAAAGCATACGCGACCTGCTGGACGAGCGTCTGGGCAGTCACGTAGGTAGGACCCCCAATGGAGGACAGGGAAGGGGATTGACCGAACGGGAGGTTCCTTGCTGCACTGGGAACCACCTTGGTGTTCGCCTCGGGGGCTGGCCCATTGGAAGAGGGGTGTTCGAGACGCATATTTGTGAGGGAGAACAGACACAGAACAACATCAACAAGCAACGCAAGAGACTGCCTACCTTTTGAACCAGAATGCACTCCATATGGACATCGAAAGCCGACTGCCGACCGACTGCCACTCAGTTTGTGAATTGCGTTATCGGCAGTAAGAAATGATGCCTTCGAGAAAAATTTTGGTGGCGGCGACTTCAATCACGCAATTCGCGCTAGCAGATCGAAATCCAGGGCCGAAGAAACGGCGGCCAATGCGGGGTGATCAGGCTGCGCAAGGCTCAGGCGTGCATTTGCCGTTGAACTATCGCGATTTCAGCTTAGCGGGATCCTCCGCCTGGGTGTTGCTCGGCCATTGGCGATCCGTCCATGCATTACTCTGTGCTCCGCCCTAGTAGCTTCAGACCGAGCGCGGCAACCACGAGCATCAGGTGAGGTAGAGCAAGTTCTGGCTCACAAAGTGTGTTCGAGAGATTTCAATCCGGCAGCCTGTGACAAACAAGTGCTTTCACCACCCAGCTTGATTGAGGCCGAGTTCCGCCGCAGTCTACGCCGAAACCCTGGAGGTTCTGAGCATAACGAGGGGCAAGACCATTGCCAGAGTCGCAAGCTTCTGGCACCATTGCTTAACAACCGAAACAGCTGAGGGTCACTATGTCCAAAGCGCTCATCCTAGGCAGTACCGGCCTGGTAGGGTCCTTCATTCTATCAACCCTGAAGGCCAGCCCTTCATCAACATTCTCGAGCATTGAGATCATCGCGCGACGTTCTCCTGCAGCAGGCAAAGATTCCACCATCCCCGTCAACGAGTTTGTCGAGAAAGACACCACAAAATGGGCGGGCCATCTATCATCAATCTCGCCTGCACCATCAGTCGTGTTCTCGGGCCTAGCAACCACCCGTGCTGCGGCAGGCGGCTTCGAGAATCAGTACAAGATAGAGCACGACCTGAACATTGAACTCGCCAAAGCTGCCAAGGCCGCTGGGACCAAAACGTACGTCTTGATATCCGCAAGCGGCGCAAACGCGCACTCCATGTTCGCCTATGTCAAGATGAAAGGCGAGATCGAGGAACACATTAAGGAGATTGGCTTTGAGCACACGATTATCGTCCAGCCCGGGTTGATCATCGGTCACCGCGAAGAATCACGATTTGCCGAAGGCATTGCACAGAGTCTTGCCTCGGCGATTGGTAAGATTCACGGTTCGTTCAAGGATTCATGGGCCCAGGATGCGGATGTCATTGCGAAGGCGGCTGTCTCTGCCGCAATCAAGGTCGAGAAGGGCGAGGTCAAGGATAAGGTGTGGGTGCTGAAGCAGAAGGACATTATCCAGCTCGGCTCAAAAGAATGGACGGCATAATCAAAACAGGAAACTTCAGGAAGCGCGGCAACTTTTGGTAATCGTAATGGGATTTTGGACAAGCAAGTGGTGTCGGATTCAGGCGCTCTCTTGCGTGGATGTTGATAGATACCCTTGATTATGCAAATGCCATTGACAGCTTTGGCCTCTCAAAAACACGCTCATTCTTATGTACAGGTCCATGCGGTCTCTTTGCTCGGTCGTGCGGATGGTTGGCCGCCAGACTCTGGCGAAACGCTTGTGTTTGCCTTGTGCGATGCTCTCACCGCTTCATCGTCTTCAGACGTTACGCTCCGACCGCTTCGGCTTCGCACCACCCTCTTCCTCTGAGGTGCCCTGGCTGATTTCCGGGTTTGCAGGACTTGCGTCCAGTGGATTCACCTGGTTGCCTTCACCAGCCTTTTCTTTCGCCTCTTGAGGATCGGTGATGTTGGGGTCGAAGGCCGCTTCCTCATTGCCAGCGGATGATTCGTCAGTGCCAGACTTGGAGTACTCGTTCGGGTCTCTGTCAATCTTCTCTCGGTCGAGTTGTGCCGCTCGCTGATTGTTGGGGTTTTCTTCGGGGTCTTGCTGTTGAGCAAAGCGTCGGGGTGCCGAAGTGAGGGTTCGAAACGGCGTCCTCGCAGGGTAGAAAGGTCGAGCGACCGAAGGGAGACTGCGAGGGAGACGTAGTAGTGATGATGGTGGCATGATGAAGGCTCTGCAACTGCGGGCTCAGTAGGCTCTGTGAGAAAGATGCTCTCGTTCAGGAAGCTATCGAAACTGTGTTGGTATGACACGGAGTACACTTTGAGTACCACACTTGCTTTGTGTGTTGGAGAGAGGCTTTGAGTGTGAATTTCGACTCTAGAAATCAATGACCAAAGACGTCTTCAAGTCTACAGCTGGTCTGCTCTCTTCTACTGCAGACTTGTACGAGGTACGCAGGAAACGTCGTCATCTCACTTGACGAACCTGGTGATGCGATCTGCTAAACGTCCAAAGCTAGGTGACGTCATATCGAGACCAGACGGATTCGCGATCCGCAGATCATTATTTTCTGGCTTCCACCTCAATTCAGATTGACATTGGGAGATTCACAGATCAAACTTCTGTCCTACCAGCTTCTCACTGAGCTCCCACAACCGCTCTGCCATCTTCGGATCACCCGCCCAGGCAGGAGCTTCTGCGATATCTGCGTCGGCCAGATAGATTCCTTGCCATCAGTCTTGTAATTTGCTGGACCCAAGCTATAATCCAGCCCGGCCCTCAGCGATGTGGCGCACCCCTGATCGAGGGTTACAAATAGGCTTTTGAATTTCTCAGCCACCGAAGCGAACTCTTCCCGCTCAAGATGGCGACTTAGCTCCGTCAAGATAGCACCTGGGTGCAACCCGAAGCTGAGGATACCGTACTTTTCGTACAGCCTCGAGGTAAGTGCCAACGAGAAGAGGACGTGCGCAGTCTTAGACTGTCCGTATGCAATTGGAGGATTATAACTATCATTCGGGTCGACAGTCTGGCCAGTTTGGGCAAGGGCGTCGTACGCAGGTTGCTCCGACTGCGGTAAGCTTTCGTTGGTCTTGTCAATGTTGATGTCTGAAAAGCGGACGGGGCTGTAGACAGCTCCACGGGACGAGACATTGATGATCCGTGTGGTTCCCTTGACATTCGACTTGGCCGCTGCAACGATCTTGGGCATGATCAGATTGGTGAAAAGGAAGTGTCCAATGTGGTTGATTGCAAATTGCATTTCGATGCCTTCAGAGCTTAGTTGGCGCTCCGGGATTGACATGATGGCAGCATTGTTGAACACGAGGTCGATTTGCTGGATCTGAGCATTGGACAGAATCGATGCCGCCGCCTCGCGGACCGACTTTTGAGAACTTAAATCCAGTGCAATTGGAACATAGGTCGTGCTGGGCGACTTGGGCTTACACTCCTCGATGATTTCAGACATCTTGGAGGGCGTGCGACTCGCGAGAACGAGCACCTTTGGAGAGTGGGCGCTTAGGATCTCGACCATCTCGCCGCCTAGGCCACCTTTCTAGTTCTCCCATCAAATCAGTGTCATTACTGGATTACGAGCTAACAAAACTGTCTCAAGAAAGGGCACGATGCTGTGAATGATATTTCACTGGAATAGGGAGCTTACCTTGATGCCCGTAATAAGTATAGACTTCCCCTGGATGGCCGAAGAGAAGATCTCTGCGACGGACGTGCCCGTCGTGGATCTGTCGAGAACGCGTTTCAGACTTGCCATTTCGTCGACACGCGCCTGGAATTTCTTTCTTCTTTCGCGCGGAAAAAGGCCAAGATACCGTACCTCCAGCTTCGTCGACTATATTTCAGCCGAAGCAGATGGAAGAACAAGTTAGACCGAGCACTCAGTATAGCTCATGAAAGCTATCCATCACGGTTTATATGCAGGAACGACCTTAGATGGAGCCTCAGCAGGTTGGGAAACCCCCAGACATACGTTTCCTTTCAAGCAATCACCCCAGCACACTACATAACCGGACGATATGGGTTATTCACGGTATGTGTGCCCGGAAATAGCCGCGTATACGTCCGTGAGTACATATGTCCGGGGCGGAGCATGGCTTGTGTCTTGGCCAGATGTCATCTTCTTGCATGAACTCCACAGCTAAACAGTTTGTCGAGACAAGATGTGTGTTTCAGGCTCGGCGGCTGGCCGTCGATGTCCTCGACCATCACCCCGGAAGCGGTATACATAAAATGAGGTCCGACCGACTGGATGGAAGATGCCATCAGATCTTACGGGATAGGAACAATGAGGGCATAGACGAGGAGACACTCTGACTTGAACAAGCAGGTACTCTCTCAATAATGTTCCCACACCGTGCACATCTGACTCGAGTCGAGTCGATTCGTCAATCCACTTCCGCTACGGAGCTGCTTTCCCTTCCCTCGGGCTTTTCTCCTGTGTTGAAATGTACATAGTACTCTACACGCTGCATCGGAATCACTTCAAGAAGTTCCCATTCGTCTTGGCCAGCTGCTCGTCATAGTACGGCTGGAAAGCGAGCCATCCCTTCTCGTCCGTGCCCACCTGGCTATATGAGAACTGGGCCTCCTCGTCCGAGATGAGCTTGATCTTGTGTCCGCTACCCGCGCTGGCCGCGTCAGCGAGCAACTGCGCATGGCATGTCTTGTCCAGCGAGATGAACCAAAAGGCAGCCGAGTCGACCTGGACACGAGAACGAGAACGAGTTAGCTAGATACTTCCGGCGACGGTACAGGAACGCCAAGAGCGGAAGGAGAGAGAATGACCGACCGTTTTGCCGACCGTCAACAGCCCGTGATTCTGCAAGATGACGGCCTTCCCGTTGCCCAGCGCCTTCGCGATCCTCTTGCCCTCCTCGCGATCCAAGACCACTCCGCCAAAGTTGTCGTACACGGCGTGACTCTTCCAGAAGCGCAGCGAATCCTGCGTCATCATGTCGAGTTCTCGGCCAAAGGCACTGAAGGCCTTGCCGTACACGCTGTGAGCATGGCACGCCGCGTCGACGTCGGGCCGCGCCTTGTGGATCTCCGAGTGGATGGCGAAGGCGGCGGCGTTGATGGGCTCGTCGCCCTCGACGACCTGGCCGTCCTCATTCACGAGGATCAGGTCGCTGACGCTGATCTGGGAGAAGTGTTGCGAGAGAGGATTGAGCCCTGTGAGGGAGGGGCGAGAGAGCCAAGGGGTCAGTCATGCAGGAGAGATTCTTCTGACTTGTTGGCCGCACGGGGCAAAAGAAAACCGCCAAACTTACAGAAATGGTCCGTCAGGATCGGATCCCTCACCGAGATATGCCCCGCCACGCCTTCATCGAAGCCTCTCTCCGCGAAGACTCGAAACGCCGCGGCGAGATGCTGTTTCCTGTATAGTCGCTCCTCCTCCAGGGACTGAAACTTCGGATACGCGCGGATCCTGAGTTTCTTGCCAGAAGTGGTCGTTCCCAGAGCCCCGACGGCGACGTTGGACGGGGTCGAGGAGTCGTACACATCGAGTGCCGGTGCCATGACTGTAATCTTTTATATCTCTGGATCCTTTACACACACTCACGGGCGTGCTCAGGATGCTCGTCAAGATCCGTTCTTCTCGGTGGCGATGATGAAATGGAGTGTCTCGGCTAAGTCGCTCGAGGTGCCGATTCCGTCGGTACCTAATTCAGGTAATATGAATTCGGCGGGGTCGTCGATAGATTTCACCTTACTGTCAGATGGTGGATTGGGGCCCTGTTCCTGAGCTATTGCCACAAGAAATACTTTATAGCGATGCCGCAAAAGATAGAAAGGAGAGACAGCGCGATGAAGGATCGTCTTCCAAAGAAAACCCCGTCAATTCGGCATGTCGGCATCGGGGTGGTTGATCATCCCTCCCTCATCGGCGTGCGATACGGCAGGAGAGCGTTGATGCGGGGGAAGAAGGCCGCACAGGAGTTTCCCTTCCGACGGAAGGGCAGGGCCATATGATTGGGAGAAACGTGTTCCGGAGCGTGGGTTTTCTTCCAGCGCGGGGAAATGGAGAGAAGTCGAGAAGTCGAGAAGTCGGCGCGTGAGAGGCCAGAGACACAGAAGCTTTCTCCAAGAGGTCGATCATGGTTTGGCTGCCGGCGGAAGGACAGAACAGTGGGGATGATAGACAAGGAGGGTAATTCCAGTTTAACACAGAGTACGGAGTACAAGTACCGTCTCTCCATTGTGAAGACATTCCCAGGTGCATGTGTGATTTCTGCAGAGGAAATGAGAAGCAGGGATTTTGGCCTTTGCTAGTCTTGAAAGCTCGATGAGACGGATTGTTCTCACATAGTCTACACGTCCAACCCTTGTCATTCAATACATTGCTGTTCCACCAAACCAGCGCCGGTGCTATGCAGACATTAAAGACCCGAAATCCAGGCCACCTGTGTTGTACACTTCAGCATATCACTCCCTCGTCTTTTTTGGCTTATTCGTGCCCGCTTCACAAAACGGAGATCAGGCCAGCGCTTTGCCCTCTTCTTTCTTCTCGTTCTGCGTCTTGGCCCATTTCTTGCCCAACTCGTATGAGCTTATCATGATGGCGCAGGCGGGCGCGACTTTCATACAACGAGCCGCCCATCCCTTGAAAAGTCCGGCAATGCCCTCCTCTGTGTAGATATGGTGCAAGAACCGGGTGATGTGGAGCTCTTCAGGAATGTGCTTTCCCGCCTTGGCGGCTTCTCTGGCGCTGACCACAGACGCGGCGTCGTCCCCAGCATGGTGATACACCTGTTGACGGGTCTTGCCCACGTCGAATGGCGTGGTGATAAATGCAGCAATGGCACCAGAGCCTGAGCCAGCAATAAAACTGTCGATGAAAGTCGTCATGTGATCTTGATCCGCTTGAGCCGCTCGGCCACTGGTCAAGGAGCGACCAGGATCGAGATGCCGCCCTCGTGCCACTTCCCTCGCGTCTGTCAGTTTGTTGCGAATGGCTTCGTATCCCCACCAGTAGAAGCCCGAGAAGGGAACATCTCGCCACAACGTCAACGTAAGTCCCCGCCAGAGGGAAGTGTATCCCTGCGTCCGAGCCATGCGATGCAAGCCAAGTAAGGTCTCCTTGAAGACACCTGAGCCACTTCCGGCAGTGGCCTGCATACGAGTCCGGAACATCTCGATAGGTGAGACCGCAATCCCAGCTGCTACCCTCGCGACAGAACCAGCAACCAAAGGAGCATAGGTGTCGGATACGATCTTCCGGAGCGGACTGGCATGGCTGTAGCGCAGCCAGTCGTAGCCGGTGAAATAAATGACATTGCCGGGAATTGCCATCGCCAATGTGGGAGACATTCCACGCCACAAGGTCGGGTATCCTTCATTCCTCGCAATCTTCTTCATGGCATCCATGGTGGACGTGAAAGTCTTTTGCTGAGTTTCTTCCACTGCACAGTCCGCTATGAGCGTGGAAGATCCTTGAATGGAGCCATTCCCTGCCAGGCAGAACTGACCATTGTTTCCCACAAAAAACACTTCCCGACAGCATGAGTTCACACCAAGGTCGGGAGGGAGGTGTTTGAAGCTCGTCGAGTATGCGGGAAACCGGGAGAGATTTGTGGGCGGGGGCGCCTGCTGAGACTGCAGTCGTACGCGGACAACGTCGAGTGGTGTCACTATGCAGAGTCAGTACAGGCGTTGTGATGTTAATTTCACCCACTGCGACATACCAAGCAGTGTAGTAAGGACGCTTCCCCAGGTGGCGGATATCATCCGCTGCGTGGTGGTTATCTCGACGGCGTCGGAGCCGGACATGGTGGCGGTATTCTGTTGCGAGAACTGTACTCTGTCATGCTGTTGTCCCTGGGCCTGTAGGTGTTGCTGGCCATCGTGACCAAGCGAGTGTTGAGGGAGTGGATGCTCGTCGAGAGACTGCGCAGGTGCGGCAGTAAATGGGTAGGACATTCAAGCCCGAACCGCGGGACGAGACTGAGAGGCGACCAAACCCTGAGCTTCACTATGTCAGTGCAGTCAACACAGCACTCGCATGTCTGTCGTGGAGGAAATATAGGGAGTTGAGTTCGGGGGAGGCAACAATGACATCGAGACTTTGACTGGCATTGATGAGAAATGGAGATACGCCAAATTCTTCCGTCAGAGAAGAGCGAGAAGCATCGGCCGTTATCGGCCTGAGCGAAACGGGCAAGAGAGCCGACGCGGCCTCGGCGATAACGCGGCCATTAGATAAGCCTGGAAGCCTCCGCCGTCATCGAAGCCTCGTTCTCGTCATTCCGCAATTGTACGAAGTACAGAGTATTGTGTACCTTGAGTACCTCATTAGCTCTCTGCAAATCTGGAGACATCCTCCTGTCTCCACTGTAGCCCCGTCCCGGGAATCCTCCCATGGGATCGCTCTGGGCCGCAGCGATTCTATATTGAAGGCCCCATTCCGGGACTTCCAGACTCACCAGTAACGAGGTACCATGGCCGAACCCGCGTCGGAACTCGAACAATTCCGCCAGCGATGGAAGGAAGAAGTCAGCGCTCGTACCAAGAAGCCAGATAAAAGTACGTCGTCATCACAGAAGGCGCGAAGGACAAGTGATCACCGGCCAGAAAGGCCTATCAACAAACCACCCACTCGCCACCCTGCGGCGGACATCAAGCAAGACGACTCTGACCACCACAGCGACGCAGACCATGCCGGCAGCAGCAGTTCAACCACACTCCAGCAACGCATTGAAACCCTTAGGATTCGTAACGTTGACGACGATGACTTTACGCCCACGGCCAGGAAGGAGCCGGAGAGCGCGCTCGAGCACTTTGAGCGTGCGGTGGAGAAAGAAAGTCAAGGCAACCTGGGGGACAGTCTCTCTCACTATCGGAAAGCTTACAAGCTCGATGCCAAGGTCGACCAGACGTACAAGAACAAGCACTTTGCCGCAGCATGGAAGTCGAAACCGGCGAACTCCAACCCGTCCAACGCCGCGGTAACGGTCCCCTCAACTGCTCATCACTCCCTAGAAGAACCCAAGCGAGAACTTCTACCATTTGCACAATTGGTCGATTCTTTTGCCAATTGTCCGATTTTGGGCGCTCCACCCATCATCCCTGGAGATCGTCCTCCCCCATGTGGGATCAAAAAACTGCCCACGGAGGTATTGTTGGATTTGCTTCAGCATGTTGCGATACGCGACCCAGCCATCTATGTCCGCTTGTCCCTAGTGTGCAAGAAGCTGGCCTACCATGTCATGACCGACAATAGCATCTGGAAACGCGTCGCGTTAGGTCCAGAGTTCGGCCTCGCAAGCCAACAGTACAACTTCAACACCGACCTGCAAGGCCGGCAGATCATATTCGACACATTGAATCAAGGCCCTGACGAGGATAGCCGGCCGTCGCCAAGCCTGGTTACGGAGATTCCTTTCCCAAAGGACACCATGTGGCGAGATGTCTTTCACAACTACCCTCGCATCCGCTTCACGGGCGTCTACATTTCCACCGTCAACTATACACGGCCGGGTGGCGCTTCTGCCACCGCCAGCACGTGGCTAAATCCTGTCCATATCGTTACGTATTACCGATATCTACGGTTCTTCCGCGACGGTACCTGCATTTCTCTACTGACCACCAGCGAACCTATCGAGGTGGTCCACCACTTAACACCCGAGAACCTCAATTTTGTCCGCTCTGGTAAGAAAGAAGCGGCAGGACATCCTCTGAACTTCACCTCTTCGGCGCCCGCACTCCTCAGAGACTCTGCTCCTTCCTCCTCCACAGGTGGGACTGGCGCTGTTGCACCACCCCCCTCGGCGCGAGACGTCATGAAACACGCCCTCCGTGGTCGCTGGCGCCTCTGTCATCCAAGCCTTGATGGCCCCATGACAGTTACAGACGGCCCAACCACAGGGCCCCCAACGAACCAGTCGTCGCCCAAACCCACCATGTCTCCCGGCGACTTGCACATCGAAACCGAGGGCGCCGGCCCAAGGTATATGTATACGATGCACTTGTCGCTAAAACACGCGGGTAATGCCAGGTCGAAATATACCACCAAGAACAACAAGCTGGTGTGGAAGGGTTTCTGGAGCTTCAACGTGCTCACGAACGATTGGGCCGAGTTTCATTTGAGGAATGACAAGCCCTTCTTTTTCTCGAGGGTGAGGGGATATGGGCTCGGGTACTGAGTGAGCAGAGCTCGACTCAGAGGCTGACCTCTGAGTGAGGATGCAGCGGAGTTCTTTGGGTGCTCCGTGCGGGTGGCTGGCAGGTTAGACAAGATCTTCCATGACGCCTTTGGGTGCTTCGATGCTGGTGCTGGTAGGTTAGACAGAATCTTCCACGACGCCTCTTGGCACACGTCTTACGCCTCAGGCTGTGTACAGACATCCATAGCGCCATAGACTCCAGACAGAAGAGTCCTTCATCTGAACGAACGCTGCGTCGCCTGGCCCTGTTTTTTCGGAGACTGTCCGTTTGGCTAGACCATATCAGATTAGAGAACAACATCCAATCGAGTTCAGATGACTTCATGCTTCGTCGCCCTCCCCCTTGCCCTCGCCCTCCCACACCCTCCAGATCCGCACAATCTCCAACTTCTCCCACCCAGCCGTCTTCCCGCTCGAACCCACCGTCTGGGCCCGCCACTTCCACTTCGTCTTGTACCTCCCGTGTTCCCCGTGACCGCCACCGCCGCCCTCCCAGGCCTCAATCCGCCGCTTGACCTCCTCGGGCCTATTGCCCCGACACAACAACACGTACGCGACACCACGAGGACTCAACACGCGTGGGATCTGCGCCAACAGCCGATTCGTAACCTCCATGCCGTCAAGCCCACCCGCGTACGATAGTTCGAGGAGCTTTGAGGATTCTTCGAACGAGGGAGACGTCGTCGTTGCTGCTGTTGCTGCTTTTGCTTCTGCTGTGGAACGAGGTCCAGACACAGACATAGACGCAGACACAGACACGGGTACAGACTCGGTAGGCACATAGGGCGGGTTGAATACCAGGACGTCCACTTCTCCTGGGCGCAGCGGGGCCGTGAGATCGCCGAGAAGGGATGCTAAGTACGGATCTGCACTCGCACTCGCACTTGCGCTTGCACTTGCGCTCTTGCTTGCACTGTTGCTCGTACTGGGAGTGACGTTCGAGTTCGAGTTTGGATCGGGAGCTCCCTGACGTCTCTGTTCCGCCACCGCTCTCCCCACCGTCGTCCGCGTGGCGAGAGCGGCATGAGGGTTCACATCTACGCTGAGGCTGAGGACCTCGGTGCCGAAGATTCGGATGGCGTTTGCAGTGAGGAAGGCGACGATGACGCCGGAGCCGGGGCCGATTTCGAGAAGGAGAGGGGTTCTACCGGTGGTGGTGAAGACAGGGCCACGAAAACGCGAATGCAGCCATGCTGTCTCAGAGGGGGATGATAGCGTATCGAGGAACAGGAAGGAGTCCTCGGCTGGTTCGTAGACGAGGTCGTAGGGTACGTGGGATGTTGAGGGTGTGGGCAGTAGAACCATGGTGTATTATATAGTCGATTCGAGTACCCGGTACAGTTTCCAGTATAGTTTTCGGTGTGGTATCAAAGATACAATACAGAGAGTGAGAGATGGTGACGGGAGTATGACTGAGTGTCCCTCGCGTGTGATGCGGTTCGAATCAATCGAGAGGTGTCGTTGAGTGTGACCTAATACACTGCAATGCACTGCACCGTCAAGACTGTACTATACTGCACTATACCGTAGATGATCAAGCGAGTGGCCAAGTCGAGTCGGGATAGGGTTCGATTTCAGGTGCTGTGGCTGGTATGGATCCCAAGTTGGGAAATATGTCGTCGACCCGCCAGACTCGTCATGCTCTATCGTTGCATCTGTAAGTCCTTGTGGAAGGGAGCAGCCGTTGCTGGAGGGAGGGGAGGGACTTCGAAGTCCAATATCACAAGGAAGGATACAAAATACGGAAATGAGAGATGAATTTTGAGATACGGACAATTCTCGGCTGGCAAACAGCGCGACAGATGCGCTGGAGATACCCTTTATATGTGCTACGGAAGTACGGAGTACCAGGTTGCAATCTCCCTTGTTGCCATTCCTATGCCTCGTCCTCTGCTGGACCGACCTGTCACTTCTGCCGCCAGACCTTTCCGACAACATCGCGCATCGTATGGACAAAAAACAACTTCCCGCCGGTTGCACTGTCAGCGGCAGCAAGAACCGCCACAGCCAGAACCGCATTTCTTAGAATCGTGCTCACGGCCACTTTCTTGCCTACCTTCTGCTCTTCCATTGTTTCGCCAGGCTTACCTACGAGACTGCTCTTGATTTCTGCGAACTTTGCCTTTTTCATGTCAAACGGCGCGTAGCGGAAACTCATGACCACTTCAAGCCACGTCGGCGGAGCGACAACGGTCCTGGTATGCGAAAAGGCATCGAAGCCGTACTTCCCATGGTAGCTGCCGTAGCCGCTTTCGCCAACACCCCCAAAAGGCGCATGAGGCACCCCGGCGTGGATCATGAGATCGTTGATGGTGACTCCGCCGGAGCTGGTGTGGTCCAGAATGTGGTCAATCTCGGCCTGGTCCTTGGAGAAGATGTACAGGCCTAGCGGAGGGGGCATGGATCTGATGATGCGGATGGCGCGGTCCACGTCGGCCACGATGACCGGCGCAATCGGGGCGAAGAGCTCTTCAGACATGAGCGAGTCGTCCGTCATGACGTCGCGCACAATCGTGGGCTTGATGTACTTCCGCTCACGGTCTAGGTCTCCGCCATAGACCACCACCCCGGCACTGGACTTGAGCAGCCCCGCGATCCGGTCGAAGTGACGCTCGTTGATGATCGTAGCGAATTGCTCGTTGCCCGTCTCGAGGAATTTGTCGAACCAAAACTGAAGCCTCTCGAGCAGCCGGTCGTGGACGGCCGCGTCCGCGAAGATGTGGTTTCCATTCAGACAGACCTGGCCACTGTTGGTGAGCTTCGCGTGCGCAATCCGCTTGGCGGCTAATTCAATATCCGCGGACTTTGTCACAATGACAGGGGCTTGACCACCCAGCTCGAGGACGACAGGCGTCAAGTGCTTTGCCGCGGCCGTTGCAATGATGCGACCAACCTTCCCGCCTCCGGTGTAGAAGATGTGGTTGAATTTGAACTCGAGCATGCGGCCAACCTCTGCCGGCCCTCCGGTCACCAGCCGTATGGCCGATTGATCCAGGTACTTGGGCACCAGGTCGACCAGCAGCGCCTGAGTGGCCGGAGCGAGTTCGGACGGCTTCAAGAAGATACAGTTACCTGCCCTTGTGAGCAGAGACCCCTTTGGGACGTCCCACCCGGGGACTGGCAGGAGATCAAAACGCTAGTCTGCCAGGTACAGAATAAGACGACATGCGGGAACTCACCAGCAGCGATGGCGGCCACCATTGGTGACAACAGCGTATAGAGTGGGAAGTTCCAGGCAGCTATGATCAGAGTCACCCCAAGCGGCTCTTTCCTCAGCCACGCCTTTCCCAGCGTGCCGAATACGAAGCCTGCGTCCGGCTTTTCGCCTTGGGACCATTCGTCGATGTGTTCCAGCATGTCGACAATGTCACCCTTGATGCCGCGCACCTCCATGGTGAGAGTCTCGAATGCATGACGATTGAGCTCCGTGTGGAGCGCATCGACAATCTTGTCGAGGTTCTGCTCGAGCAGCCACCACAGCTGCTTAAGTTGCCACTACGCATATTCGTTAGCCTGCTGTGCAGTACATACCGTCGACGGAGATGGACGGCGGTGGCGGCTCGCTGGCACCAACACCTACCTTGCGCCATTTGATCGATTTGGTTCGATTGCTCGCAAACGTGCTTTGGAGAGTCTTGTAGCCTGACTCGAACTCTTCCGGCGACGTGTATTCTATCGAAGCCATGACCGCGGCCCGCAGCAGGCAATTCGTATCACCGGCCAGGAGGAGGGCGCGGGGCGGGGTCTGGGATGGATCAGAAGCTTGATCCCCGGGGGAAGGGCCTCGGGCAATAAGGCGAATGTCGTCGTCTACGATCCCGAATTGATGTATGCAGCTCTCTGCTTCCGGCAGTATCGTATGCGGGCTTACAAAGGCGTCGGTGGATGTTGAGGGTCGGGAGAAGATTGATTGGGCCTTGTGGCCTGAGGCGCCAAATAAAGCTTCTGAGAGGGACAGAGGGGCACCGCTACGGGGTTTGACAGGGGGCCATATGCTACACCTGGTAACTATTGGGCCACAGCGCCCACTCTTGCCAGGATCGGGCTTCCCACACCCCTCGAACGTCGTACTCTCGGGGTCGCCAGCGTGTACGAGTGTCGACATCGACATGTTCGAAAGCCGACAAGCGAAGATCCCGTCATTTGAGGCCATGGTGGATAGGCACAGACGTGTAGCCCGAAGCGCGTAAGTGTTCGTCGCCTAGTCCTGCCCGAAACGTGCAAACAGCCGGTGCATCCAAGTTCTCGGTGTTCCCTTGCAGCCGCTTGAGGCAATGAGAGCATGAGCAAGTCGGGCTAGGTGTCGAGGTCGGGCTTCGCCATGTCCGTCAAATTGGGTTTTGCGGGCATGTCGACATTGTCTACTCGCCGTGACCGGAATTGTGGTCTGTCGTTGCTTTTGGCGATCAATTAGCCCCATGCTGCATGCAGTGCCATATGCTTCAGGTACAGATCGTTGATTCACGACGCTGACTATCTCCGCCCCTTGTCCGTTGACTTCGGCTTATGATATGCATGTATGTCTTATAGCCAATCGAGGTTGGCGCACACCAACCAATATCCTTTCTGGCCTTGCTATTTCGTTCAGCTAGCATGCTGCTCTTGCCAGTCAGATTATCTGGTTTCCGGAGTCGCCATCTGTGAACATGTCGTGCATAGGTTCAACAAGAATGAATCACGCTGTCGGCTGTTCCCCTTCGGGCATGCTCTGATAGATGATGGCGGGCCTCTCCTTCCGCAGGCATTGGCGACAAGCTTTATACACGAGTCATGGACCCCAATAGCCCGGGAGCGGAAGCACTGGCTCTGTTAGTGGACGGGGAGCGCAGGTCTCCCGCACCCTCAGCCATCTGCTTGCCCGTCATATACCGTCACTCTGGCCATTTGAGCCGCACCAGGACTTCTCAAGAGATATGCCGCCCGCATCGAAGCATGGACCGTCCCGGAGAGTCAGGTCGAAGGAGAAACCCAAGAACAAGCCCAGTGTTCCTCGCACAAAGTCAGGAACACGAGGAACACGAGCCACAACCACAACGCCAGAACCATCCTGTAGAGCGTCGCCAGCAACAGCCGAGACCGCGCCATCGCCGCAGCGCCACGCAGGGGTCTAGCAGCGACGTTGTGCGGCTGGGTAATCCCGGGGCGCAGGAGGTATCGTTCTCGCCATACCCTATTCCAGCAAACGCCTTCATCCAGCATGCGATCCAATTTTGTAGGGGACCTTCTTCCTCGCCCGAACCCAGCTGATGTGTGATGCCAGATGTTAAGCAATATTCCCCGACGGCAGTCCAGCGACCGCATTTTGTGGGCGTTGGGCAAGACCTCGCCCTTTTGCGTAGTTACATCCCGTTCATAATGCACGACCGCATGGTGTTCTCAGCACTGGCGGCGGTGGCCTCGTTCAGCGCCAATATCACCTCCACCGGGAGCCGCGAAGCCCCTCCAGAATCCTTCCGCCTCTACCAGTCAGCTGTTTCGCAATTGCGCGAGAGGCTTTCCCGGGACTCGGAAAGATCGAGCGATGCTGTCATCGTGACGTTGAGCAATTTGTCGGGGTTCGAGGTGAGAGCACAGTCCCACACATAGGGAGCGCCGGCAGGGTTAGACCAGCACACTGATTCGCTTCTCCCCTGGTAGGCCCTGTCGGGAAACTATGATGCGGTCGACATGCACACGCTTGGCATCAAACAGGTCGTCGCGCTGAGAGGTGGTGTCGACCAACTGGGTATGTTTCCGATTCCTCAACCCGTCCTCCCTATGCGGAAAACTGATAACAGCCAGGCTTCGAAGGGTTTCTGAAGACGATGTCGATCGCGTAAGTGCTGGCGTGCTCCTGACACGACGTTGCTTCTAAGAGCCTGACTAATCAGTCGCATCTCGCTTCATGCTTCTAGCTGGCTGAACTTTTACGCTGCCCGCCACTCCGTCAGCCTGAGCAACGAGCATTTCTTTCCCATGGACGGTGTCTTCACCTATCCGGAGCATCCCTTTGATCCCGATTTGTGCGATACCATCGCAAAATTCCACCCTGGTCTGACCGATATAGCCTTGTCTGGCCTGCTGAGTCATCAGATAATCAACCTGATTGCCCACATCAATGCTTGGGAGCAGGACATCAACACCTACCTGAGAGCGTCCGACGTGTACAATCTCCACGAGCTCTCACAAAGCGCCCGCAACGTCACTCTGTGTGGAGAGTTCCTGCACAAGCGCGGTCTGTCGCTGATGGAACAACTCCTCGTGATCGCGTTGATGGCCTTCTGCTATTCGACAGATACGACGCGCGCAATGTTCTACCTGACAAACGCTTACCTGCAGATTCATTGCAAGTTCATGAGGACTCTGTTCATAGAGGTGACGGATAGAAACGAGGCATTCATCACCTGGGTGGGCACGACGCTTGTTGCGACATTCGACCCGTCAGGACAGCCCTCCTTGCTGGGGATCCAGCTCTTGAGGGCCCGACCGAACGCACGGAACTGGCAGGCCAATGTTCGCCTGTGCGAGAGTTACTTTTGGAATGATGCGTTGTCGTTGAGGCTTGCGTCGAAGATCGGCCATCTTGGAGGAGTAGAACGTCAAGGTCAAGGCTGATAAATAGAGGACGTTGGTGAATGCGAGCTCTGGGTGGCCATGAACTGAGGGAATCCCAGAGTCTCCCAGCATGTCTCACCTGTCACAGTAAAGCAGCTTGTATCAGTGACATTCAATATACCCAGTATTGCAGGTCTCACGAATCCTTCACCAGTTGTCTAGCGACATGAGGATGAAGCTTCAGTCTGACATTGACCTTTCGGGTTCTTCAAGAAGGCGCGTGACATAACGAGAACACCTACCTGACTGTCTGCTCCTTCGTTGACTAGTGATCTTGGCCATCTCCTGGGGAACATACCCAAAGAAGCCATGTCCAAGGAAGCTGATTATTCGTGCACAATTAACGACTCGACCCCTCCGTTAAATGCTGCACGACGGATGCGTGTATGATCACAATCGAGTAATCGTGGCATAGCCCAAAATCGCCGTCACGATTCCGTCGCTCGTGCATGACGATAGCGTTGGATAGCGTCGCGTTAGAGCGCATTTCGTTGACCAAAAGTTAACCGTCCTTTGACTGTAGCAGAACTTTGCTGCTGAACGACCTCAACGGTCTATCGTGGTTATCCCTAGAAGCTCCTGAAGCAACCGTGATGTTCGACCTTGATTGAAGCTTCCGAGTCGCGTGTCGCGTCGCGTCCAAATCAAAGTGAATAAACGACGTCATCGCTTGGCACTAGCTTATCTTATCTCTTGGCGCTGTGCTGCATCTCTGAATGGGACGCGGCGTGTCTCTTGCTTTCCTTTTGCATCCCCCTCGCAAACCCACGTGGTCTCTGGACAGCAGAACTGCACTGGCTGCTATGAGGCGACAAGTCCGTGGTGGCCATGTCGAAGACGCAAACTCTCCCTCCCGCTCGCCCCGGGGATGGAGTCTTCGCGTCTGTGTTCCCTTCTGGCGTCAAACCACCTAAACACCGTCGTCGGTTCGCCCCCAAAGCTTCTGCAATAATTCCAGATATCCAGCAAACCCTGAAAGACCAACTTAGACTTCTCCTTGGCATTGGAAACGAGTCCTTCGTCTATGGGCAGTCTCGTATGGTGACCAATGCAGGAGCTCCTTTCCACAGCCACTTTGGGTCTTCTGGAACAGCGGATCGGATACGCGAGCCAACAGCGGTGGATCATGCCAAACATATTACGCGAGAGAACTCTTCTCCGTTATGGTCGCTGCTATCGGATTGGCGATCAGCAGTCGGTTCCGACACCGTCATGAAATTGCTAGCCACTGTCCTCAACGAACTCATGACCGAGTTCGTCACTTGGTCTTACGCTGGAATTTACCAAGAGGGCCTGTATCATCATCTCGAATTCTGGGTCCAATACTTGTTTTCGAGAATTGCGTACAAGGTGCTGGGTTGTCTAGATGAGAATCTGAACGCTCAGCGGGTGCCGGAGACTGAGGTCAAGAAATGGAAGGATATGGCCGTAGCTCGCCTGGGCGCTTTACGGGTAGATGAACTCTTTGAAATCATTGTGGACTGGGACGCGACCGCACCAGCCATCGAAGACTTGCGACACTTTACCACCAATCCGGCTACGAGAGGATATCTGACCCACAATTTCGCCAACATGCTTCAGACACGTCTGCTGCACCCCGGCGCCTCAACTATTGAGATCCTGCAGCTCTACATCGCAACCATCCGCTCTTTCCGAGCCCTCGACCCCAAAGGCGTCCTCCTGGATCGCGTCGCAAGAAGAGTCCGGCGGTACCTCAGAGAACGAGACGATACGGTTAAGGTCATCGTCGCCGGACTCCTCGCCGACACTTTTCCTCAAGAGAACGGTCGCCAACTACCACCCGACCCAGAAATCCTTTCAGAACTTGCTCTCGAACTCCATCGACACAATGCCCGCGACAATACTACAGAAGACAGCGAATTTGACTGGAACAATATGGATTGGTTGCCTGATCCGGTTGATGCAGCACCGGACTATATGAAATCGAACAAGAATACCGACGTGATCGGCAGCCTGATCACTCTCTTCGACACTAAAGATGTTTTCGTGAAGGAGCTCCAATCAACCCTCGCCGAACGACTGCTCAAGAATAAACCAGACTTCAACCAGGAAATCAGCGTGCTGGAACACCTGAAGATCCGATTCGGCGATTCGGCGTTGCAAGCGTGTGAAGTCATGTTGCGAGACGTCCTGGACTCGCGAAAAGTCGACCAAGTCATCCGACGAGATCTCGAGAAAGAAGGGACATCGGGGCAAATGGATGAAAGAGACGGAGGTATTGAACTACATGCCAAGATTCTGTCCAGGCTGTTCTGGCCGTCCATGTTGGAGCAGTCGTTCACCGTGCCGCCTGAAGTATTGGAGCGGCAAGCGAGCTATGAGAGAGGCTTTGGGGCATTGAAGCAGTCACGCAAATTGACTTGGCTCAACGCAATCGGCCAAGTCGACGTGGAGCTGGAGATGGAGGATCGCAGCTTGCGAGAAGAGGTTCTGCCCTGGCAAGCCGCTGTGATACACGCGTTCCAGGACAAGGCTGCACCCAGTGAAGACCGACCGGTCAGCAAGAGCGTCTCTCAACTCGCTTCGGAACTCGAAATGTCTCCCACTCTCGCTCGGTCTGCCTGTATTTTCTGGGTTTCCAAACGCATCCTACATGAGACAACGGCAAATACGTTCGTCGTCCTTGAAAGACTCCCCTCCGGCACCGACAGCGATACAAACATGGCCAATGATTCCTCGATCGAGACTCGGGCCAACACAGCCGCAGCAGCAGAGGCAGCCGCACTTGCAGCCGCCAAGGAAGCCGAAGAAGCCGAACGGAAACAGAAAATGGCCATGTACCATCAGTTCGTTGTATCGATGCTTACGAACCAGGGTTCGATGCCGCTGGCGAGGATTGCTATGATGCTAGGGATTGTTGTTCCGGGTGGGTTTCCGTTCAGCAATGAGGAATTGAAGGAATTTTTGGCTGGAATGGTTAAAGAAGGCGTTTTGGAGGTTGGAAATGCCGGCGTCTACAAGGTCGCGAGTTGAGACGGTCATGAACGTGGCCGCTAGCGATCGGGTCCAGCGTGGTCTGTGCCCTGTTCACATCGACCTGTGCAAAGCGGTAGCACGACTGCTGGTGAGCAAACGAGCTGGTGTGGGTGATTCCCGCTCCCATTGTCTGAAGAGTTGCCAACAACAAAGAAATGCCGGAAGTGGAAGCATGGACCGAGTCTCATGCCGAACTACGTCAAACAAAGCGAGATTTGTAACTCGAGATGGAACGATTCCTCACGCTCACCGTCTACCCTTGCGCTCGAGTTCGCACTTTGCCGACCCCTTACTACGTACCGAGCACATGCCCGAGCTTGACACCAGTTGATAACGTTATACCGGTTTTATGAGCATGACACCAGCCAACAGGGGTCACCACCGGACTCTCTTCGACCTCCCCAATGTAGTCCTCCACCGCGTCGTGGAGCTACTGGCGGAGAAGATCATCTTGCCACCGGCTATGTTGAAGCCGAGGACATGCTACTTTCACGATTCCGTCCCATATGCAGAGACGCCTTGTACCTGGCTGAGCTTGCCCATTGGAGATACATCGACTTGTCTGGGGACTCCCGCGCCGAAAGGATTAGCCTGCGCCCGGACAGGATTGAGTCAACACTGGAAACTGACGAGCGTCGGGCAAAATGGGTCCAGAACGTCAGTGTAGGTTGTATTCCCGCTCAAATATGTGTTAGGAAGATAGGACAACTGTGCAACAAGACATTTCGTCGATCTTCCGTTGGCTCGGTCACATTCTAATGCGGTTACAGATTCGAACGAGCACATTCGACGTGGCTGGAGCGGCATCCAAGTTGCAGCTCATCTCCCGCTTTCCGAACCTGAAGAGCCTGACCGTGGGAGTTACTCCCAGCTACGTTCGCTCAGAGTACCCCTATCCATGGCTGAGTACTCTGCAGCATGTGCTGGACACGCACAGATTCCCCTTGCTCCGCGAATGTTTCCTCAACTTCGCAGGTATTCTGCGACAAGAACAGCGTGCACCGCGACTTGAGTACTTACTGCAAGCACCAAGACTCACGCGTCTGGCATTGGATGGCCTGGACCTACGAGGGTTCCAAGGGGCTTTCATCCCGCAATACTCTACCTCCTTGACAAAGCTCAAACTGACTCGTTGTGAGGTGGATGAGCGGTCGATGTCTGCTCTTATGAGAAAACCGCGCCGTCTGCAATTTCTTGACTTTTCTCGCTTCGAGTACAACATGAGTTCGTCGCCCGTGTCGAAAGAACAATACGTGACACAACTCATGTTAGCCGTGCTAGCTCGAACCCCACCAGGCCTGGACAAACTCAAGATACACTTCGATCATGTCTCTCTGCTGGAGAAAATGTGTCATTGACCGATCAGACCCGCATCGTCCTCGCGATTATGGAGTGAACAGCGCGTGGAGGCCAACCAACCTGGTCAAACGGTTACCGGCTAGTCTTGAACACCTGAAGGTCAAGGGATACGTCTTCAGGTGGGGCGTCGACCTTGACGGCCTGGTCGACGACCTTTTAGGCACCACGGGCACCGTAGGTACTCAGGCCCAACACAGCGCCCAAGGGAGGGGCAAGGGCAACCTGACATCGCTAAGGCGGCTTAAACTGGTGACCACGCCGCAGGACCATTGTCGGCCCTTCGACAAGGATGCCCAGGCGAGGGACGACAGGTTGCGCAGAGGGATCGATCGTTTGATGACGGCCCTGCCGGTGCAGGAAATTAAATGTACCCAGTCGCACCGCTTGACCCAGTCATCTCGGAGCTGCGACGAGGAATACTTTATCAGGAAGTTGTGCGCGAGAAGAAGCGTCACTGCCCCTGCTGAGATCGACAAGTCCGATGCTGGGATGTACAATGTAGAGGAGCAGTCCAGGGATGTAGTGGTAAAGCTGGAGGCACTTTAGCGGATGTTCACGCACGACCTTCATTCAGATCCAAACACGAGACCAGGACGCCAACACAGTGGAGTCTTCCGACGAATGAGTACGGTACGGTATGGCCCGAGGGTCATGGCATGGCACATGCGGTCCGTGTGCAGAATGGTAGGACCTCAGAGCGACGCACTGTGTGACCTAAAATTATCGTCAACTCTCCGCAAGTGTACATATGTCTCAAGATAAGAGTCTGAAGAATGTCAATCATCAGCTGTAGCGATGTCCTTTTCCAGTGCCGTGGAAGCTGGGCACGGACTTCGCACGTTCATAAAACAGAAAGTGAAGTGAAGGCACTGAACTCAGGCTGTTGAGCTCAGAGACGCAACTCTAGATGGCTGTTCGAGTATTATCACTATGTATTCGAACAATATGAAGCGACGCCCGCGGCGAGGACAAAGTCGAGCATTCGATACTGTATCTAACCCACTCGGAAGTGAAGCATGAATTCGACCGAATCGAACTGAACCGAGCAACCGAGTGGTGCTGGTGGTGCTGGTTGTGGTGGTGATGACGGTATGTAGCAAATGATTAAATACATACTCTGTATGTAGTCATGTCCCTCGGTCTGGTGACTTCTGTCTCCCGCTCAACCCAGTCGACCGAGCGCCTGACATGGAATCACTGGCATTACCGCTTCGCTGCTGAACTCCTCAGTCGAACTCTACAATGTATGTACCCCGTACTACCAAGGTAGACCGTATATGAGCACGACCTCACCTGGAGCTCACTGGACGAGCAGACAGCACGGCGTAGAATGGGAATATTAAATAAGGTGTCCGTACACCCTACGAAGGCAGGTTTGCTCCTCTCAGCTCGGCTCAGTTTCACGACGGACAAGACGTACCGGACGGGACAGCAGGACTTATAGCCATGAAGAACTCAGGCAAGCGTGACATGCTTGGTTGGTCGATAAGTTGATCAGATGGATAATTGGAAGGATACCTGTATCATTGCTGTCTTCGTATACACATAAGATGGGCCGATCGACCACCGACGCAAGCTGTACATCTTTCACTCGGTTCTCTCGCCACGCCGCGATCAATCCGCATCCAATCTCGCCACGGGCGGCGTATCGTCGACCTGAATGCCGCCTCTCTTCCTCTCGTCGGCGTCATGGAACGGCAGCCTCCACCCGCCCTCACTGACGGGCGTGCTCAACCACAGTCTCATGAGATGCCGTCTCGGCATGCCGCTGTCTGGGCCGTAATCCCGATACGCGGTCCTCGCATGCAAGATGTGACTGTTGCTCACGAACTGAATGTCGCCGACCTCGAGCACCATGTGCAGCTTGACGCGGTTGCACACGGCCTCGAGCGTCTCCAGCGCGTGGATCTGCTCCGGCGACAGCGGCGGGATGATGCCCTGGTCGGAGAACCGCGTCAACGACCGCACGTAGTACGGGTCCCACTTGCAGTAGACCCTCTGCGGAACGCTGGGATCCCCCTCGGCCGGAGTCTCGAGGTAGAAGACGCTGGTGCGGATGTAGGGTTCTTCGCCGCGCGAGACCTCGCCCTTGCGGTCGAAGTACCACACGGGCCGCGTCAGCAGCTCGGCCACGTCCGGGTGCTCGGCCTGCAGGATGTTCCACACCTGGTGCACGCTCGCGACGTCGGACTCGCCGCCCTCCTCGGCGCGGGCGATGCACAGCAGGCCCACGACGTCCGAGTCGTCGGCGTGGAAGAACTGCCGCGCGTTCGTGCGGTAGATGCGCACCTTGTCGATCTGCGTGCTGTCCTCGCCCAGGTCCTTCACGTGGCCGAGGATGTGGCCGCGCCCGTTCTGCGACACGGGGTATCCGATGTAGCTGCCCAGCCCCATGTACGCGACGGCACACTTGTGGTTGCCCCACTCGTGCACGGGAAAGCCCTTGTACAGGATGAAGCCCTTGCCGTTGAGGAGTTCGGCGCGCATCGACCGCAGCGACGCCGCCATGCCGGGCAAGGGGAAGTTCTCCGGGTTGATGCCCGTGAGCGGGAGGTTGTTGGCCAGGAAATTATCCGCCGCAGTCGACAGTTCGTCGATCTCCTGCGGCGAGAAGACGTGTGTCCATGTCTCGGGCCGGTTAGTGTATTCGTCCGTCCAGACCGTGGGACCGGTGATTTTCTTCGGGAACGCGCTGTAAGGGTACAGCTTGTCGTAGAGGGGAGGATGTTGGCCCGAGGTCTTGAACCCGTCGGGGAAGATCGTCCGGTCCACGGGCTCGCCGGTGGTGGTCTTGGACGAAGCTTGCGGTGGTGGATGGTGAGGCGTTTCGACTGCTACGGGCGCCATTGAGAACAGTGAATGGCTGAGTGCTGCGTTTTGCTGGATTTCTGCCCGGTCACTGGAGACTGCGTCTGTGAAGTGGAGGATTAGCAAGACGGTGTAATTTATCTGACTTCTGCACGCGTGTGATTGAAGAGAGAAGATTTTCGATTAATAGTCTCATACTTGCCCAGCGAAGGAGGAAATCTCCAAATATCCTGCATGCTACAGTATGCTGGCTCACTTCACCCTCATCATAGCCCCGCCATGTATGGCGATCTGCGTGCTGCACGGTGGTGGAAGGGCATCTCCGATTGCAGACATCCCGGGCGTCAGACCTGCGAAGCGACTCGTGTGGCTGATTGTGCCTGGTTGTACCATCCCGTGGGGGGATTGCGTGATCGGTGGTGAGAGGAAGAGGAAGGTTGGAAATAGACGATGGTCATGTCCGCTTCGAGGGCCGATTGAGAATGCCGGAGCGGGAGATGTTCCGGCGCCGTTAACTGTGTACTTTGAATTGTCACTGACTGCGCTCAGATCTGGAAGTCAGGCGTCGTGCATAAATAAAAAGAACTATCATGTACGGAGTACTGTGGTCGGGATGACTTCCCCCTTCAAGGCACCTCCGACTAGCATTCGAGATGTAGAACTCGCTTCGCACTGACTGACTGACTGACTGACTGACTTGCCTCTCCGCCCATACTGGGTTTGCCCTTGTCTCGAGCCTAATGCTCACATCACCCTGCAACATCCATCCTGTCCCCATGGTTGCTGTGGCTGTGGCTGTCGCCGCGGCACACTCGCCCCCGTGACACCACACGCCGTATACCTCGCACCCGGTGGCCCATATCCTCCATAAGCATACCTCGTGTGCAACACATTCCCCCTCCCATCAGTCATGTTATACCCGTTGCCCATGTTGCCGGCTTCCCACGGTTTCAGGATGATGATTCTCGTCATGTTGGCATCGTAATCACCCTTCTTGTCGCAGTTGGGACACGAATTTGCAGGAGCCGAGATGGGCCCCGGCTGGACAAGTCCCTTGAGTCCCTTGCGCACTGGCTCGTATGTGTGGTATTGATTCTTGAAAGACGCCTCAGGGCCGCAGGGCTTGACGATGGTCATCCATTGGTGAGGGCAGGTGTGCGATTTGAAGGTCTCGGTCTGGCACATGGTGGTGAGGCCAGAGTGAATGAAGGTCAGGGAGACTTCTTCGTTGCCCTTTGCGTCTCTCTTTCTCAAGAGCAGTAAATCGCGTCCAGGAAGAGCTGGCGACGGTGATGCTATAGCGAGTCTATCAAGTAACAAAAGATGTAGCGGTTTTGGCTCTGGGAACGGGTTGTGAGATAGTCGGCAGTGAACTGTTCGATGTTGGCGGGATGAGGGTATGGGCGCAGTCGCAGTCGTAACTGCAGGGGTAATGAGCTTGTTGGCGAAAGCTCCCCTCGTTGGCATCCATGACAGTGACCGTCAAACGCTGTCGTTTCCACGGTCATTGTCACTCGTGTCTGTGATGGACTCGGAGCATGTTCGCTTTTTCAAGACTTGTCACTTCCACTCCTCGTGGCCTCGTCAATCGCCCGCAAGACCTGGCCCTCCTCCTCTTCATCGACACTGTCCCTCCCTCTCTTCTGAATTGCAAGCATAAGTTCATACATCTGCCCCACTTGCTGGTCACTCATTCGATCCAGAAGCGCCGCGTCAATCTTTTGTTCCTTCCAATCCTCGCCCTCGAGTTGCTGGCCATATTGCTGCCACTCCGTCAGGAACCCCACAATGTGCAGGGGGTTCTCTACATCCTTATGTCTTCGGAATTCGGATTTGAGGTACGTGTCGCCGAACACGCGTTCTTCCGGCCCGAGTTTCTTGCGGTGGATGCGCAGGAGCCGGCGGTACAATGGGATGGGCGGTAGTAAGGCGAGAGCCGGTCCCCGTTGTCCTGGGCGAAAGGGGGCTGTCGCTGGAGCTGCCAGAAGCCGGAGAGATGGACGCATTGTGACGGTAGCCGACAGACAACATTCCTCTGCTGAAGGATTCAACGGGGATACAACCACTTGAATGGCAATGCTTTAAGAGACCCATGAGATCACTGTCACACACCCCGAAGATTAGCCGATCATGAGCAAGGTACAAGGCGACAAGGTCTAGAGTGTTGCAGAAGGAAGAAGCAAGGCTGGGCCCCAGGCTGGAAATGTTCTATATTGTGGTTACAATGTTACCGGGGCCCTTCGACGGCCATTAAAGTGCGCAAGCTCCCGGTCTACTCTCTGCTCCAGCTATGAAATACATGAGAAAAGTATTTTGGACACAACTTCTGGCTCCATCCACAACACAAAGCGCAACGTGCTCTCCCCTGAATCATATGAAATGAAATGCAAGCCGCTCGCCTAACTCAAACATAATCACCTCGAGAAGGCGAAAGAAATAGATTGGACGACGACGCCCATCGTGGGGGTATCTGCAGTCGACCGTTGCTCGTAAAATGCCAATGTTGAATACTGTACAGTGCAGAATGGTGTCGGAGAACTTCGTAACCTCGTAATCATACATGATGATGGAGATAATCCAGGAAGAAGAGGGCTGCCAGTCTCGCCTAGTCACTGTCGCAGTCCATGTCACTGTGCGAGTCGCTGTCCGAGTCGCTGAATTCTCCGTCTTCCATAAACGGCCCGTACTGGTCTCGGAGTTCGTCTGGATCGGTGAAATTATCATCCAGCAATGGATGATACTCGTTTCCACCTGGGGATTTGGTCCCATGCACGACCCACAATCCAAGAGCCTCTCCCAAGCTAATGTGGCTGAAGTCCTCCGTGTAGGCGTCGCCGTCCAGATGATGCATGGGATACATCTGTCCAGAGTCTTCAAAAATGCCTGTTGGGATGAAGTCATGCAACTTCAATTCCTTTCGCATCGAGGTGGTGGCTGACAGCCAACGACCTTCCCGGAGGTGCATGAAGCCCAGTCGGAGATCTTTCAGTGAAGGCTGGCGGTTCAGCAGGTCCATTAGCTCATCCTCGGTCGTGGACATGCAGTCAATGTTGAGCATCTCAAGTTTGGGCCACGCCTTGTTGCCCAGGATTTTGTCGAGGTCAGCAACAGACCCGTGGTAACCGTCGTCGTCGAAGTTGACGGTAAGCTGCTCCAGGTCGTTTGCTGCGCAGAGAGCATTGCGAAGGAGACCATTCGCCAAATCTGCATAATGTTGTCTTATGTTCGAGCGCTGAAGGGGAGTAAAATCATCCTTCTCGAGACGGAAATCAAGGTCGATGATTCTGAGATTTTGGAATGCGAGGCACAGCATATCACTTGGAAGAAAGCCCGAGAAAAATTTTGGAGTCAGGACGCGGACTTCGAGAGCTTTGAGACCGGTCAGTGGCTGGCCACTGGGAAACAGAAGATGCCGGAGCTGGTCTTTTGTATGCTTGCTATCCAACCCGATCGGCATTGTTACGTCGGGAGCGAATGACTCCATGAATCTGCCAGAGAGAACATGCTTGCAACGGCCAACAGTGGAGAGAACAACCTTGGTCAGGCGCGGGAAACAGAGCATGCTTGGATCTATCATCTCGCTGCAGATGGTAGACGAGAGAAATTTCTGCTGCGTGTCGTAAAGGGCCAGATAGCGGTCGTATTTCTTCTTGATTGCCAGATTGAACTTGGCGACATTGCGCTCGTATAGCCTCTTCTCACGAACTGAGGCGTCGTGAGGAGGTGGCCGAGGTCTGTCGTGGTCCTCAAGATGATAGTGAGCTTGGAAGGTATGGACACAGCGTATGGTAGCTAGGAGATTGGCTTCGAATACAATGGTGTCGACATATTTGCTGAGAACAGCGTCGTGAGCAATGGCATGGAAACGTTTGAGCGACTGCTCGGCGCAGTGGAAGCGAACTCTCTTGACTAGGGCTTCGCCGCCAGCCTGTGACAGGCGCTTGCTACTCAGCCGCAGGTTCGCATTGCTCTGGAAATCCAGGTGGGCACAAATCTTGACGATAACTTCGTCAGGGAACGCGTTCAAGGACATCGTCAAGCAGTGTAATAGCTGTGATGTGGTACAGAGGGTCAGGAGGAAGAAGTGGAAGCCCGTGCCTTCAGGGGGGGAACGTGAGGGGCAGTTGGGCGCTGCCCGCGGTGGGCGGACACGGAAAAGGCTACACAGCTGGAACTGAGCTGGCTTCGCAAGCAGATGTCCTAGCGACGCCGATGAAAGACAGGTGAGATATCTCAATCCACTCGAAGGCGATAGTCAGGATGAGAGAGATGATAGATTGCAAATGAGGGACGGCTGAAACGAAAGTGAGCTACAAGTGACGTTTATGAGGTGAAGTGGAAAGCACGACAAACTTCGTTGCGGGGAAGGAACAAAGCAGTCTTGAAAACTACACTGTCTGTGCCTTAATTAGTAGGACCAAAAGAACAAGGACAAAGCACGTTTGCTTATCATGTCCCATCTCTTTATACAGATAAAATTATACTTGACAGTTCTCTGATGTGGTGAAAGTAATTCTGCACAAAGGTGGCTCGAGACAAAGTGTAGCAAGTTGTGGCATTTTGCACACCACCAGAGTTACCCGTGATAAATTCGCATTTCAGGTCCGAGAGTTACAGGGCATTATAACAAAAGCGGTTAGCTAAAGAGCCATATCCTGGTAATCTCAGCATTCCTAATTATTTCTACATCAGTGTGTGTATATCGTGAAGATGGCTATATCTCGTGAGAGTTGAATGTGCTCCGTGCTGGTTATTTTGTCCTACCGAGGGAATGGCCAGAGCTGCATGAGACCCACTGCGCGACGAAACCTACACAGTACAGGGCAAAGCGAGTGGCCGTGAATGGCCTGCCCTGCAGCCTGTGCCTGTCACTCACCACTCTACGAGGCATCAGTGTGGAAAAGCGCGGGACAAGCAGCGAAGAGATGAGAAGACTCGTGGAGTTGAGGGTGTGGGCGCAGCGGGTGCTAAGCTCAACTGAGCCCTAGGCTCGTCACCCTGGGCGGCACCCCCAGCCAACTGATTTCGAGAACCAACCGCGCCAGTTGGCGCATCTCGACCACCCTCCGCTCAGCACTGCTTGACAACAGGCCGACGACCAGTCCAACCCACCACTTCAGTCAAGTCCGAACCCAGCCTGCCTGCGCTTGGAACCTTCCATTCTGTACAACCTCAAACCTGCCTCAGCCTTCTACCGACGAGTTTCGTTCAGCTGCCAACCCTGACTGCGAATTCACATCTCACCATTCAGTGACACTTATGTACAGCTGAAGAAGGTGTACTCGGCTCAGGGCTTATGCTCTGGGCCTTTGACCAAGCACCAACTGCGCCTCTGTCGACCACCTGCAACATCAGCCCGGACTGTAAAATGGAAGCACCGGTGGAGGTTGAAGAGGCCTCGGAGCATCTGAAGGCCGCAGGGACTGAAGGCCTGTTGGAGAAGCATTTGCAGGGAAAGAAGCAGGAATGGGATGTTATCACGGCTCACAAGGAGCCTCTCCGCCTCCTCGACCTGCCGATGGACATACTTCAGGTTATTCTCAAAGAGCTCACACACACAAACGACCTGACGTCCCTCGCTTTGACCCACTCGGCCCTCCATGCACTCGTCATTCCCCACATCTATGCGCGCTTTGATATTGTCTGGCCCGATGCAAATGCTACTTTCGAGAATCGCATGGGCGTGGACGCTTTGACTTATGGGTTGGCGACGTTGGTAATGGCTCAAGATGTTTTTGGCGAGGCTCCGTACCAGTCTCAACATGCACATCAGTGCCAGCAATGTGGCCACTATAACCAGCCGGCCCAGCACCGGCCTGTCACCACGTCCAAGAACATTCGTCGGGGCAACCATTTCGCCCAATTCACGCGGAAATTCAGTCTGGGTAACGGACCCGCTGATTGGGTCCAAGAATACCTCATCACGAAAGAAGGTGGAAAAATGCTCGGTACCTTGGTTGCACTCGCAGTCGGTAGGATGCGAAATCTTGAGACGTTCATATGGGACATGCCCACAGGCGTCCTTCGAGATGTTTGGATGGCTCTCGCCTCGCTCGGCAATCGCCACGACGGCCAAGCATGTCGCCTGGAACGTGTCTGGGTCCGCTGGCACGACAATCAAGACCAGGGCCCCTTGGCTTCCCCTCCACCGCCAGGTGCGCTCCCGGGAGCACAGAACGCCAACATGCCTTACATCCTTGCGGGGCCTGCAAACTCGCTCTTCCAAATCCCACCTTATCCGCGCGTCGAGTTCCCGACCTTCTCGATTCTGCCACCGTTGAAGAGCTTGAGCGTGCTTGACATCGACGAACTGCCTTATGCGGAAGAAATGAGTGTACTCATAGACAGATCTCTTGACAGGCTGACCGAACTCAGGGTGGGCATGGCGGCCCACGCACAATACGACATGTGGGCACGACCTTCCGAGGAACGACCACCTGTTTTACCTTCTCTTGTGCCTGGGATGACTGATCAGACTCCAAGGCCTGGTGGGATGCTGGGTATTTTAGTCCATCGGTTCTGCGACGCCTTCTCACACCACAAACAGAGCCGATCATCTCTAAACCTTGAGCGACAACGGGATCCCCTTGTGGAAGACGTGACTGTCGAGGGTAGCCGCGAAGTGGAAAGAGAGGACGACGCCGAAGAGCTTGTACCTGCATCAGACATCAATCAGTTAGGGGTTCTAATGTCTGCCTACAGCATTCATGATGACGAGTTAGACATGATTCCTGCCCCCACGCCCAAGCAACGGACCTCCACCAACTTGTCGAATACCACGAGGCAGGATCTTCCCAACCACAGCAGTGACTCATTCTTAGACTCGAACAAAGAAGGTCGTTCGGCACGGAAGTTGACGCTAGAAACTCTCGAACTGGAACGGGTGTACTTGTCCATAGCGGTGCTTTCCAAGGCGGTCGACTGGTCGCGTCTGACAACTCTGACTCTTCTCAGCTGTCGCAACCATGAGCAGTTGTGGAAGGCACTTCGCAAACGCTTTACTCCATCCAGCCGTCGACGAGTCTCCTCCACACCATATAGAACCTCATCCAATGGGATGTCAAGCATGGTCCTCCGTTCACAGACCAGCACCCCGAGCACTCCCGCACCTCCAGCAGCCGACTATGCCCTCAAGCTAAAGAGGCTGCACACCGACACGGTGTCTCCGTCGCTGATCGCATTCATCAAAGACACCCTCGCGCCAGACAGCCTGGAATGGCTGTTCCTGCAAGAGAACACGGCCTACAAGTCTCCCGTCTCAATCGACATGATATACAAAGGCGCAGTGCGACGGCATCGCTCCAGCCTGACGAAACTCCTCATCGACAGCACGTTCAGGACAGAAGACTCGGAGCGACCAAACACGAACTGGAGGAGGTGGGTTTTCAACCGCGACTTGATTACTTGCATTACCAGCGGCAAGATGAAACTGCGCGAACTCAGCATGTCGATCGATTACAAAGACTGGCACTACTTCTTGAGACGACTACCCAACGCCACCACCCTGAGATCGTTGCATATCTCACACATTGCCGAGCACGTGAACGGGACAGTGCACTCCCGCGAAGCGGCGCTACAGGTCCTGGACATAGTTGCTCTGCGGCCCGAACTCGAGCTCTGCTACCTGGGCATTCAAGGGCAATGTTTCGAAATTCTCGAGTATGCTTCTCCCCGAAAATGTTCCGCCTCATCTGGTGGCGATTTTTCAGCAGACGACATAGGTCCTGATGGCGATGGTATGGCGCCCAACCACACCGACACGCACAACGTAGCGGCAGATAATCACCACGACGATTCTCACGACGATGAAGCAGATGACCACGCTGATGGGAATGAAGATAGTGACTTTGATGCCGTTTCAGACGAAGCAGACGACCTCAGTGACGACGGCGAAGGCAATCAATCCGGAGATGGAACCGGGTCGGGTGCACACAGACCGACGTGGCGATTGCGGGAGATTCTATTCTACGACGACAAGATTTCGATTTTCAAGGCCCGGCACGGACGGTTATAATGATATGGAAGTGGGGTTCGAGGCGCACGCGCATATGCCAAGGGTATCAAGGTCAGTCAACGGCCAAGGAACAAAAAGTGTCTGACTCGTGGATTATTCTGACGGGTTCCGAATCGGACGGGACGGGATGGAAGGATGGACGGGACAATGCCACTGGATGTTGATGTTGATGCTGATGTTGACGGTGATTCTGTAGGGTAGATAGGTAGGTAGGTAGGTATGAGGTTACGAACACGGAGTACAGCAGGATGGCAGGGCAATACGGTGCTTGTGGAAGTCATCGGGACAAATGCATTGTACTGGCATTGCCAACAAACTGCGATCACGGCTTGCGAGGACGCCAACACACAAAGAAATGTCATCATCGATGGATCTCCGGGCTGAATTTCGAGGTTTTGCTGATGAACCCGGTGATACAACTCGTTTGTGTTTGTCCGTCCGTCTGTCCGTCTATCGATTGATACGTTCTAGCCAGGTTCTTATGGATCTTGACGCGTCATGAACATCTATTTCAACGCGTCCTCTATCTCCCTCTTCTCACGCGTCCTGAACATCCTCTCCTAACGAGTCCTGAACTTCCTCTTTAACGCGTCCTTTATCTTCCGCTCTCAACGCGTCTTCGAGCACGTGATCCGGATCTTCACTGCAACGCAAGTAATACTACATAGTACCTAGTTACCTAGGTAGTATCTAGGTAGTCTCCTAGGCATACCGTCTAAAGAGAGTATTAGACTTCCCCCCAGCGAGAGAGAGAGAGCGAGAGAGAGCGAGGTCCATGAGTGAGAGAGTACACAGGTGGGCGAGTTGCTGTACTCCAGCTACAGTACATACCTAAGTACCAATATTGGCTTCACCATGGCTTCCAAGGTCCCGAACTCGAGTACTTACCTATGTAGTACTACGGTACGTAGTGAATTGTAAACTGCATACGTACGTACGTACTTTAGGTACGGCTATATAGGTACCCAGGTAGGTACTGTAGGTACCCAGGTAGGTACTGTAGGTACCCAGGTAGGTACTGTAGGTACCCAGGTAGGTACTGTAGGTAGCCTGCAGTGTAATTTCCTCCATAACTACTCCGTATGGATGGTGTACACACGCACACACGCACACACGCACACAGTTAGGTACCCAACTGGACACGGGCGCAGCCAGGCACGATACCGATACATACTGTGTAGGCACACACGGCATGGGGATGCAGCCTTGTTGAGTGGCGGCTAGCTACGCCGTCTGTGGCGGGCTGGCCATTGTAAATAGTCATTTAGTTGCTGGTGGCAGGGTAGGCGGCAGGTAGTTTGCAGGTAGCGCTTGGTAGGTAGGTACAGTGCAGTGGTACAGAGGACGAGTAGTTCAGGGCGTAAGCTCAACTTACTTACTGTACGCCGTACGCTGCGTGAATGCCGGCGGTGGCCAGAACCAACTACATAGGTACTGTGCAGAGGTTCCGCACAAAGGTATCAATGACTACTACTGTAGGTACCAGGTACCTTGACGCACGTACAGAGGCTTTACCGACCAACTACTTAGGTAGTCTCTCGGTAAGTACTCGGTAAGTATCACAGTAGGTAGTGTACTAGGTAGGTGTGTACTCCGTACATACCTTACCAAGTCTGTAATTCATGCCTCTTGTACCCATGTCCGGGCCACTCGTAACATCTGTACCACCCGTGCCACCCGTGCCACCGTCCGGAGTACTGACCTACAGCAGTCGACCTCTTTAGGGACATTGCTCCGTGTTTACTTCTCGCCTTGCCTTTCTGGCCGCATTTGTCCGGCGTGGACTAGCGCTTCGCCTCGCGTCGCGTGCAGGCTGCACCGAAATCAGCGGTCTTCTTCTCCTTGGGGCAGCGCTGAAGGGTATTTGAAATTTGAAATTTGAAATTTGCATTCTCGTGCATTGATGAGCGTCTGAGAGAGAGTGTGTTTTGTGTGTGAATGGCAGAATTGCCGCTCCTCTGCAGCCAGCACTTCACTAGAGATGACCGCTACGAGTACTCCGTAGATGGTGGAGGATTGACTCTTTGTGGCCACTGGGTCGATAAGATGCACAAAGGTGGGCCGATGGTGGCCATGTGTATATAGTACTGTACTGTATACGGTGAGGGTGCGATTCCAGCTGCGAAACTCTTCTACACTTCGTCGTACATCTGAGATGACCTTTGACAGCCACTAGCCAGACTATGTATGCATCTCAGGCGGTGCTCGATTATGTGAATGTCGGGTGTATGACAGACACGGCCAACCTCCGTTCAACCTTGCAAGTGAAGTCCGTTGAAGGATTGTACGGTCCGGGTTTGACACACGCGCTGGAAGGATCGATACGACGAGCTGTGTCTGCACTATGCGCGCTCAAAGGTCATCGAGTCTGGCGCTCTGGCTCCCCCAATGGAGGATATGGAGATCGGCTGAGTCATTTGTCTGGGTGTATACCTCAGCGGATAGGACGTTGCGCATGGGTGTCATTTGTAGATTGATCGCTGAGCGGCAGTGCCGGTATTGTGGCGGCTTACGGTGCGGCAACGAGAGAACGAGAGAACGAGATGGAGATCTGAGCCGCCCGCGCCCAGAGCGTCGCGCGAACGGGGCACTATGAGCTTCATGTTGAGCTGCCGAGTGAGTATATTAGCACGGTATGATGGTGTTCCCTGGTGTTGGAAAGGTCATTGGCTGCCCAGGCGGGTAAGGGTGCTATACAGGTGGATTGAAGGACATGGATCGTTCGGGATTTGGCCGAGAACAGACGCTCTTCACGCTCCGGCGTTGATTAGGGCTGAGGGAAGGCCACGGCAGCGTCATGGGACATGCAGGGTACAGTATTTCAATGACCGTCCGGCCTGCCTTGAGGTTGAGAAAACCCTCTGCCTTGTGTGTGTGAAAACGGAGCACCTTCGCCTGGATGTTGCCCGTGTCCATGGCCCAATCGTGACCGGGCGAAGGTCCCTTGGCTGAGCTTGATCTCTGTTCCATTGTGTGGGTTCTTATGTGGTACCTCTGCAGCTGCCAGGTGTGTCGAATCCGCCCTTTTCTTGGGGTTGTTCTTCGAAAACGTCTCTCTACCGCGTTCCTCGACCGGGTTTGTCGAGATGTAGTGCTTCGCGAACGTACACGAAAGAGACAAGCCGAAAGCACTGTGTCGTTGCAGCGCTCGTGTATCGATAGCAGCGATTATCTGGTTCGAGGGTGGCAATGGCGCAGGATGCCGTCAGCGTTGAGGGTGACATAGGAGCACAAGAGTGACGGTGAAGCTGTTCAGATCAGAATATTTGCAGATGTAGATGTGAAAGATGACGCGGTGATCGCTCAGACATGAATGTCTTCTGGCAACAAAGACATTATAACATCCTGCGATGGTGCTTGACGCTGGCTCTCGAGGTCACACAGTAACGAGGTCGGCCTGCAGTCACTGATAGCTTAGTAGTTCTCGAGCTTGCACAAGACTGTTGCGTGCACTGACTGTGTGTGGGAAGTAGTCTCTGGCTTCTGTGCATTGGCTCAGAGGCCAGAGCAAGAGCAGGAGTAGTAGGAGTACTTTGCAGGAGCCCGTGGATATTCACCCTCTCCCTGGCAGAACGGCAACATCCTTGCAGAGACACATCCTCCAGTAACATTTCATTTCATGTCAATCTTTCTCTCGTGCTCTCCGCGAGTCAGCCAGACCTCAAGACATCATACATAATGCACTTTCAGATGCATTCGTCCAACCAAGCAAGGGGCCGAACTGTGATGGTCTCCCTATGCGTGAGTTCCGAGACTTCTCCCGCAGACACGGTCCTCCTGAACCAGAAGGGCAGGGCTGTTGCTGCGCCATCGCAGGCTCTGGTAGGATTAAGCGACCGTGCACAGCGCATGCTGGGTCCTCACTCCGTCCCTCCAGCCACATGGGCACTCGTCCGTTCCTGTGGAGTCAAAGAGCATCGAGCGCGCGCACGGCCGTCGTCCACGTTCTGTCGTCCTTGCTCGCCGGGAAAGGGAAACGGTGCTTCCTATCCTTTGCCCGTGGTGCGACATGGTACCGCCGTCGGCGTTCAGCTGACTGCTAGACCGTTTCGAGCCCAGAAGATTGCAACACGGGGGCTGGTGGACACCGAGCTACCTCAGCTGCACGAATAGGGACGCATTTCTTTAGACCTTGATATGGCAGTCTTTTCGCCCCTCAGTGGGGGAAGACTTTCAGGCAGGTTTTCTGCGTTGATTCAGCCAAGCTCTCGAGGAGTCGCTCCGAGTCCCGATGGTGAGGTTTGGCCGCGACGGACCAGGAGAATGGTTGAGTACTAGGGCAGCTGTCGAGCGAATGCAAGGCTCACAAGGCTGGCTAGCGTACCGTATAGAAGCTTCAGTGCCTGCTTCTCGGCGGAGGGATCCTTGAGCATTTTAGGATGTAGGCACGAGAGTCCACCCCCATGCTGATCGTAGATGTCGATGTTGCATGTCCTCTTGCATGTGGGCGTTGTGGGCTGTTCCCACGCGAAGAGAGAGACCGGATCAAGGGCTACATTGTACGGTGCGGGCGCAGTGGATGTGACAGCCCCACAGCCGCAACGCGGAGCAGCGGCAGCAGGGGCTAGTCACTTGTACATAGATGTCTGGCGAAGGGGTCTTGGAGGATTTCCTGGCTGACACTTCTGTTGCAAGGCTTTCGGTGGAGCGGGGAGCATACAAGATGGAATGCATGGTGCTCTACTGTATGAGTCCCACGGTGACAGATTGGGCAATACGTGGTCGTTTCCCGTTAGATAGGGTCCTTGCCAGAGCAGTCCTGTCTGCTCGCCTAACTGTCTAGCTTCGAGATGTCGGTTTTGGGAATACTTCACCTGCCGTAGAGTCGTAGGCTCAGATCGTCAGCCTCGAGTCTCAGCTCGCCAAGCGTCATCCCGTAATAGCGGCTCTGTCATTCCGATGGCCAAGCACCGGAAACGTACGCCTACCTGATCCTATGGGAAGGATGCGTGCGGCCGTATTACGAGTTGAAATGTCATGCACCTGAGAATCGGTCATTAATAGAGCGGCCAGTACGGAGTTCCCGTAACAGAAATCCACTTGACGATGGTATTCAGCCCTGCTTGCACTTCTCGCTTGCAAAGCGCTCTAGTCGCCAGAAGGATCAGGTCTAATCCAGGGTGCCCCAGGTATTAGACGAGGAAGGGCGAGCCAAGGCAGATCGGGGTAAAGCTGAAGCGAAGAAACGGATAGTGACAGCGACCGAGGACGTCCCTGTGGAGCGTGACGAAGCCACACATTGTGCGGCTCACGACGGCTGTAAGGGTGACTAACATTTCGGTCATCAATAGGGAAACCAAAGGGCCTCTCTCTGCACAGTAATCTCGTCGAGGAGAATTGATGACACCATACCAGAAGAATCGCAGCCACCCAGCCCCGAGCACGAGTTTGAATCCGGCCGCCGTGTGGCGCCAATATGGACAAACCTCGGGCGACAGGGTGTACAATGACACGTGTTGTGCATCTGTTTCGTGGGCGTGGCTGCTCCTCTTGACGATTCCCCCTGGACGATGGGCTCTGAACCGCCACATTCACCTGTGGCGCAGACTCCGTAGGATCATTAGCAGAGGCAAGCCTTTTGCTTGCAGACCATAAGGCGGTGCAGGGCTGAGAGGAGTATACTTGGCCAGGGACTCATCGAGCGTTGCATTAAGCACATGCCACAGTGGTCAACCTCGCCGCTTCTTGCTCGGGGGAAAATCGCATGAGCATGCGGAATGGCCAGAATGGGGAAATGCACTGGTTGCACGATAGAGCCCATCTCCACTGATCATCAGGATGCCGTCAGAAGTCGCACGGAACACGAGCATGGCGTCGTCCTTCCGTAGGGTTCATGTCAGAGGATGGGAAGTGTGGCAGCTGACGGAGAGGGTAGTCCAAGCTTCGACAAAGTAGACATGCCATAAGAGAGAGAGAGAGAGAGCCAGATCCCCCCACCGCCTACTCAGCGGGTAAACTGAGATGTACTCCGTACTTATCGGCTGCTCCCAAGATAGCGACCGATACAGCGGCACCTAGCCGTCTTCTAGGGCTGAGGAACACATTGCTGCACGTCGGCGTCTTTGCCCGCGCGTGGTATCCGCCGAGTGACAGGTATCCCTCTTGCTCTAACCACCGAAAGGGAAGAGATGTCCGGCTATATTATTTGCTGCGGACTGGGGGCAAGAGGAAAACCCGCCACCAGAGGGGCGAGTCACGGCAGGCAAATTGTATTGTGTCCGCTTCCACAAATCTGAGGGTCACCGAAGCGGCATGTATCGACCTGTGACAGAAGCAGCAGAGCACGAGAGCAGAAGCCACCTGGAGACTTATTTTCCCCGGACCCTTCAGCGTCGCAGTCGGCATAGAAGCTCTCAACGGGGCCGTCAGGTGCACCCCGGAGACACGGGATTCAGCGTGGCTGTACTCCGTGAGGGTGGCTTTATGCGGCTCAAGTTTCGAGTGCTGAAATAGGACGGCCGCTGGACCGTACAAGAAAATAGAGCAGGATTGGTATGCCGTATAGTAACATGTCGCGGAGGTGGATGTGTACCGGGTAGGAGCAACGGTGACCTGGCGATGTTTACTGACTCGGGCGACTACCACCAAGAATGACGATGGCAGCTTACATAGCCAAGCGAGAGCGACACGCAGGATTGATTTCCGCTAGCAGGGGTGCTGACAACGGCGTCATGTCCCTCGCACCGCTGACCAGTGACCACCGGGGAGCTTCCTGCTTTGCTCGCCGGTCCCTGTTCCTGGTCGATCTGGGGCCGAAATGTCACTCTCCAGCTCCAATTCTCAGGCTTCAAGGCACCGCAAATGGCGAGACGGCTCACACAGGCCAAGATTTCGAGGACATAGTAGTGTCCACCAGCGGTGTCAGCCTCGCCGTGTGCCGGGGCCACAGATTCCCACCCATCTCCCTCCCCGTTACGGAGTACTGCTTTCCAGTTAGTGTCTCGCCAGAAGGGACAAGCGGGCCTGGCAGTAGAGGAACCACCGAGGCGCCAGGCCAGCTAAGTATCAAAAGCAGACGACTTCCCATCTCGCGCATCAAGCTGACAAAGCTGAACCCATTCTCTCCGTGCACCTTGGCCTGTCTCGTCGAGTGCCGATTCACAATTCCTGAGCATATCGCCGGACATTCGTTTGCGCTGTCTTGCTGCTCTTGCGCGCCCGAATTCCCTCCCTCGCCAGCGTTCCCCTGCAGACTCGTCCCCTCAAAAGGGCTTAACCGAAAAGTGGGCGTCCAGCCACGCGAGGCGTTTCCCATCGGCCAAGTTGTGCCGTTACTGCCCACGGTATGATCTGCTGCTCAAGCGGGCTGCACGTTGCTGCTTAGACCAAGCCTCAACCCACGGGCCATGCCGATGTGTAAGGGCAGCATTGGACTAGTAACCGTACCAAGTAGCTCCTCTAATTGCGCGACCAGTCGCTGGCGCCCTGTCTTCTTCCAATCCCGTGTCAGACGCAGTGGCGTCCAGATTGAACTTTTGATCGTTCTGGAGACTTAGTATGGACTGTATATGTGAGGCGCGTGCTGAACCAGTCGCTGTTACTTACACCGTCTGCGACTGGTCGAGCCGGGTTTTGGGTGACCGGTCGGAATGCTTCGTCTTCTCCGCCTAAACCAAGAAACGGGTCCGCTTGCTAAGTTTATACGATGTAGCATTGCAGCTACTAAGCCAAACTGTGAATGACCCTGGATCTTTGGTGCCGTGCGGCAAAATACATCAATTCTTTCAGACCTTCTGGAGACTGAATGCGCAACCGTCATGTCTTTGTGCCCTTGGTAGGAAAAGAAGAGCAAGCATGGCGAATCAATAGGCCGTAGCCGATCGTGCAGCCATATTTTCTACACCGTCGCCCCCACCAACTCCGACCTGAAATGAGTGATAATCCCCTGGCTATTTTTCGTGGTAGCCACTCCACCGTCGTGGTCGAAGTCGTATCATCGTAATAACGGGCCTGCAAATCCAAACGCATTTTTAGGGATCGTTCTTGGTCTTGTTCAGCCCATCGCCCTCGGGCCTGCCTTTGCACTTGCCCCCGGACATGTGACCGTTTCGTGCGGTGGTTCTTGTAAACTCAGTCCCGCAGTGGGGACAGATCGCTTTGACCGCGCTGCCACTCTTTTCTCTCTGATGGCGCAAGAGGTTGGAAAAGGTCGAAAACTGCCGGCCGTTACATCCGTGATCCCAACACTGCGGTTTCGGCCTGGAGGGCATAATCTCGATCTCTGCTGGCGACGACTCCAAGGTTAGTGGAACGGGTGGGAATGGCTGCATGGTCATGCCGATGGACGGTAACGGTTGCTGACTGTGTTGCGGCTGGCCATGCATGTATAAAGCGTTCGGCGAGTCTGGTGGAGGAAGGCTCATCGCTGAGGCGTGCGACGTTGTGCGACCGACTGGGTAATAGCCGTGCGGTTCGCTATCGTTGTGGGGAAGGGAGAACTCGTGGGAGCTATCTTGCTGTGTAGATTGTGGCGGAACCGGGCTGCCGAAATAGCCCCCTTGGTGGGGGAAACTCGTGATGGGTGGTGACATGTTGTACCCAGGCATATTGAACATCTGTGGCATCGCTGAACCGCCGTGTGAGGGCATCGCAGTGATCGACGGTAGTGATTGCGTTTGGTGCAACTGATTCTGTTCATTGGCGAACGCAAGCAGCATCTCGCTCCGACTGTGGCTGCGGCCGCGGGAAAGGCTGGGTCTATGATGGCGGATGGGTGTGCGGTCCCGGACTGCGGGCGCGCTCAAGGCTGCCTGGGGCGACAGAGACGAGCGCCTCCGATACGGCATCTCTGAGTTGATTGAGGGAGGTGAAACCATCAAAAGCGATTGAGGGGGTGGACCGGAGGTGTAGGCAGTACTCCCTGTTGCAAAACTGTCAAAATCTACTCATATATCAGCCGGTGGCCAGGAAAGGGAAATCTCGCGTTCTTACTCGAGTAGGGACTCAGCATTTCGCTTCCAAAGGCCATGTGGTTTGGGTTATACTGCGACGGCGGCGTAGGCAGGACCTGAGCGGCCATTCTAATGATCTAGTTAGTCCATCACGACGCGTAGCATATCCCAGAGCATCACAAACCCGGGCCGTTGGAGCGTATACTGAGGCACTCCTCGCTGTTGCACGTCTGACGGAGCCAGCGGTTGCTGTGGTTGTTGTGGTGGCTGTGGTGGGCTTGTCACCCAGGAGTATGGTTGGCCTTGATACGGAAAGTGTTCGACCTGCTGAGTCTCGTCCTGGTGCGACCGCAAAATGGCGGTTGCCAGTATTCGCGATCTGGATTGCTCCTGTGCGACCTGATAAGTGCCGACACGAGCACTTCCTTGCCCACTTGTGGTCGAGACTCGACTTTCGCTATGTGTCGCACTCTGGGCTTGACTGGACGAACGCTCCGACGTCGAGGGCGAGGCCGACACGATGGAAGATGTCGACTGGCGGGAGTTTTGGGTCGCAATATTGACTGAGAATACAGCCGAGCCTGCAGTAGCAAGCTCGACAGATGTTTGAAGTTTCTCTTGATGGTCGGATCCCGATCGACAGTCTCAGGATGATAAAAGGGCGGAGAGTGGGCGGTCAATGACTCTGGACAACAACGGGCCCGCTCCGAAAGATAATGTCTCGAAATAGGTCCTGGGTTTTATGCCGACGATCGAATGGTCCACCCGAACGTGATGAAAGGCAAGTCTGTGTGATGACAATATTCAGTGATTGGCCGGTAGGGGAATCGAAACTGCCTTTAGGCACGGCACGTTGAATGGGCATAGACGAGAGATGCTGATGACCGGGTCTTTTGAGGGGAGGGAGAGATGGGCTGCTGATGCCACGAGCCCAACACGGGTCCCCTCGACGGTTAAACTCTTCGACAGAGTCGCGCTATCTCTAGCGCAGCCCTACGATCCTCGTGTGTTTACTCATAACTATGGCTGAAGAGCAATTGATCCTATTTGGGGGCCTGAGAGCTCTCGAGAGCTGCAGATGGAGATGTGGCTCGGATGAGCGATGGGGCTCGCTGGCACGCCACGTTTGGGTACTCGTAGATGGGGAGGGTGAACCACAACCGATCAAGACACTAAGATGACGGATGGCCGTTTGAAGGCAGCGCTGGAAGGGGGCCAGGCGGTTGTTCGCTTTGGGTAGCCAGCGATCAGGGTTAATCGGCGTGAGCACAATCCACAGTACTGCTGGGAAAATGGTCTTGCCGGTGAGCGCGGGCGGGAGTCTGACCCGCGATCGTATGTCGAACGACACCCGATGGTGAGCGCGCCTAGCTGGAGATCCAGGGGCGTTGCTTGTGAGGATAATCAAGGAGTGTTCGCTCAGCCTGGTAACAGAAAATCAGGTACCTCGTACGTGCTGGACGGTGGTGAGTGCTGGAGGACCGAATCGCGGAGCAGGACCTGGTTTCCCAGTATTAGTGCCCATACCCGGCCAACAGCAGAGGCCAGTGTCCCATGTCTATGGAGAGCGGAGCTGCCCTCAGCCACGGTCAGCAGTGCTTACTTACATAACTCGCCATAACTCAACTCCAGTGGGGCCAGGTCGGTAGTGTTGTGGGAACGCGAAGGCCTGCGAGAATGCTCACGCGCGCGTAAGGCCTTGAAATGACCGAGCCTTGCTCTACGGGAGCGTGTAAGGGCAGGGAGGCAAGCCTGAGGGCATGTTGTCCGAGCACAGTCTGGCAGGCGAGTCAGATGTGGACAGTAAGCAATAAGCACGGTGGTGGTGGCCAGTGGCCACCACGCACCCGTAACCACAGCCTGGCGTGATAAGAGAGGTCAATTCCTGACCCAGGGCCGGCGAGTACGGCCTATTAGCGAGTCCTCGAGATGGAATTCGACCACCAGCCAGATAATTGCTCCATCGGGGCAGGTGGACCTCATGGCTGTCTGGTCGGCATCCCAGTCTACTCGTACTGTTGCAAGAGTAAGTGGTCAGTTATTAATTCGCCTGAGAGAAGACTCAGTGTTCTCCCTCTCACGCACGCATCAGGTGGCCAAACCGCCACCACGCAAAAACCAGCGTGACACAGCACCAGCCCGAGCATGCATGAGTCTCGTTCGCGACTATCCCCAAATCAGCCTAACGGGCTCACGGGTGACAGTGACTGTCTGGTCCCAGAGGATGAGCTCTCCGCAGCCTGGACGGGGAACAGCGTGTTGGGTGCGCTGCCTGGCTGGTCTGGTGGCATTGGTTCCCTGGTCGGGGCGAGGCTAAATTACGGCAGTATACCCATGCCATTTCCCCAGCCGCGGATGGTTGGTCGATGGCGAGATCAGAGGTGAGAACTTTGAACAAAGGGAACAGTGAAAGTGGCCCGTAGTAAGTTCGCCCCCAAGATGCCGAGCGGCCAAGTGATTAAAGAGGCAATAAACACGCTGACGGCAGCGCGAATCTTGCAGGTGACTTGTTTCCGGGTGCCGATTGGTGACCAGTCTCCTCTTGTACTTTTCCCCCTCCACGGCCTCTTGCCTTTCCACTCCGGGCCAGGCATGCGGCGCACAGAGGAGTTTTGGTCGCTCGCCTGTCGCTGAACCGAGACACCGGAAGTTGGCCATGACGAAAGCAGGCACGGTCACCACGCTGAGGCGGACTGCTGGACTGTGTAATTTGTACGAGTACCGAGGACGGAGTGATTGGAGTCCAATGTACCCCGGTATGAAGGTGCGACGCGACCAATACGAGTCACAGTCCCCTGCTCTGAGCCAACGCCACCATCTGCTTCTTCGGGCAGGTCTTCGTACCTTGATAATCGTCTGCAGTTTTCGAGAACAAATCCATGGCCTCGGCGTTTTCTACCCAGTACCTCTTCCATCCGCCTCGTCCTGTTTGTTTACTTCTCGGACACGCCTCGTCTAACAGCGTCGGTCCTCACTACGATAGCAGAGGGTGGGCAGGAGATGGCAATACCCGAGAAGAGCTTGAATCTAACATATCCCCGTGCTCGATAATCAATCTGATGTGTGGATAGGTAACCCACATGCTTTATTTACAGCTTCCCCGTGCAGGGTACTCATGTGTCTTTATCCTGGTCCCAGGACTTCAAGATGAGCTTCGCCGAGTATGACTGGACGCGTTCCTGGATGGGCTTTACCGTGGAGCAGGCTCGCGGACTCGCAGGGCTACTCGTACGAGTACTGAATATAAGCACTGCATACTCCGTACTGACAGACGAGTCAGTTCCGAGAGCTGTTCCACATCTGACACGGCCAACACCCATGACACGCCAGGATGTCGCTATTGCCGGTGCCTCCACGATCCCCACTGATTGACATCATCGTCGGCCGCAATTGAGCGCGGAAACTCGGAGGTTTACCTGCCAGTCACCAGCCACCAGCCACAGGCCACCAGCGCCACACTCCGAGAGCTGTGAGGCTGAAGAGGCTGAATGTGGGGCCTCCAAAATCCTTACTCGCTTTGACCCTTGCGATATTGAAGGTCCTTCGGAAGCTACTTCGAGGTATTGTCGAACCCACCCTGATTGGGTAGCCACCTGCTACTCTTGCCTGTAATCCATAAGGGCATGAGGTAGACGATTTGTGGTTGAAACCTTTGCCCGGGCCTGGCGCCGGTGATCGATCCTATTGCGACCAACAGGGGAAGTCCGTGATCGTCCTGGTTAGAGATGGTCAGCCGGGTCGGGGGTTCAGGTCGCTGGCACCGATGCATGACGACGCCTAAGACTATTGGAGCTCAGCTTGAGCACGCCAGCTTTCGTCGTCTTTGGGGTCCGTTTGTCAAAGGGAGATGGGGTTGAAGCACGCCAAGGTTAAGACGGAGTCCTTGCGCTTGACAGCTGTAGATAACGACTTGATGCTTACAGATTTACTGTAATCACATCCCTTGTGCGACCCTCGAGACTAAGATGATGCGAAGGCAGGTCGCAATCTCATGCACGGGCATACCAGACTAAATCTCAGCCGCATATGACTCGTGTTCCACGAGTCTTATGGGTGACTGGGATTGTCGAACCGAGCAAAGAGTCGCTGTGGGCGAGATCGACGAGGATCCCTGCCCAGCTTAATTGGAGGGTGGATGGGAGTCCATCTCGAGACAGCCGAGGATTGTGGGCGTGCGGACAAAGTAGTAGAGGTTCACAAGATGCACGCCACAACCGCCGATGTGAACCTATGGAAGACTCCCAGGCTTATTCTCAACAGCATCATGACCTTGAAAGTCCTAGTCGCCCGCGTCACGAACATAGTTTTGCAGTGGCTGACACAGCAGCGGCTGAGGCATTGTGAGGCGAGGAGGCCTTGAAAACAGAGTCAGGGCTCGACGGTGGTCGCTCGAGAAAGCTTTGATAACCCAGGTACTTGGACTCTCGTCGTCGTCGCCGCATTCGGGTTCGCCTGGAGGATATTCCAAGCGTAGACATCTACTCAGGTATATACGAAGCTCTGCGAAGTGTTTGTTACGAAGATATCGGAGGAGGCAGAACCATTGGTGAACGAGTGGAAGCGAACGTGTTGTGGCGTGCACGGATCGTCGAGCAGAACCATCCTGTGCAGGGTGGTGGCCGCGTGAAGACAGTGTGTCGAACCTGATCAAAGTGAGGTAAACGTGAAGTCAAATGCTTGATGTCAACCGAGTTCTAAAGGCAAGCACATGACCAGCGAAGGACGATGTCGGCTGTCCTGATGGAGGCTTCTGACACACCAGCCGCGGCGTGCGGCGCCGTGGCCGGGCGTGATGCGATGTTGGTGCCGTCACTCTCTTTCGTCTGAGTTGTCCTTCGATGCCACGTCTGCACACCTGTCCATTCCCAGCAGCCACTCAAAGACGATGATCTGTCCTTCTAGAGCTGTCGCCTGCCTCTAGAGCGATCACCAGGGTGCCTGGGCTGGGCGTCGGATCTCTATTAGAGCCCTTGACATCTCCCTAGAGGCGGGGCAGACTCTGTCGCTCTCTTCAAGACCCTTGCGCGTCCACCTGTCGGCCTCTTCGATCACGGCCACCACTTCACTCTAACTGCGTCGCACTCGAACGAACCCGCCGCCCGATCATGGCTTCATTCCTCGAGGAGCTTTGGAATTCCATTTTTACGCCGGGCCCGACGCCGACACTATTGGTCGCTACGAACGCCGCGTTCGCTGCATTGCAGCTCCTCCTCCTAGTCCTCCTCATCGCAACTTACTCGTTGCATTTCCTGGTGCTATCGATTCTGTGCGGTGGGCTTTGGTATTCTATCAATTGGTTTGCTACCGAGATTGCGAGGGAACAACAAGCGCAAAAGGCCAAGGAGAAGAAAGAGAAGAGCCCCGAGCCAGACAATGCTAGTGACACCGAGACCGAGGCTCCTCCACCCGACGCGCCGGCGAAGCGGGTGCCGTCAACGGCGACAACAACATCAGCTGCTTCAAGTCAGAGTCAGAAACATGAGCAGCCAAAGGACAGCTCGGCGTCCCTCCTAGAACCAAAGATGGCGGAGAGTACCGAGGCGCTCAGACGCCGGCGCAGCTTGGGCGAGAGCTCCGGCTACGTGAGTACCGACAGTGAGTGGGAGAAGGTGTCCGAAGGGGAAGAAAAGGGCAAGTAAAAGAAAAGCGCCCTCTTTGCTGCCCATACTCCCGCATGGAAGGCCGTGCCTATCATCGGAAGCGCCACGGGCCAAAGGCGTCCTCTCCCATCGCGTTGCTCAGCTATAGTGTGGTAAAGGGACGTCTGCAGGAGCCGGACACGACGCGTGGGAGCCCGATATACGAACGATACCCCAGATGAAGAAATGAAACAAGATATACCTGCATTTGTCACAGCCACAATCTTGATTGAGACTGCCAGTGCCCTTCTTAAATACCCCGCACTAGATATATTATGTGAGGCTGGAAGGAAGTCATCATGCGAGACTCGCTGGGGCGAATAGAGAATAGCCGACCCATAGACAGCTTCGAGGTCAGCGTTTGCCGGTAGCTCACTGCCTGAAGGCGCGTGCATCGTGGCTGACGAGAAGGTGCCAGCACGGTTCCTGACCGTCATGAGAGGGAGGAGCCGGTATGCACAGAGCCGTCGTGGTGGTCGAGCGGCGTCGGTAACGCGCCCCGTCAAGGTAAGTTTGCCGCTGAATTCACCTTCCGTTCACTCGTGTCTCTAGTGACTCGACACTTCTCTCAGCCGTGACTCAAACCTCTCATCCACCAACACCGTCGTCTGACCAGCACACATAACATGACCATCGCTGTCTGTTCTCCGTCGCCATCCTAAACCCCAGCTGTCGCTCTGAGCCCCAACGGACAGGTCGAAGCAACCGCAACAATGGTCCTTCAATTGTCCCAACTGCTCTACTACTCTCACACAGTCACCCGCTCTTTACCACGGCCGCTATCACTTTTACTGTTGCGGCGGCACAGTGTACGGACATAGGGGACGGGCGCGACACCGTACTCGCACATCCAAAATGGCTTCTATATTCACCTACCTGGATGAGCCTCCACGAATCCAGTCTCCCTGGTCGACTCCGGGGACTTCGACTCCCCAGCCTTCGCAACCATACGGCAACAGCTTCGTTGAGGGACAGAATGCCCCAAATGGACTCGTAAAACTGGAGCCTGAGCACCAAGACGGCCCTACCGAGTACAAGCTTCACCTGCTACTTCGGCCAAGGAGGAAATTCCTAACGACGTCTACCACTACCTTCATATCTGGTTCTCACCAGTATAGCTCTCCCCCGCAGCAGGCGTCTCGTCCTCCTCGCCCACTGATTGATACAAACCCGGATCGTCCGTTGTCTCAACCTCCATCGCAAGCTCGTCAGAACCGACTGCAGCAACTGACTACGCAGCTGCTCTGGAGGTTGCAACAGTCTTCGCCCTTTCATTCTTCTTCGAATGCCGGTCTGGTGTTGCCGCTTCTCCCCGAAGCGACTCCGAGGTTGGGAGTGCCAGACCGTCCCGCCAAGCTTCTGCCAGGCCTGGAGGAAAGCCAAGGTGCGCTGTACGAGATTGGCGTCGCTGACGATGGCACGTTGGTCGGCTTGGTTGAGGATGAATTGCAGGAGAGTCTGACCAATCTGAATGCTATGGCCGCCAGCCTAGGCTGCACCACCAGTGTGCTGCGGAGGGTAGCAGTCGGGACGTGTGAATGGGCAGACACAGATGGAGAGCCGGGAGACACACCGACCCACAAAGACAGACTCTGGGTGGCCGAAGTGTTGGTTTATCCGGACCCGCGCGGCTCGACAAATGCAGATGTACCCAAAGCGGCACTTGATGAGGCAGCCACTCCCTCAAGGCCGGCAGAAGATTCTTATTTGGCTGAGCATGCATCGACTGAACAGATACGAGTGACCTTAGTAGGCGCTACCGCTGCAGGGAAGTCAACGTTGCTAGGCACATTGTCGACCTCCACGTTGGATAATGGTCGTGGAAGAAGCCGTCTTTCGCTACTCAAACATCGACACGAGATTGCCTCGGGGATCACGAGTTCGGTTGCGCATGAGCTTGTGGGTTACATACATGATCGGAACACGACAAACTCGGTCAACTACGCCTCCGGAAATGTCTCTTCCTGGGTGGACATCCACAACGTGGCCGATCGTCTCGTTTTCCTATCCGATTCGCCCGGTCTCCCTAGGTTCGCCAAATCTGCCCTTCGAAGCCTTATGTCGTGGAGACCGGCATGGACAATTCTGTGCATCGCGGCCGACCATGTAGACGACTCCTCGAATCCGAACGCAAGCCTTCCGACTGCGGAGCTACATGCTGACAGCGGGACTGGTGAGAATATGGATCTTTCGCTTTCCTATCTCGACCTGTGTCTTCGGTTACACGTGTCATTCATGGTGGTCATCACAAAACTGGACCTGGCAAACAAGGCAGGGCTGCGGTTAGTCCTTGCAAAAGTCCTTTCCGCCATCAAGGCCACTGGCAGAAAACCTGCCATGCTTAGCAACACCTCAGTCCGACCATCTGCGTCAGAGCATGGAGTTGCAGCCTCGGAGGGTCAGATCCAGAATGGGAGAGATCAGACCGAGGTTGACAACCTCATCGCGTCTATGCAGCGCGATCCTGACCAGACCTTCGTGCCTATCTTAATGACGAGTGCTGTCACGGGTCTTGGCATAAGCAAGCTGCACGCTTTGCTGCGAGCCCTGCCCGTTGTATCCACTCCTTCGCCAGGCCGACCCTTACAGCCTGAGTCCTCGGAAGGGTCTTCGCGTTTCCATGTGGACGAGGTCTTCAGCATTCCCCCATCTCGTGTGTACACGCTGGACATGGCGACCCGGATTGCGAGTCAAGGCGTAGTGCTTTGCGGCTACGTCTCAGAAGGCTTGTTGTCCGTTGGCGACACTATGTTACTGGGACCGTTCATGGCGGACGCAGATGTGTCGTACGCTCACACAACTCAGCCTGTGCTCAGAGCGAGCTCTTACAGTACCCATCAGGCATATTCGGAGGCGCTGCCAAGCAGCCGGTCACGGTCTTACCAAGGTGAGCCCCCGAGGGTGCCAACCCCAAAAACACAACCTTCAGCGGTGTTCCTCCGTGTACGCGTCGTGTCCCTTCGGACGTTACGCCTGCCAGTGGTACATATGCAGTATGGCGAGACTGGTACCATTGGCGTTGAACCTCTGGACAGTGCCGACGACACGATCCCTCTGAGCAGAGCTCGGAAGGGGATGGTGCTCGTCAACTTGAATCGGAGCGTTACTGGCTATCATTCATTTTCTGCTACTTTTCCAGCGTCGGACTTCGGGCAGTCGAGCTCACCGGTTCTGATACTCGGGGGCCATGCGATCGTGTATGTGAACAGCGTCCGAGCCGCAGTCAAGGTAACAGCGGTGGGCTTGGACGAGGACGAGCAGCCCGGCACAACTAAATCTGCTGCTGCGTGTTCTCACGGAGAAGAGCAGGCGGATCTCTTCCGGTTCGATGATGATTATGATGATGCTAAGATTCCTGCACAGGAGATGGTTAATGGCAAAGGGCCTTCAGCAGGGAGGAAGGAGATTAAGTTGACCTTTCGCTTTAGCAGTACAGTTGAATGGATGAAGGTTGGCGACCAGGTCCTTGTCGTCCCAACCATGACGGCTGCTGGTCCTGTGACCGGGGCCACCTCTGTGGTCAATTTGTCAGGGTTATCAGGATATGTAGGAAGGGTATGTGAGTTGTCCGCGTGAATCGATCATAGGGTTGCCGCCGGCACGTCTATGAAGCATGAAAACGATTCAGATGCCGCTCAATCGTCATTTTACAACGGACTCATTCAGCCATCTTGACGACTATGCTGTCTCGCCTTTCAAAGCCTCGCTTGTCTCGTCGCCGGCAGTGAGCCCGACATTGCCGCTGCACCCAGGAAAATGCGCCTGTCCATGTCGACCTCGTTCGCGAGGTCACCGGGCCCTTGTTCCTCCTGGAGCTTCACCGTGTCGCTGGGCAAGGCGTTCATCCTGACCCACCGCCGTGCAGTCTCGACGGCAACGGCGTCTCCATCTACCATGGCATCGAACATGAGCAGAACAGCGCACGTGACGGCCTCGATATGACGCAGGACGTCCCTCCCTCTTCGTTGGAGCGCAGCCGAGTCTGAAGTCCGCACCGTCCGCTCCAGCACGGCATATCGGTTCCGCACCATGTCCAACTCGCGCGAGAACGTCCCTCGGGCACCGCTCCTCTCCTCGATGGCGCGCAGCACATCCCGCATCCAGTCGCCCAGGGTCTCGTCCAGCACGTCCCTGCCCCGGGCCTTGGGGTTCTTGAGCACGCGCGCCACGTCCTCGGCCATGACGCTCGTGGTGCCCTCCCAGATGGGATTGACGGCACTGTCGCGGAACAGGCGAGCCACGTTCATGATGCCGCCGTCCTCGTTGTTCTCGCAGTAGCCGACGCCCCCCAGGGACTCCATGCACTCGCGCAGTCCCGCCACACTGTTCAGCGAGACCTGCGCCTTCATCACGGGCGTCAGCAGGCGGAAGAGATTCTCTTGCCCGGCCCTTGATCGGGGAATCAGCGTAGCTGCGCCGAGCGTGGAGCGGATGACGGTGCCGTAGTCCTGCTCCGTGGCGCCGAGGAGGGCCACGGCCAAGAAGACCAGGTGCGTGCTTGCGCGGTACTTCACGCTCTCACCTGCCATCCAGGCGAGGTGCTGCGCATTGTCGCGGAGGAGCTGGCCCTCGCGGATCTTGCGCACCTGCGTGTACGCCCGGGATACGGCGAGGCCGCGGGCCCACCCGCCGACCGCACCACTGGCGGTGTGCAGACGCGTGATGTTGAGGATGGCGGAGATCTCCTTGACGCCGTGGCCTTCCTGGCCGACGAGGTAGGCGCGCATGGATTTAAGTTCCAGCTCCGCGGTGGGGACGCCCTTGGTGCCGAGTTTGGATTTGAGGCGCTGGATGCGCACCCCGTTCGTCTCGGAAGGGTATGGTTGGGCAGCAGAAGCTTCGGTGGTGAGCGTTGCCCGTGATGCAGACGAAGACGACGACTCTGCCTTGTGCCCGGCGCTACGACGCAGTGGAGCATAGAATGCGCTGAGGCCCTTGGCCGTCCGGGCGAGGAGGATGGCCATGTCCGCGTCGGTGGCCGAGGAGAACCATTTAAAGCCGTCAACGAGCCAGGGCCCCAGGGGCAGGTTGTGGGCATCTTTGTCGCGCCCGGCGTCGATGTCGGCTTGGATTTCCTGTGCGGTGAGCCGGCGCGCCACGGTTTCGGTGCCACGCACGTCGCTCCCGCCGCTCCGTTCCGTCATCCATTGCCCGCTCGTCCATGCGTAGTTGTTCTCCAGCGAGACGAGGCGGTCGTAGCTCTCGCGAAACACGGCCGCCCGACCGGGTTGATCGCCGTCCGGGTCGTCAAAGTGCCGGCGCAGAAGAACGGCAGCCCCGTCCGTCATGGCCATGGGACAGGTCGACACTGCAGCCGTCCCGTGCCAGAGATGCAGAGTCCCGTACTGGTGGATGCGGCGGTTGAAGTTCTGGCCCTGTGTGCCATGTTGGGGATACCCGTGTCCAATCACGCCGGCTGGGGTTTGGATCTTCTTGAGCTCGCGCCAGCCTTCGCTCGTGCGCAGAGAATCGACTTTATTCTCTTCCCCGAAGGTGGTGAGGGGGCGGATCGCTGGCGGGTCAATGTCACAGTCGATGGTATGTTGGAGGGTTGATGGTCGGAGAACGAGGCGCGAGAAGTCGTGCAGATGGCTCGATATCTGTGCTGGGATCGGATTGGGGAGGTAGAGAGACAAGACCCGTGCTAGCACGGGATCGTCTGATATTTCGTGGGATCGAGACATGCCCGTCGTCGATGGAGCTGAAGGTGTATATTGCGGCGGCACTATGGGTAAGGCCTGGAAGAACCCCGAAGTCGAGGACGATGCTTTTCTAGCTTCCATATCGACTTGTCTTGGTGGTCGTAATTGTCCTTGAGATGGTGTTGCGGAGCCTTCAAAGTACCCGATATACTGCGAGACTACGTCCGGGTCCAAATACTGTGCTGTGGCTTGCCTGGATTGGATGGTCCGAATGGGATGATTTTCGAAAGATTGAATTTCTCCGTTAACGGTACAGATCCCGAGCAGATTCGGAGTCAAGTAATATGTACAGTACTCTCACTGTGACTGTATTTGGACTGTGGACTGCTAGCCTAGAAAGCCGTTAAAGGCTAGCCACGGTTCCAGAATAGAGAGCAATACGACGGCGACGTGAAGTGACGGATTGGAGCAGTCGCCTATTTCGGCTCGTTCACTTCGTCATATTTTGTCAGAGGGAGTTGAATCAGTCTCGTCCAGCGGGATGAACGTGCTCGGGAGGATGTATGGAGACAGTGTGTACAGGTATAAGTGTGACAAGGGAGGTAATCAAGTCCAACGTGAGGTGAGGTCGGGTTGAGTATTTTCTGCGCGGTTCAAGAAGAGGGAGTGAAGAGGGAGTGAAGCGCAGTTGAGCCTCGGCTTGGGAATTTCCGGTTAAGGCTAGCTACCTACCTAGGTACCTCCGGGGGGGGAACTACTCCGTACAGCAGGGACAATAGTTGTGCCTGCGGCCCCCAAGTATTACTGTTGGTGCTGTAACTGTAACTTCAGCAACATGTGCTGGTGGTGCCAACGGCGCCGCAACGCAACCAATTGACGTGTCTTCGGTGCTGCTCGGCTTGTCACACACTCCCGCGCGTCACTTTGTCCTCGGCTGATCTTTTACAGTAGGTGACTTGTGGGACAGCCATGATGTTCAGAAGACTGTGGCACTGCTCGAATATTTCTACTTACGCTGCACAAGCATGGCAATTGTTTGAGCTCCCGATATCACGGGTGGTGCTGGGACGAGTACTGTTTGGCCTTGGAGCTGTGGCGTACAAAGCCATGCACCTTCAAGGGCCGTATGAGCACAGAATGACACTCTCCACATGTTCCAGATTGAGGCTCTCCTTGAAGCACGATCGACAGGCGTAGGCTTCGAGGGAGCGTCCTTCTCTGCCACTTTTTCGTTTCATACCTTATGTGTTGTCACGCAGAGGTTGCTTCCCATCGGTAATGGTCGCGAATCGACTTGGGCCTCAATAAAGACTTTCTTAATCGGATTTGTTGAGAGCGTCTCCTGTGTGGCAATCGAGATAAGAGACTGGACATCGATTTGCGTCCCATGTCATTGGAATGCGTGCTAACGACGGCGCTGAAACAATAATGACCAGTAAGTCCTGGCGGCAAGGGATGAAGAATTTACCCCTTGGAATGCCACTCGAGTGCTGGACCGGTGAGTAAGTTGTCGGTCTTGTAGCTTTCTCCTGCTCGTTGTTGGCAGACCTCCATTCGCACATATGGCTACCTCGTGCTGGTCGGCGAGACGATCAGAGACAATATACACTGCTCTCCTGCTGATATGTTTCTTCTACATCCTCGTGTCGAGCCCAATAGTGGAGCATGCACAATCAATGGTTCGACCTGGCTGGCAAGCCAGTCCCACGGGACGACACAGTAGTGCTTTCCACAGGAACGCCGCATCAGCAGGGCACGACCTTGCGGATATTGTGGACGGTCATTCTCGTGAAACAACAGCACAAACTTTGCACGAATATCTCGGGGAGCAAAGCTTCGAGGTGGTGCCAACCCTGGAAGAGGCAGAGCTGAATGACTTGAGGATGGGTCAGGTCGGTCCCTATATCCGGGCAATCATGGACCCCAAGGACACGGAATTCAATCGATTGCAGTGTCCGCGGCCTTTCAAGGATCGGTACAGAGTGCTCCGGGCACAACGGGAGGTACTAACCCAGTCCAAGCAGCAGCCACCGAAAAAGCGGTACTTCTTCGCCCTCAATCTCTACCAGTGCGCCTATGTGCTACCACGGTTGCTAGCATCGGTCGTCGAGGCCATGCGGAAGCTCGGTCCAGAAGACTGCGTCTTGTCGATTGTCGGCGGCCGCTCCGATGATGGTACTACAGAGATCCTCTCGGTAATAAGAGAAGAAATCGAAGCCCTCAACGCAACTTACTACTTTGGCACTAGCGACATTGACCCGTGGAGAAAGGGCCGCGATCGAGTGACGGAGCTTGCTAAGCTCCGAAACCTGGCGCTCGCTCCTCTGTACACTGGACAGCAACTGTGGGCAGCAGATGCGACGGTCATCTTCGTGAACGACGTGTCGATATGTACCGACGACATCCTGGAGCTTGTCTATCAGAAACAATACCAGCAGGCGGATATGGTCTGTGCAATGGACTGGAACAACAACGGAGCCACGTTCTACGACTCCTGGATAGGTCGCAGCATGAATGGTGATATGTTCGTCGAGGTTCCGCAGAGCGGCTCTTTCGAGTTTGCGAGCAACTTGTTCTGGAACGACGAGGAGGCTCGACGTCACATCGACGAGAGATTGCCTCTGCAAGTATTCGCCTGTTGGAACGGCGCGGTGGCCTTCAAAGCTGAACCGTTGCTCCTGCACCATCTCATGTTCAGGGCACCGTACAAGGATGAATGTTATACAGGAGAGCCAACTCTGTTCTGTAAAGACCTCTGGGCTCTGGGATACGGCCGCATTGCAGTCATTCCTAGCGTGAATGTGGGATATAACGACGAGCAGTCGAAAGGGGCAAAGGAGAAGCATGGATATGCCTCGGGGAACATTCAGCAAACGGAACATGACAAGGCTTTATCGACTGCGATCAAGTGGGAGAAGTCCCCGCCAGCGCTTGTCAAATGTCAGCCTGATTGGAGGCATTCCTCTTGGGCACCATGGGACGATGCTCTGGAGGAGCATATTCCATTCGACTGGACACGATCTGGATACTTCAACGCCAAGCAGCCGTTCAGCCAAGAGCTTGAATTTGAGGACGAAATTGACGAGGATTTGGGAACCAGCACGGTCAGTGAAAGTCACGTCGTCGACGGTAACGCTACAGAGCCCGAGGGACATGGTATCGATGGTGACTTCCGCGGTGATGGAGGCGAGACTGATGTCGGTGAAGCCATTCTTGTTGACAGCACGCAAGGTTGAATGTTTTAATTGAATTAATGTGTCAACGCATTTCCATGTCACGTTTTCTCGTGCCACAAACGCCACCGCCACTGCCCCGCCACTGGCGCCACCACTTTACGCGAATCGCGTCATTGGAATGGATCCTTGAATCCCCTCTCGTTCTTCCACCCCCCATCGTGCGCCATTTCATGCCCTCACCATGCCTCTAAACACACTGCGACTCAATCATCAAAAGTCCTCTCATCCCAATGACCGCATCGTATTCATCAAGCCCCTCCCCCGGCCGCCGTCGGATCGAGCGTCGTACGAGATTGCCGATACTTTCCTACGGGCCATCGCAGCACAATGTCTGCCACTCATGAAGAAGCATTACCTCTCCGTCACCACGTTGGAAGAGCATGAACCCAATCGCGAGTTTATTGGCCGAAATTTCAACAACGGCGAGATCATCCAGCTGGTGCTCACGACCAGGGATGGGCGATGGGTTCCGTTCAATGCCGTGCAAATGGTGATGATGCATGAGTTGGCACATAACACCCACATGAACCATGGACGGGACTTCTGGAAGACACGAAACGTTTATGCCGAGGAGATGAAGGCATTATGGGCGAAACGCTACACTGGCGAAGGCTTCTGGGGTGGCGGTCGAACACTACATGATATGGGCTCAGTCATAGGGAACAACACGTTGCGCAGCGACGAGCTCGAGCGGCTGCCACTGTGCGGAGGCACATATCGAAGCCGAAACAGGAAACGCAGAGGCCGATCCGACAAGCCGGAGCTGACCTGGAAGGAGAAGCGTGACCGGCGCATCGAGAAGAAATTTGGCAAGAATGGCATCGCTCTCGGCGAAGACGAGGATAAGCGACTGAGCTTAGAAGTCAACCGCAAGGGTCCCATCGGAGCGAAGCCCCGTGTTGCCCAGAGTGCCCGTGGCCGGGAGCTCAGAGCCGCTGCGGCATTGGCTCGATTTGACACGAATAAGAAAGAAGTCGAAGATATACACCGAGCCGAACGGACAAAGACGGAGAGCAGCGGCGACGAAGACGAATACGAGGACCTGGATGCCGGCTTAGAGGACGCTAGAGACGTCTATGGCCGCAAGATTCTTGACACTCGAGGCCACGGCATGATCCGAGTGTGTTCCGAAGAAGATGACGACGAGACGCAAGCGCACGCACGCCAAGAATTACAGGAGCTTAACACGCTGGATCGTTATTTCACATCATTTCAAAAGGGTCAGGGGACCGCGGTTATTCGGGCCGGGATGGAGGCCTTACCAGGTTCACCAGGAAAAACTGGCACTGCCACCCCTCCTCCACCCACCGTTACGAGAGGGGCGACGGTGGCTGGAACGCTAGAATCTGACACGGACAGTAGTCCCTGGTCTCCTCCAGCGGCCGCTGGGAAACAACAACCGCGCGGTTCTTCCTCTTCGTCGACTGCCGAATCCGCCGTACAGTCTCATTTATTACCCAATTCTGGAAGCACATTGAGACAGAACCATGTGCACCAAAATATCTTTCCCCCCGGCATCAAGCAGCCGCGGAACACACCTTCCGCATCCCTCGACTCGGAATCAAGTAATGGTGTCCCTACCTCTACGACGGCGTCTTTACCTTCGGCCAAGCCCAAGAGTCTGAAAAGTCGCAGCAGTAGTAGCCCTATGACCATGTCTACCGTAGGGCCTCTCGGACGAGTACCTGGGTCCCCCTTCACCACCAAATCGGGCTCAAGCTCGAACTCGAACTCGCCGGTGTCGCCACGCTCACGACCACAGACAGTATCGACGATCAGCTGTCCGATCTGCTCGCTTGAAAACCCGTCCCTGAACGCCACCTGCATGGCCTGTTCGCACGTTTTAGATCCTCGGAAGGACCCGAGGAGTTGGTCGTGTCAGAGCGCGCCGTGCGTCTCCAGCGGGACCGCGTACCTCAATGCCGGGGACGTTCGTGTGTGCGGGGTGTGCGGTGTCAGAAGGAACAATAATGTGTACGAGTAGACCGGTAAGCCCGTGGCCCATCGCACCGGGATCAGATGTACGGGTTACCAGGTACGCCGTACACAGTACTGTCTACTGAGTACAAAGTACACAAGTACCCAGTGTGTAGTAATTAGTGCTCGTACTCTTAGGATCAGGGGTCGAAGATGACCGCCCTGGATGTGCGCATCCAGTCCTTTACCCCCTTTAGGCTTGTGGCAATAGCTTACCGAGGGGACCTTCCTGTATCACGGTCGACGAAACCTTTCCGCGGCCGCTGTCCGGCTGACTGAAGTCCCCCAAAACTGTGAACGCGGATCACTAAACAGCGGGTAGGGACGTAGGTTGCGCCAAGTTGCAAACCTACTAGGTAGTGAACGGAAGTCAATGGCCGTGAACGGAGGACGGACGACGCCCAGGGAAATATAAAACGTGAGGACAACATAAGTGGGTCACCTACTGAGTACTATAAATGAGTGCTCGTATGGGTGAATAGAAGGGCGGCTTTACTCCGTACCTCAGATACGAGGAACAGTACACAGTACCTTACACAGGAGGGGCTTTTTACACGGTAGATCACACGGGATGATTTAATACGAGTACCTAGGCACATAATGATTCGTAGTGTGTATACTCGAGTACTGTAGGATATACCTGATGTCGTGTGCTGTACGGAGTACATTCCATGTGTTCACGCTGAACTCCGTCGACCGTGGGGAGTATTAACGCAGGTTGAGGCGAGTACCTACTGTATGGACGGAGGACTCATGCGGTCTACTACTCCAGGGGCATCAAGGGCAGGTTGCTCGGCCTCGCGTATCTCGAGGCTCGTGGTGACAAGCGAGTTGCTAGCCTAGCCATGGTAGCCTTGTCTCGCTGTTCAATATCGACTGGGGATTGAAATTTTATGGCATTCCAGGTTCACCCTTGTGCTTTGTTTCATTATCTCACATTGAGCCCCACACTACAGTATGACCCCGTGTCTATTTCTGGATTTGCTGCTTGGGGCCAGTACGGTATCAGCCTCGACAGCCTTGCAAGCCTCGCGCTTCGAATGTCCACGCACTCAAGCCGCGCTGTGCTGAGCTGGGCTTCTTCCACTCTTGATACTTCGGTGTTTTGCGGCCGTCGGTCGTGTCTCCGAAGACACGCGGCAAGGTGTGCATGAGAGTAGACAATACTGTCTTATGCCCGAGGACGAACTCCTTGCCCGGACCTCATCGCCTTGGTTATTCTGAGCAAAACAATATGCAAGAAAGAATCGTCTCAACTTCACGCTTCGGGCTCAGTGCCCAAGAGTCCAAGCATAGACTCAAAAAGCTCCAGCGACAATTCCATATGGATGTGGAAAATTCAAGCTGGTCAAGAACTTAACAAGTCCAAGGCATCCTTCTTCGCTTCTTTGGTGCCCGAAAACCATTCAAAGACCTGACCTTCCGAGTCCTTCAACTCCAGGAGACTCTTTCCATCTTTATGCTGGGGCGTAGCCTGCCAGCAGAACCGACCAGCGTAAAGCATCAGTTGTGGTGGAGGCATGCCGAACATGGCCGCCACGCGGTAGTAGAGCAACTGGGATGAGATTCTGCTGCTGAGAGGCTTATGTTCAAAGGATCCGTAGCCAAGCGGAGTCCTTTTCCCCCAATTCTCAGTCTCTGCGACGTATGAAGAGTTGCAGATCACGAGCTCGCCTCCGTCTCCGTGGCTGTAGAACTCTGAGGGTTCGAAGTCGACTGGGCATAGGCCGTGCTTGCGCCTCTCCTCAGGCGAATCATTCCGTTCCGCTGCTGTAGCATGGCGCCATTGATAGACGAACTTGGCGTTCAGGACAAAGCCGTTCGTTTTGTCCTCGTCACTCTACGAATCGATCTGCTCGGGGCGTGGGATCATGTCGTGGAACCTGGTGTACAATTGCCAATCGGTGGACGGTGTCAGCTGTGCGTTGACACGGAGTTGCTCATTTTGTTTTTCGAGGAGGGCGTACGTGCTGAGGAAGTGGCTGAAGATGAGTCTTTGCACGTGTTCGTCCAGCTTAAGGAATTCGGTGGTCGGGTTGTCGCATTTGACCAGTAGTTCCACTGTCTTTGCTGCTGCAACGTCTTGGAGGCCCTTGACGGGATTGGATTTCTCGTGCGACGCCATGATGCTCTGGTCGGCGCTGTCTGAAAGGCTTGTACAGCAGGGATCAGACCGATTCAGAGAGTAGTTAAAGAGAAGTCAGGGAGAGGTCAGGGAGAGGTCAGGGAGAGGTCAGGGAGAGGTCAGGGAGAGGTCAGGGAGAGGTCAGGGAGAGGTCAGGGAGAGGTTAGAAGAGATTGTTATGCTCTGCGCGCTGGATTTGCAATGAACTGCGCGGTTTCGACTTCGACTACCATTGACGCAAAGTCATCTGCTCTTGTCCTGCAGCGAATGAGAGGTGAAAGGCGGTCTCAGTCAATGGGTACCAATGCACATATACAGCACTGAGTCGAGGAAAAATTACGTCGCCTTCCGCTCGTTGAAATCTCATTGCAGTGGACTGAAAAAGCGCGAACTCAAACTTCCTCGCCCTACCAGCTTTGGTACCTCGAACTTTCAGTTTGAATGAAGATCATCGCCGTGGGCGTAGTTCACGCTGACGGACCTAAGACCACGAAACGTGGCAGAAGCAGCCGCGAGCCGAAACTGCTGGTACGAGGGTGGTTGCGACCGAGGTCAATGCGAAACGGCTGTCATCGTTGACCTCGACTTCCTCTCCTCCCGAACACTTGGCGACAAGGAATTTGCAGGAAACTCAGGAGGATAAACACCAAAGAGCTCTCAAGCGACGTTGCCAATAGCAACCTGTCCTACACTGCGCCTCTAGGTCGGTCCTCGCGACGGTCAGCACATGATATATTCGGCACACAACGTGTTCTGGCAGAAAACACCCTGACACATCAGAACGGGCAGCAGGCCTACAGACTCCTGTTAGACACCTAAGATAAGAGGGACGGATCAGAACAGCCTGAAGGCTAGCTCATGCAGACATCATCTGCTCTTACTATCGTCGCCTTCGACCCAGGACCATCTCTCAGCCGGCCGAATGGTGAGACAAGCTCGTTCCAAAAGACTCACCTTCATAGCACTTCTCCGTCGTAGCGCACCGTAGAGCCATTTCAATGAGTCGCTCGGACTTCGGGGCCATGACTGCAACATAAAACATTCATTGTGGAACTCATAGGCATTTGCCCAACCTTCTTGAGCTGGCACATGGCACAATGCTATGAGTATGCCGTCGCAGCCAATGCACACACGGATTCGTGGCTTCTCCAGCATTCCAATAACCCACAGACCCTTTCGCCGCATCCGTACTTGCACCTCACCTTGCCCCAATACCCACATACGGCGCAGAACCTGCGCTCCGGTTTCGCCATGAGCGTGCTGTTACCCGTCCGCATCGCAAAGGCGGTTCCAGTTCCGTTCTGATCGGGCGGACCATCGAGAGGCTTCGCACGAGCTGCTGTATAACTCAGCGGCGGCTCGGCAAGAAGAGCTTGCATGACCCGCTCGGAAGGCATTTTGGGCAAGCCTAATGTGCGAAGGAGAGGATCGCGGTCTAGCGCAGGATCGTATGCGGGTGTGGGATTTTGAGGTGCGGAAGAAGACGAAGAAGGCTGTGCCTGTTGCTTTTGCCGAGACGAGGGTGATTGTTGAGATGTGGGGGGGGAAGAGGGCAGGGAGTGTTGGTGGTGGGAAGAAGCATCTGTCATCTCGACATCAACTTTGCTGGCGTCGGTTGCTTCCTCGCTCTTCACGGGTGCGGTCTTGGAATGTCTCAATGAGCTCGTACGTCTGGCTCCTCCCTTCGACGCTGGTGTTAATATAGCGTTCTTGACAGCACTGCGCCTCCTCGAATCTGCCGTTGGTCTCTGCGGACTTTGCGTAGCTTGGGTGCTGACACGAGTAGCTGAGGGAGGCAGGATGCCAGCACTTCCATAGACATTGACACCCGCTTCCTCATTCGCCAGGTAGTGTTGAAAGTTCCGCTGGTAGGCGAGAATCCTCTTCACGTTCGGTTCCATTTTCCTCTCCTTGCCCCTGGTGCCATCGCGCTTCGGAATCGGAATGTGGGCTTCGCGGTAGTTTTCTTTGCTCAGATCATGTAGTCTCTGTTGGGTGGCTTTCTCTTGCTTTGAAGCCTGCGCCACGCTTCTGGCAATGGTTGCTCCATCGCGACCACGTTTGCGTGAGCTCAGTTGCACCGCGGGAATTGGCGCGCCAGTATCCGGCACATATGTCCACCCATGCGAGGGGCGGATTGTCGCGGTAACGGGGAGTTCTTCGATCAACGGCATGGTTGAGAGGCAAGTCGCGGCGACTGAAAGGCTGCCGACGTTGGAGTTGTTGCGGATTCAAGTTGGAGGGCTCTACGAAATACTCCGTAGATAGGCTCGGTCTGTCAGGCGTCAGAAGCCTAATATAATTGGCTAGTACTGCACAAGCCAGCTGTCAGACGTACAATTCCTTCGCCGCGGGCTCTGACTCTCAGTTCGCTTTGACTTCTTCTCTCACTTGCCGCATCGTGACGCAGGTCAGAGCCTATTGTCGCTGTTCAAGCCGAACATCTCGTGCAACCTGATTTCTGATTACCTCATGACACGGCAAGAACTTCGATAGCAACTGCTACGAAGAGATATGAATCGAAGCTTTTATACAGCTCTGCATGCTTGGTAAAGGTATTCACTAACGAACGACTTTGACGTGTAGCACAGCCTCTTGCTTTTGCCCTGTGACTCGAAAAGGCAGCCATGTCTCTGGATGGCTTCAACACTCTACCAAATGGCGCGTCGGACGCCATCGAGCGGTGGAAGGTGGACATCCCGCAACGGGATCTTGATACCTTAGCGACGTTGGTCAAGCTAGCTCCACTCGCGCCGCCGACCTTTGAGAATTCTCTGCCTGGACAGAATAGACGCCTTGGGCTCCCACGAGACTGGCTTCTAGCGGCCAAGAAATACTGGGAAACGGAATTTGACTGGAGGAAGCACGAAGAGCATATGAATTCATTCCCTCATTTCAAGGCGTCGATCAAAGACATTTTGGGCAGCTTCGAAGTTCATTTCGTCGCCCTGTTTTCGAAACGCAAGGACGCCATCCCCATTTTGTTCCTCCATGGCTGGCCGGGAAGTTTCCTCGAGTTCCTCCCTCTGCTGCACATTCTCCGGTCGAGGTACTCGGCGGAAGACCTGCCTTACCATCTGGTAGTCCCGAGCTTGCCAGGTTATACCTTCTCTTCAGCGCCACCGTTGGACCACGACTTTCGGGCGGACGACGCCGCGCGCATCTTCGACACACTCGCCTCCGTCCTTGGATTTGAGTCCTATATGGTCCAAGGTGGCGACGTCGGCGGCCGGGTAGCCCGCATAATTGCAGCAGAGTACCCTAGATGCAAGACAATACATCTCAACACACATCCAATGACTCCCCCTGCCGACAGTGATATCAAGTCCGCGATCGATGACGTTGAGAAAGCAGGACTCGAAAGACATAACTTCTTCCTCCATAATGGGACCGGTTATGCATGGGAGCACGCTACGCGCCCTAGCACGATCGGTTTCGTGCTCTCAAGCAGTCCCCTTGCGCTGTTGGCCTGGATCGGGGAGAAGTTCATGGATTGGACCGACGATGATCCCTCGCTTGACGTGATCCTCGAGTCGGTCACCTTGTATTGGCTCACCAGGTGTGCCTCGACGAGCCTCTGGTCTTATCGCCAATTTTACGGGCCTGGTGCGGATAATCACGGTTCAAGGAAATGGTATATCACCAAGCCCTTTGGGTATTCGTGGTTCCCTAGGGAGCTCAACCCCCTCCCCAAGGCGTGGATTGAAACCACTGGTAACTTGGTATTTTTCAGGCGGCATGACAAAGGAGGACATTTCGCGGCTATGGAACGGCCGGAAGACCTTTGGAACGACGTCGAAGAGTTCTTACAGACGGTGTGGCATGATTGAGTAGGGCTGTGTCCAGCTCGATATCTCCCCGTTAATTCATGTTCAGTCAACTAGCTGCAGCGGCCACTAACGCATCACATATACCTTCGGTTTCTTTCGCAGTGCCTGCTAGCCGAAGCCTTGCACCTTCCCCTGACCCAGTGGAGTAACAAGTCTCGTACGCCTTTCCTCCAGCTGCTAATGACGTCGCGGTTTTCTAACATTGAGGAGCAGGCTATCAGCTTGGAAAAGAGCTTCCTTACAACATGCCGGATTATGATTGATGAAGACGGCGTATCGGCGGGACGTTCGTGGTAATGCATGTCGATACGGCTGCTGTTGGAGACAGACCGATTCCGCTGCAAAGCGTAAATTTCTTGTCAATTTTAGATCAGTCTGTAAGCCAGTCACGTTCAATATAGTAATCCGAGACGAAGGCCTTCCGGCGTCCATCCAGAGCATGTTAGCCTCGAGAAGAACAAGGTCCATAAGAGTGTGAGTCTCCTGCAGAGAGGGCCTTCGAAAGAAAGAAGCAACCTGATTCATGCAGCGACATTGCCAAGATTTACCAACGCCGCTTTTAGTCGCCGCCAACACGACACGCGACTGAACGCAGTAAATACCTCCTAGTCCTTTGGTGGACACATTGCAGTGCTGCACGGGGAACGAGCGAGAGCGCCATGACTGCAAGACTATGACGATCCTATCCTTCGTTCGGGAGCTGTACTCCCTCGACACCCTAGACACTCGTTTCACGCCCTCCTCTACACCTCAGAAATCGGTCACGGAGAATCCCTCGAAAAACGGGGTAAGAGATGGAAAGACTCAGACACAGCCTGCAGAGGCTTCACCTCCGCGATGGGGGACCCCAGAGTTCTATGTGTACCTGGTCGTCTTTCTCGTCTGTGTGCCTCAGATGTACTGGGCGGTAGTTAGCGTCTCGCAGCGTAGGTTCGAAGCAGCCCGTCTGCGTACTCTGGTTCTGACGGACGCGAAATGCAGCGGACTCGCCCAACTACTCGAAGTTTGAACATCTGCTTTCTCCGGGGCTATTGGGCTGGAAAGTGGTATGTCGAGCTGGACCTTTGACGCCGCAACGCGACGCTCATGTAGCCTTTAGGACAATTCTGATGCCCAATACGCTGGGTTTCGAAACAACATCCCGTCCCTGACGGTGCTCGTGTTTCTACATCCCTTCCTTCGTCGGCTTTACGAACGTTATACTTTAAGAAAACCACCTGTTTCGAACGGCACCGACCAATCGAACGCTCATGGCCAGGCAGCTGCTGATGCCCGTCTCCGCAACCGCCTAGCCTTTGATTTTGTCTCTGCGCTGATCTACGTGACTGCTTTGAACGGGACATCGGTGCTCAAGATCCTTCTGATCCTCCTGATCAATTTCAAGATCGCTACTGCACTTCCACAGCATGTGATGCCAGTAGCGACGTGGATCTTCAACATCGGCATCCTCTTCGCCAATGAACTCGCCAGAGGCTACCCCTATTCAATAATGGGCGAAGCAATCATGCCTTTCTTCCCTGCGGCGGCTGACTGGGGCAAAGTCCTGGACTCATATGGCGGGCTTCAGCCTCGTTGGGAAGTCCTGTTCAACTTCACCGTGTTGAGGATGATTTCATTCAATTTCGACTATCACTGGTCGCTGGGTCGGTCAAGGGCTGGAAGCCCGCTCGAGGTATGTCCGTCAACCACAATCCCTGGTTGTTTGTACATAGCCGCCACCCCCTGACCTACCACTGACAATGTCAAGAAGAAACAACTCGATCCCTCAGCCTTTTCAGAAAGGGACCGTGTGACTATGCCCGCCCCAGCTTCAGCCTACGTATCCTTCCGAACGTACGTCGCCTATGTCTTGTACCCGCCTCTGTATCTGGCCGGACCCATCTTGACCTTCAACGATCATATCTCGCAATCCACCTACCAATCTCCCTCCGTATCGACAAAACGGACTATTCTCTACGGCATCAGGTTTCTCATTACGCTATGCTGTATGGAGTTTCTCATTCACACTGCATACATGGTTGCCATATCCAAAGCCTCGCCCGATTGGTCGGTCTATACGCCTTTCCAACTCAGCATGCTCGCCTACTTCAACCTGCATCACATCTGGCTGAAACTCATGATTCCATGGCGCTTTTTCCGGCTGTGGGCTCTGGTCGACGGGATCGACCCTCCCGAGAACATGGTCCGCTGCATGAGTGACAATTACTCCGCTTTAGCTTTCTGGCGTTCGTGGCATCGAAGCTTCAACCGATGGACGATCCGCTACGTATATGTCCCACTTGGGGGCGGTCCTGGCGGCGGCTCTGGTAGACTTCGTGGCATCGCCAATATGCTTGCCGTCTTTACATTCGTGGCGTTGTGGCATGATATACAATTGAGGCTGTTGGTATGGGGCTGGATGGTGGTGTTTTTCGTGCTACCTGAAGTCCTCTTGACCATGGCATTTCCGGCATCGAAATGGAAGACCCGACCAAACACTTACCGAGTCATCTGCGGCATTGGCGCCGTTGCCAACATCCTCATGATGATGGCGGCAAATCTGGTGGGATTCGCGGTGGGCATGGATGGTTTGACGAGCATTGTTCACGGCATCGCCAGCAGCTGGCAAGGAGCATTGTTCATGTTGAGCGCGTGTGGCATTCTATTCGTCGGAGTCCAAGTTATGTTCGAACATCGTGAAGACGAGAAGAGGAGAGGCATCAGGCTGAAATGCTAAGGCTCCTCTTCCAAGGTTATCGAGAAATTGACAAAAGATCAGTCAGCAGCTTCCGCGCAGCAAGAAGACCGTCTCATATCTACAGCATCAACCGTCAATTCTTCATGTGACATGTTCGAACCTCTCGGCCGACAACAGGAGGTGGGGAACTGACCGAGCGAATGATGGACAGAGAAAATCCGCGCCCCAGAAGCGACATCGCCTATCCCATAACCCTTCCGCGGGGTCGTGTACTGCTGGCAAGGTGATCCGGTAAGCAGGTCGTAACTGCATCCAGATTGAGCAGGGCGTTACACGCTGCGATTGGCTTCCATGACCTGTGACCACCATGCCAACGGGGCATCTACGAGGATGTCCTTGAATATTAATCGATGCTTATATGTGGTCGGTCGCCAGAACCACTGCGTTAAGCACCGCGCGGTTCGCAGCGTCTTTCAGTCTTTTCTTCCAAGCATTTGCAGACGTGGCTGCAATCGGGTGCCGACCAAGCTCCGTGGCCATTGACATCGGACTCCCAGTAAGGTAGCCAAGTTCAGCACGATGTCTCTTCAGGTAAGGCGAGCCTCCCAGTCCTGAGATGAGTGGTCCACCTACGCCGGGGAAAGAGTGGCGTTGGTCTCATACTGCCAGTCGGTTGTATTGCAGCTGACATTTCGCACCCCGGGCTGCAGAGCACGGCGGAGCATCCTCTCCCAGCAAAACTGTACAACGAAAAGGGTGAACTGCAGAGACCCGTCTCCCAATTTCGCAACTGGATCTCCAGCGAGCCGGGCGCCAAGTTTCCTCCTGAGAAAGGACGATATCATCTTTACGTTCAATATGCTTGTCCTTGGGGTAAGCGCACCGCGCCATCTACAGTGCTCGTCTTGGGAACTGACGGTGTTGCAGCGCATCGGACGTTGATCGTCCGCAAGCTCAAAGGCCTCGAGTCCGTCATCTCCGTCACTTCAGTCCACTACCATATGGGCATTGTCGACAGCTGGCGCTTTGTGACGCCCGACGAAAAGCTGCCGCTAGACGATGTAACACCAGATCCTCTACATCCGGAGTTCAAACGGTTGAAAGACCTTTACTTTCACGCTGAACCCAATTATACAGGCAGATTTACCGTGCCTGTGCTTTGGGACAAGAAGACAGATACGATTGTCAACAACGAGAGCAGCGAAATCATCCGAATGCTGTACACGGAGTTCGATCAGTTCTTGCCCGAGGACAAGCGAAAACTAGACCTTTACCCCAAGGGATTAAGGCAGCAGATCGAGGAGACGAATGCCTGGACATACGACAATGTGAACAATGGCGTGTAGTAAGTTAGCCCGCTGCATCGCTCCCCCAACAAGCGGAAGCCAAGCAACGACTGACAACAGATGCTCTTTCAGCCAATGCGGCTTCTGCAAAACTCAGGAGGCATATCATAAGGCAGTCTCGACGCTTTTCGACTCCCTCGACCGCATTGAGACCCACCTCTCCAACATCTCGAAAGACGGACCCTACTACTTCGGCGCCGCAATCACTGAGGCGGATGTTCGTCTCTACGTGACCATCGTCCGTTTCGATCCCGTGTACGTCTCTCTCTTCAAGGCCAACAAAGGCATGATTCGCTACCAGTACCCGAATATTCATCGATGGGTGAGGAACCTGTATTGGAATGTCCCGGCGTTCAGAGACACGACGAGCTTCGAGCACATCAAGGGACATTATTTTATGAGTTTGACGCCTGTGAACCCCGGTGGGATAATTCCGGAGGGCCCTGTGCCAGACATTCTTCCCCTGGAGGAGAACGGGGTTTGAAGGAAATGGTCGGGCAAGGCCTTGTCGCTGTCTTACGTATTATTATGGCTCCAGAGACCAAAATAACCAGCCGTAGAAGGGAAGAGTGCCAATATACAAGATAGGACGATTCTAGAAAGAAGGAAAGACAGCTCCGTGCCGTCGGCGTCGAGGATATCGTAGTTGACTCCGACGCTCTCAACCACCGTCTCTACTACCTTTGCTTTTGCGCAGTACATATCACATGAATCGCAGCTTATGAGCCGCATTCGCACAGTTTGCTCGTGTCAGCATTTTTCTTCTCGTCATCCCACATTGTCACGGCGTGGGGAGTCCGCGCTTGCTGGAGGCCAGCCTGATGAAATCTGCCAAGGCGACGCCACACCCGACGAGGCTCCGGCTTTGTTGCGCCACGGAAATTTTGGACATACGCCACAGTCCTCACTTCTTGTTCACAACGAATTACGAGTATTAGGTGCCATAAAATCCTGGTGTAGATGACCCCCAAGGCTCTGACCTCCGGCGGGTGCTTCTGACATAACATCAAGATTGCGGAGTGGCCAGAGGAATGGCGCCACACAAGGGACAGAAACGCACCGCCGAGGAGGCCTTCAGAACGAAAGTCGGCGCTCTAAAGCACGTTGTGCGCAACGGGCGCAACGGCAAAATTGTCAACTTCGAGGACCGTTCAAGCAATCATGATGGCTCACTCGACGGAGAGGAGGAATCTCTCTCAACCAAGCGAAGTGAGGCGCCCAGACCCGGGCTGAAAGAGCGGGCGCGGCAACTGCAGCCCACCAGGCAGGGACTTCCCATCTACAGCCACGCCGACGAGATACGCCAGAAACTGAGGGAACACGACGTGCTCCTCCTGGTGGGCGAGACAGGGTCCGGCAAGTCAACACAAGTGCCGCAATTCTTGGTCACCGAGCCGTGGTGCAGGAAGCGGAAAATCAGCACCGTCGTCAGCGTGGGTGCCAACGTCGGAGGGTGCATCGCCATCACCCAGCCCCGAAGGGTGGCTGCCATCTCTTTGGCGCGGCGCGTCGCTGAAGAAATGGGCACGCCACTGGGCAACTCGAGCCCGGCTTCGCAGGTCGGATATTCGGTGCGGTTCGAAAACAGCACCAGTCCGTCCACGCGGATCAAGTTTCTGACCGAGGGGATGCTTTTGCAGGAGATGCTGCGGGATCCGTGGTTGAGAGAGTACTCTGCCGTGGTGGTGGACGAGGTCCACGAACGGGGGCTGAACGTCGATCTCGTGCTCGGGTTCCTCAGGAGGATGCAGGATCTTAGACACGAGGAGGACGGGAGAGGCGGTCTACCCATCAAGGTCGTGGTCATGAGTGCCACTGCGGACATGGACAAGATTCAGGAGTTCTTTTGTATCAAACGGAGTGCTGGCGACGGGGTGGATGAGGAGGTCAACAGAGGTGAGGAATCGCCGACGGAGAGCTCCTCCCCCACGGCAACATCTCTGTTTATCAAGGGGCGCCAGTACCCCGTAAAGGTCCATTACACGCCTACGCCGGTGCCAGATGTGCTCGACGCGGCGTACCAGCGTATACTGCAGATCCACGCGCACACACCTCTGCCGGGCGACATACTCGTCTTCCTGACGGGCCAAGAGACCGTGGAATCGCTCCTCAGCCTCCTCACGTCCTGGTCGCAGTCCACTCAGAAAGATCCCAAGCAGTCACAGACACTTCCGAAACTGCTCATCCTACCGCTTTATGCCGCTCTGCCCTCGAACATGCAGCAGCGGGTCTTTCAGACGACGCCCAAGTTCACAAGAAAGATCATATTGGCTACGAATATCGCGGAGACGAGTATCACGGTGCCTGGAATCAGATATGTGGTCGACACGGGCAAAGCCAAGCAACGACTTTTCCGCCCCTCTCTCAATCTCGACACACTCCTCACGGTGCCCATCTCTCGAAGCTCGGCGAACCAACGGTCAGGACGAGCGGGTCGCGATGCCCCGGGAGCGGCATACAGGCTGTACACCGAAGCCGACTTCTACGGACTGGCCCAGGACACCGAGCCTGAGATCCTGCGCTGTGACCTCAGCCAGCTCGCCCTGACGCTCAAAGCACATTCCATCGACGACCTGGGCAGCTTCCCGTTCCTCACGCCTCCGCCACGTCGCGCCCTCGAGCGAGCCTTGATCCACCTCCTGCAACTCTCGGCGCTGGACAGCTCGACCGGCCAGATCACCAGCCTAGGACGAGAAATGAGCGTCCTCCCCCTCCCTGCAAGCTTGGCCCGGGTACTTCTCGCCAGCACAGACCCAGGATACGACTGTGTGAAGGAGATCGTCGACATCGTCTCGGCGCTGAGCGTTGAAAACATCTTCCTCAACATCCACCACCGCGCAACGTCCTCCAGATCGAGGGATCCGCTCACTACGACCTCGGATTCCACGGTTACGGCCGCCGACGCTGATTCTGATGTTGAAGATGGCTCAACCGAAGCCCGGGCTCAGCAAGCACGGCGCCAGCTCTTCCGGCGAGAAGGCGACCACCTCACTCTCCTGGCCACCATGCAGGCCTACGCAGCCGAAAACACGGACCGACGCCGCTGGTGTGAGGAGCGATTTATCTCGCATCGCGCCATGAGCGGAGCCATGGACGTCAGGAAACAGTTGACAGCGTTGATGGAACGATACCAAGCCCGGGCCAAGAATCAGGGCAAGACCAAGATCAAGACCAAGACAGTCGGTAAAGCACAGCCACAGAAGCTTGATCCCTCTGTCCCTGAACACCACGACCCCATCACTCTCTCAGGCCGCATCCTGAAGTGCATGTTGAGAGGATTCCATCCAAACGTGGCACGGCTCTGTGCTGATGGGAGTTATAGAACGACACTCACCAATCAGCCTGTCGCCATACACCCTAGCTCGGTGTTGTTCTCGGTTCCCTCCCTTGCGGCTGCAGATGAGCGAGCTGGTGCTGGCGGCAGGACGCAGCCCAGGAAGTTCGAGGCCATCATGTACAGCGAGTTTGTGTATACGGGGACAAAGGCCTATGCTCGTGGCGTGAGTGCGGTGGAGTTGAAATGGCTGGAGGATGTCCTTTGAGCGGTGCTGGTGTCATGTAGTTGTGGTGGTAGCGAATAGCCCTTGTTTCCACTCGTCTGAGCAAGCCACTCTTGCGTTCGGGCATCAAAGACACGTTACAGTGACCACATGCGAGTACCCAGCGCTCATGACGACGGATGCGGTAGTAGCAGGTCCTGCCGAGAGTGGTATGTCGAAGTGATTCACACATGCTCAAGCCTTGCACAGGATATGCCCATTGGCCGATGCATTCATGGGTCGGCGCATTTAGGCGGCATATCGGCTCGACACCTCTGCCACCAGATCGCCGCTCTTGGCTGAGCTGCAGACGATGCGATTTCGGCGGTTGGAGGCACTGATGCCTCACATGATGGATCGTGAGAGACCGAAGCGGCCGTTCTGCTGCCTTCGATTCAACCCGCGGCTGGACGCTGCTTCGAGTTTCTCCAAATCATGACGCATTCGCTGGCTGCATGTCTCACATCGCTCGCTGCAGCCACCACGCACCCACGCATCTCACCCACCCACTGCGCCCTAGACTGCGTTCCCGAGTAGCCCGGCAAGGTGTCCAGGCGTCCATTATGCCCGCCGGCATCGTCCAAATGCCTGAGAGCGGAAAGGATGGGCCACAATGGTCTGTGCAGCGAACCTAGAATACGAGCTCTAGCTTTCTACCACTTCGATTCGACCCTCTCTCTGACTTGTGGTTGTACAAACTTTGGGTTCTTCCTTCAGACTACGCTTGACGACCTTCCCCCTTCGATCGCTTTCACATCCACACCAGGTACCACTCACTCCGGTGTCTCCGCGCTGGAGGAGCCCACGACGCATTAGCTGATCGGCTAATGCTGCGTGCAGAATCCTCTACTTCATCATTTTTGACTCTGGACGTCACCATGTTCCGACCTCGATGCGGGGAGAAGCGTCTCGACTGGCGGACAGCAGCGATGGCTGGAACCTACCGAAAACAACCGAACGACTCGCACGCTGGATCGCTGCTTGCCCCACCGTGAAGACATGCACACTCTCTCTCACAGACGCACGCAAAATACTGCTGGGTCCTAGCTCTGGACCAGCTTCGAGCTGGCTAAAGATGCTGGGCTTCGTGGGCGCAGGTGAAAATCCTCGGTGGCCTCACAGGTGCCTCACTTGATCCCTTGCGTTCGAAGATCGATGGTCCCAATGTCAACGCCACCGATCTGGTTTGCTTGGTCCGGAAAAGAGCTGGTCGACACCCCATACTGTTCTCAGGCGGTTCGCTTAAGGGCCCCGGTCCCATTGGACGTTGTTGTGAAGCTTCACCCATGAGGTGTCGCTCCGCTGCGGCGCGAGCGGGGTATTATGATTCGCACGCCACTGCAACTCACTGGGCTCTATATCGGATATGTCCCGATATGTGGGACGTCGAGGCATCATGCATGCAAGACTTTCACGTAACAGTGAAGTGTCACCCAGTCGTTCGTGGTCCCGGAACACCATTCCCACAGAGGACGGCTTCAATTCGACGGGCCAGACGACACTAAGGCACTCGTTTGGAGCTTCTGGAGCTGTCACTGTCACTGCTTCTTGCTGCTCCCGTTCGCCGGTCCGGAGAGCTCATGAGAGCACATTCAAATATGCACCGGCTGCACCTTTTCCACTTGAGGTGGTTTCTCCCTCGACCACCTAGTACCTCTGAACCTCTGGTAAGATCGCTGTCCTTCGTTCGGGCGTCTACCTTCTTTCGTTGAAAGACTCGTTGGGGACTTTGTGTCGGCAACGAAGAATAATCACACATTCTCCCCAATATGCGCACATTCGCTCTCGTCACGGCGTTGGCCGCCACGGTCCTCGCCTCGCCTATGCCTCAAGGAGTGACCTCCCAGATCGCTCCATCCTCCCCTGCTCCGGAAGGCTGCTCACCCTCGTTCAGCGGCAGCTTTCAGATCACCGCCGTGAATGTCTCCTCCGCGGCAAAGCGAGATCTTCAATCGGTATGACATGGCTGTCCTCGATGGTGGCCAGCCAAAACACTGACAAGCCCAGCGACAACAAGACGGCGTCCTCACCCTGACTCTTGCCGATTCCGTCCTGGTGGACCAGGCCGGTCGAACAGGATACATTGCGTCCAATTATCAGTTCCAGTTTGACTCCCCTCCCCAGGCGGGCGCCATCTACACGAGCGGCTTCTCCGTCTGCTCGAATTACAGCCTTGCCTTGGGTGGCTCTGCTATTTGGTATCAATGTTTGAGCGGGAACTTCTACAACCTGTACGACCGAAACTGGGCGCCTCACTGTGTCCCGATTTACCTTTACGCCCTTACGTCTTCGGCTCCCGCGACCACCACGGCTGTTCCCACGATCGGTCAACAGACAGATGGTCAACCGACCGCGACTTCTGTTGCCACTCAGCTCTCGGACGGGCAGTGAGTAGACTACTATACGCTCTGATATTTCTCTCTCCTGTTCTCACCTAACCAATTTGTAGACCTCAGGCACCCACTGGAGCTCCCGCCACCCAGCTGAGCGACGGACAGTAAGTGAATCGTCATTCTAGTTTCTCTCTACTGTTCTCAGCTAACCAATGTTAGACCACAGGCACCCACTGGGGCTCCAGCTACCCAGATAAGCGACGGACAGTAAGTGAATCGTCATTCTAGTTTCTCTCTACTGTTCTCGGCTAATTGATTTGAAGACCACAGGCACCGACTGGAGCTCCGGCCACCCAGCTGAGCGATGGACAGTGAGTGGAACACTTTACTCCCTGATAACCCTCCCTGCTGTTCTCAGCTAAATCATTCACAGACCACAGGCACCCACTGGAGCCGCCGCCACCCAGCTGAGCGACGGACAGTGAGTGAATCGTCATTCTGGTTTCTCTCTACTGTTCTCAGCTAACCAATTTTAGACCACAGGCACCGACTGGCGCTCCGGCCACCCAGCTGAGCGATGGACAGTGAGTGGGCGCTCATTTCTGATATTTCACTCTGCTGTTCTCAGCTAAATGATTTGAAGACCACAGGCACCCACCGGCGCCCCAGCGACGCAGCTGAGTGACGGCCAACCCCAGGCGCCGGCTTCGACGCCTTCCGCTCCGGTAACGGTGCTCTCAGATGGCCAACCCCAAGCGCCGGCGTCGACACCCTCCGCTCCGAT